CCAGGTGTGCCTGGGTCACGGCTTCACTGTTGTTGCAGGAACTCGGTGCGTCTGGTGATCAGGAAGGTCCAATACGCTCCGGAGAAACCAGGTCCTCAGCCCACCGCCGAGACCACCCGGCAGTTCCTGATGTCCGACAAACCTTTGCACCTGGAGGCCTCGCTGGACAAAGAGGTAACACCTGAGGGACGTTGTCCTACACTGGAGCTCTTTACAGAATGCAAGACGAAACACTCGACTGACCTCTCGAACCACCAGCCGACTCCGATGGGTTGATCATATCTGTGATTTACTTCAGGGGCGGGTTTACCATGATGACACAGGCGGGCACTCATCCCCCTTGCAATGTGATTGGCCACCCCATGCAACCCTCCAGTTGTCATTGTTTCTTGTAGCTTTCAATCAATGTTTAAATATTTGCCAGTTGTTGTATGATAGTCTAGCTCAGGGGTGTCAAACTCACACGGGGCCGAAATGAAACTCTGGGACGGAGTCGAGGGCCAAACTTAATATTTTTTGAAAAAGTGACGGCAAATTTGCACGTTTTCTTTATCAACATGTATGCAATTTTGAACCTTTAAATTGGGAAACAAACATATTTCTGCATTAACACTGAATGTGGAATAACCAAATTACACACGAGCAAGTCAGTTTTAAATAAAAGGCATCAGTGGTATTCATTACTTGTGGTATAATCAGCATTTTTTAAATCTTTTAAATGTTTTCTCACGGGCCAACAACAAAATAAAAATATCATTTTATCTTAAATGAAAATGCAACATCTCACCTGTTAACTTTCATGTTTTGGAGCAGAAAAAGAGCATAAAACCAACATATTTAAAGCTCAGTTTGCTCCACTGGTTTACTGTGATGCTCACCTGTTCCAGCCAGATACCTGCATCATGGGGCTGATCTGAGCTGAGGAGGAGACTCCTGTTGTTTTGTTCATCTTCATCATAATAATGACAACATTAGATGACAACAGGTGCTCACATAGGTTTGTGCTGATGAACATGTCTGAGCAGCTTGACCACGTTGTTGTGTGTCGGGGAGGAAACACAACCACAGAGTTGTGCTGGTTTGAGCGTGTCACTGCTCGCTGGAGTTATATCAGCTCTGTCTGGACGTTAGTTGGAAAACTTTCTCTTTCAGTCGTGAACACATTACTGAGCGGCTAGAATCTCCGTTTCTGGGCTTCAACGTCAGAAAATAGCTGAGTGAACTCGGCGTTGAGTGAGAGGAGTGTAGTTTGTCCGAGATGGCGGAGCTGCAGAGACCGGCAGCAGGCGCTGGAAAAAACACAAAGGAGGGGGCTTCGTCGGCTCCGCGCTGCCGCCGTAAAGCATCATGGGAGTTGAAGTCTTTGCGGTAAAATCGGCCAGCGGGCCAGTTTTAATATATTTTTGATATTTATCTCGCGGGCCACATAAAAATGCTCTGCGGGCCGCATCTGGCCTGCGGGCCTTATGTCTGACATATGTGGTCTAGAGGTTTCTGAATCGGGCTGACCACCATGTTGTCTTCCTACTCGTCCCGGTTTCACACTGAAAGCATCGGTGGCGCAAACGGCAGCGGAACGTCGCTGCTTCAACTGGAGTCCGTTATAGCCTATGGACTGTTTCAAACCAGCAGCAACGCGGCCATTTCCCGGCGTTCAAGAAGCGGTACGCTGCACAAGACCGGATCGGGGTCTATTTTTTATTTTTTTTTTGCTGCGTGCCGCTTCTGGGATGCGTCAATTTTTTGCAGTTAACATAGGGCTAGACAGGAAATCACACTTTTGCAGCTGTGTTTTTTTTTTCATGGCTGTAATCCTGGCAGTGGAGAGGAACAACATTATTTATGACATCAAACATCGATATCAAACGTGATTTCCTTCTTTTTTGTTTAATGGCAGATTGAATAAACAAACTGTGACCCAAGTCTTGAGGGATCGTGTGATCTCACGAATCCAGCGAAGAGCACAGCGAGGAAGCCGTGCCGCCGCCAAGACTCTCCCGGTGTGAAAAGGACCGCTTTGAAGTTCACGAGTAAACCGTTCCGCTGCCGTTTTGCGCCACCGATGCTTCCGGTGTGAAACCGGGGTTAGGCTTCACACACCGACACACACTGATTATTAATTAACATACAGGGTTCTCTCATTCAGTGGAAACAAACTCGATATATGTGGAAATGATCGTCAATCACATTAGATGCATGTAGAATAAATTTGGCCAACAGAGGATTTAAAGAGCAAGTTGCCCCCAAATCTACTTTTTTATCTGATAAACTATATAAATGCGTGTCTAATCGTGCTGCAGACACGTGTAGTCAGTAGTTTTGCACTTTAGTGCATTTTAGTTAAAATTTAAAATTTCTGCCTAAAACTGTCAGTGTTGTGCCGTTGTCAGATAAAAACTTTGGACTGCATTTGAATTTAAATCTGCCACCGCTATTGGCTAAGAGGTACCCTAGAACGTTAGCTGGTACCATATGATGTCACAATGCCGGTGTGTGTGTGTGTGTGTGTGTGCGTATTTGTTAGCGGCTCCGCCCTGCTCGGTCTCTTTTCAAACAGAAAGTGGGAGTGGAGTAAAACTCCGGTTAGGGGGGTGACTCGCTCTTTAAATTAGAAAAGTTAACTTTATTGTGATGCCAGGACGCATCCTGGCATCACAATAAAGTCGGTTCTGATCCTGATGAACCCATTTATTTGTGCCTGTTGGACTTTGGCTGGATTCCATTTCATGTCCCTGTTGATCAGCACAGGGACATTTCTAAATAGATGACTGATGTGTTGTTTTAAAAAAATTTTTTTATGGAAAACAAAACTTCTTTAGCGTGAGGTCTGATTTTAAAACTCATTTCTCAGGCTTTGCTGTTCTGAGACCCAAATCATCATCAGAGTGTTGTGAGGAAAAAGTTTGTAAAAGGTTCAAATGCTCTGTTTTTATTTCCTGTAAAATGCCCGTTTCATTTCATTTACAGTCAATAAGAACGCAAACTATGACTGAAACAAATAGTAAAAACACAGTTTATTCTGTAGTAATGGTATTTAAATAAAACACATAGAAGGTAAAATTATGATCAAACAAAATATTTTTTTCTTGATATTTGGCAAAAAATAAAAATCTATTAATATAAAGGAATTCTTTAAGGGGTAAACGGGTGAAAGATGTTTTTACATCATCGACGGCCCAATTGCTGCTCCAAAACACAGAAAGTTCCCTCAAAGTTCCCAGGCGTGTTCTAGCTGAGCGCATGCATCAAGCCTCCTTCTGCAGACTTTGAACATCAAAGTTTCCCATAATGCATTGCACCACAAACTTTAAACCTCCAAACTGCAGAAGAGAAAGCTCATAACTGGTGTTTTATTTAAGGAAACATGTGGTGTGTAACCTGTAAAATGAGTTTTGTGTATTTGTTTCATTTTTTCAGTCTCTTCACATTCTCTTAAAATGCTAATTAGCTAACCCACTATCAAAATAAAAGCTGCGTTGCCTTGAATAGTTCTGTTTTGATAAAAGAAACTTTTTCTTTGTTTAACAGCAGGAAGTGCTGGTATTTTATCAGCTTGGGTCAAAAGTGGACCAAATGTTAAAATGTACTCATTGTTGTTTTGTTATTTAAGGACAAACATTTAGCTTTGTCAGGTTGTTTTTTAACCGCTTTTTGTCGTGACGCAACGGAGTACAGTTCTATTCCAAATGCCGTCCCCGTCCTCCCACACTGCAGAACGGACTTTCTGCTGTAAGCACACACAAGGGTACCAGCATCCTCTGGTGCTGAGAAACAACCCAGATCAGCAGCTGCATATTTCTAATACATTTTTTTGGAATCATGATCCTTTGAACCAACACCATCTTTGGTTACCATGGAAACCACCACTGCGTCGGTTAAAGAGCTGTGATTCTGATCAGAAGCTGTCAGCTTGGATCACTAAACATTTTCCACACGTCAATGGTAAGAAAATGGAGACATGTCAGAGAGAGAGAGAGAGGAGAGAGAGAGAGGAGAGAGAGAGAGAGAGAGAGAGAGGAGAGAGAGAGAGGAGAGAGAGAGAGAGAGGAGAGAGAGAGAGAGAGAGAGAGAGGAGAGAGAGAGAGAGAGAGAGAGAGAGAGAGAGAGAGAGAGAGAGAGAGAGAGAGAGAGAGAGAGAGAGAGAGAGAGAGAGAGAGAGAGAGAGAGAGAGAGAGAGAGAGAGAGAGAGAGAGAGAGAGAGAGAGAGAGAGAGAGAGAGAGAGAGAGAGAGAGAGAGAGAGAGAGAGAGAGAGAGAGAGAGAGAGAGAGAGAACCAGAACCAGACAGGTGAGGACGAACCTGGCGACGGAGGAGCTGCTGGTTCCAGTGAAGGCCGTGTTGCTGGGAGATGTTTCCCCTGTGACCACTGCGTGCGCCAAGGCTTTCTCACACAAGTCCTATTTGAAGCGTCACCTAGTCGTCCACGCTGAAGAAAAGCCCCACAGCTGTGACCGGTGTGGGAAAAGTTGCCGTTTCCTGAGTGGTTTAAAAAGCTCACCTGCCCACCCACAGCGGAGAAAGACCCTTCACCTGTCACCTGTGTGGGTTGAGCTTCAAGTGGGCGTGGAACCTGAAGAAGCACGAGCCTGCATTACGACACCGGAACAAGCCCACCAGTCCGTGACCTGTGTGAAGAGGATCCTTCTTCATATCGAAGACAAATGTTTAACACGCTGCGAAAAGCTGCAGAGCTGTTTTAATGACATTCATCTGCACCTCAAACGTGTGATTTCAGCCCAGTCGTTCTTCTGTTGTTGGAAAATAAACATAAATGGTAAAATCACTGCATTTATTCAGAGGAGCAGAGCAAACGTTCAAGCTTTAGGCATGAAACTAATATAACTGTACAAAAACATCAGCTCCTAAGGCACTCTTTACAGTTTTCTTGTTTTAGCGCCCTCTAGTGTCTGTTATTAATTCATGTGGTTGAACTGAAAGTGAAACTTGTCTCCTTGCTGCGTTTGTCTTTTTAACACAATCTAACAGCTGAAATATCCCCCAGCCTTATTAGTGTCTACAGGAGTGAGTCACCATGTCCGCTCCACTCCTTTCCACGGTTCCCTCCACCAGCAGGAACCGGACCAGCTACTCTGAAGTTGCAAGTGCGATATTTTAGCCACAGAGGGGCGGTGGGGTCTGAGTGACATTTCATTAACCCTGTAAAGGGTCCTTTTAGCACACACCTTTTAAATGATTTTAAAAAGATGGAACCGGCTCCTCCTTCTCGCCATCACATACAACATTTAAGGTTCTCCATGAGGAAGAACGAGAGAACCCTTTAGATTTACGATGAGAAGAGGGTGACAGTGCTGGTATCATTTTCCCCTCTGGACCCGCCCCCTTCCACTTGTCCTCTTTAGGCTTCTTATGGTCAGATTGACACTGGCTCTGGTCCTCCTCTACGGGACAGAACCAAGCCTCTGTGACCCAGTCAGCAGTTCTGCAGATCTGGTGTCCTGCTCCAGGGAGACTCGAGGAGGCTGAGTGCCCGGTCCCTGGCCTGCAGAGCCGAGATCTACTCTGTTAATCTACAATCCTCCTGAATCGGATTGGGGTTATCCGTCCTGTAAAACGACTAAAAAGCAGAACCCCTCCTGGTCCAGATGTTCCTGACATGAATTCTGTTCCGTCTCAGATTTATTACCACGGGGAACCCATCAGCGTCAACGTCCACGTCACCAACAACACCAACAAGACCGTGAAGAAGATGAAGATCTCCGGTACGTCCTCGAGCCACTTCGTGTGTGCATGTGTGTGTGTGTGTGTGTGTGTGTGTGTGTGTGTGTGTGTGTGTGTGTGTGTGTGTGTGTGTGTGTGTGTGTTTGCAGCCATAACTCTGGTTTGTGTGTCTGCAGTGCGACAGTACGCTGACATCTGCCTGTTCAACACGGCGCAGTACAAATGCCCGGTGGCCGTGGAGGAGTCCGAGTGAGTTTGCTTCACTAAAACAACACCAGACTTAATTCCTGGAGACCAGGAGGAAGCTTTGATTTCCAGTTTTCCAGTTTACATGATAAAAAAAGTCCCAAGCTACAGGTGTGACATCAGCTCTCAGGCAACACTTTAAACCCCGCCATATCAAAAGTCCCGAGACCAGAACCAAAGCACAAGCACCAGATTTTGTTGTTTGAACCAAACGTTTGGTTAGAGGAGAGTTTCTGGATTCAAACAGAACTGTACGGTGCATCTGTTCATTATTCACACTGCATCACTTCTCCACAATTTCTTTAGTTAAAGATGCATTCCAAAACTGATTACAGGATTATTTCTCCTCTAAATTACACAACACACATTAGTGACAACATGAAACAAGTTTGGGGAGATTTTAGCAACTTTATTAAAGAGCAAGTTCACTGATAGACAATTGTTTAAAGATGATTTCTGATTCTAACGGGTCACTCTGAGGTTTTCATGCAGGCTGGACATGAAAATAGTCTCCTACACCTATCTCCTGCATTAGTTTCTGATAGAAAACAGACGGTGAAACTCTAGGATTAGAAAATCCTGACAGATCTACGTCACACTGTCACTAACATTCACGGACTCACCCATCTTGACTCATGACGGGGAAGGCTGTTGTTGGTTTAGCATCCAGGAAACAGCAGAGAACGTCTCGGCTAGTAGATGCTAACTGTTAGCATTAGCAACTCCACCACACAGCAGAACTCCTCCAGGCTTGTGTTATTGGTGGCGATAAAATATCAACGTTACAGAGTGAACAGAGTCAGTGGTTGAGTTGTGTTGCTGTTAGCCAATCAGAGAAGAGATGTCCAAATATCAGGAAATCCTGCCATCTTCTCCTCTGGCAATCTTCTATGTTCTCATACAGGCGCACTGGAGCTTTGTTTCCCCAGACTATGACTTTCAAGGCTACTAGAGACCACTGCAAATATATAAAAATATGAGTAAAGTTGGCCTTACACAATAAATTAGCAAAAGCCTCAATTGTTTTTCATATCATCATTATTAGTTGTTTTTAAGTGACAATGTGTATTTTTCCTGGCGATAGGGGGCAGTATACCTAAATCATTAAAAGCAAGGAGTATGTTTGTGTTGGAGTAAGACCTTACCAACGGATGCCCATGAGGGTCAAAAAGCCCTAGCGAGTGCAAACTTTAGCAAAATGACACATCAGTCTCCCTTTCATCACTGGCAACAAGTGAAGTGGCAAATGTGTGAAACAACATTTAGAATGACAAATGTTTTGCAACCGTTTGTTACAAATTGGTAAATGCATTTTGTCCTCATGGGCTCCCGTAGAAGGAAACACGGCATCTAATATGGTGTCGCCCAGAGACCTAGACCCACTCCCGTGTATTTTAGACCTGATTTTAAAAGTTATATGTGAAGAAGCTGCCAATATTTTTCAGCAACTGGGTATCATCTCATTCATTTTCAACAAAATTTTAATGGATATTTCCAGAAATTAATGGTTAAAAACGGCACGTTGTCTCTTTAAGAAAGAGAGTGGGGAAAAACCGAATGCTTCCAGATGTGCTGTATCTCTATTAATGATGAAACATGGCCGAATGTTCGGGACAGATGCATCTGGCCACTTCCTTCTAAATTTATTTATTCATTTTATTTATTTAAATGTAATTTTACACGGAGGAACAACCACTTGAGATGAAACATCTCGTTTTCGAGTGGGTCCTCCTTTACAACAAAAAGAAGAACGTCGTCGTCATCTTCCTCCGCTTATCCGATTCACTGGGGCAGCATCCCAACTAGGGAGCTCCAGACCGTCCTCTCCCGGCCTTCTCCACCAGCTCCTCCGGCAGGACCCCAAGGCGTTCCCGGACCAGATTGGAGATGTAACCTCTCCAACATGTCCTGGGTCGACCCGGGGGCCTCCTACCGGCAGGACATGCCCGAAACACCTCCCCGGGGAGGCGTCCAGGAGGCATCCTGACCAGATGCCCAAACCGCCTCAACTGGCTCCTTTCGATCCGGAGGAGCAGCGGTTCTACTCCGAGTCCCTCTCGAATGTCCGAGCTCCTCACCCTATCTCTAAGGCTGATCCCGACCACCCTACGGAGGAAACTCATTTCGGCCGCTTGTTTCCGCGATCTCGTTCTTTCGGTCATTACCCAAAGCTCATGACCATAGGTGAGGATCGGGACGTAGATCGACCGGTAAATCGAGAGCCTGGCTTTCTGGCTCAGCTCCCTCTTCACCACGACAGATTGGCTCGGCGTCTGCAGTGATGCAGACGCCGAACCAATCTGCCTGTCGATCTCCCGATCCCTCCTACCCTCACTCGTGAACAAGACCCCGAGATACTTAAACTCCTCCACTTGAGGTAGGACCTCTCTCCCGACCCGGAGTTGGCAAGCCACCCTTTTCCGGTCGAGAACCATGGTCTCAGATTTGGAGGTGCTGATCCTCATCCCAACCGCTTCACACTCGGCCGCAAACCTACCCAGCAAGAGCTGAAGGTCAGAGCTGGATGAAGCTAGGAGGACCACATCATCCGCGAAAAGCAGAGACGAGATTCTCCTGCCACCAAACTCGACACACTCCACACATCGGCTGTGCCTAGAAATTCTGTCCATAAAGGTAATGAACAGAACCGGTGACAAAGGGCAGCCCTGGCGGAGTCCAACCCTAACCGGGAACAGGTCCGACTTATTACCGGCTATGCGGACCAAACTCATGCTCCTCTGGTAAAGGGACTGAATGGCCCTTAACAGAAAGCCACCCACCCCATACTCCTGGAACATCCCCCACAGGGTGCCCCTGGGGACACGGTCATAAGCCTTCTCCAAATCCACAAAACACATGTGGATTGGTTGGGCAAACTCCCATGCCCCCTCCATCACCCTTGCAAGGGTATAGAGCTGGTCCACAGTTCCACGGCCAGGACGAAAACCACATTGCTCCTCCTCAATCTGAGATTCAACTATCAATCGGACCCTCCTCTCCAGTACCTTGGAGTAGACCTTTCCAGGGAGGCTGAGGAGTGTGATCCCCCTATAGTTGGAACACACCCTCAGATCACCCTTCTTAAAGATGGGGATGACCACCACCCCGGTTTGCCACTCCACAGGAACTGCCCCCGAAGACCACGCAATGTTGCAGAGACATGTCAACCATGACAGCCCTACACCATCCATAGCCTTGAGATACCCAGGACGAATCTCATCCGACCCTGGGGCTCCGCCGCTGTGTAGTTGTTTGACTACCTCAGCAACTTCTGCCCCCGAGATTGGACAGTCCATCCCCAGGTCCCTTGGCTCTGGTTCCTCCTCGGAATGCGCATAGGTGGGATTGAGGAGCTACTCAATGTATTCCTTCCACCGCCCGACTATAGCCCCAGTTGACGTCAGCAGCTCCCCATCCCCACTGTAAACAGTGTGAGCGAGTTGCTTCCTACCTCTCCTGAGGCGCCGGACAGTTTGCCAGAACCTCTTTGGAGCCGATCGATAGTCTTTCTCCATGGCCTCACCAAACTCCTCCCACGCCCGAGATTTTGCCTCGGCAACTGCCACTGCTGCACCCCGCTTGGCTATCCGGTACCTGTCTGCTGCCTCCGGAGACCCACAGATCAGCCACGCCCTGTACGCCTCCTTCTTCAGCCTGACGGCTCCCCGAACCTCTGGTGTCCACCAGTGGGTACAATGGTTGCCACCACGACTGGCACCGGCCACCTTGCGACCACAGCTAGCAACAGCCACCTCAACAATCGCAGAGTGGAACAAGGCAGACTCGGAGTCAATGTACCCCACTGCTCTCGGGACGCAGTCAAAGCTCTGCCGGAGGTGGGAGTTGAAGACCGTCTTAACAGGTTCTTCTGCCAGGCGTTCCCAGCAGACCCTCACTATGCGGTTGGGTCTGCCAGGTCTACGTGGCATCTTCCCCTGCCATCTGATCCAACTCACCACCAGGTGGTGATCAGTTGACAGCTCCGCTCCTCTCTTCACTCGGGTGTCCAAAACATACGGCCGCAGGTCAGATGATACGACTACAAAGTCTATCATCGACCTGCGACCTAGGCTGCCCTGGTACCAAGTGTACCGATGGGCATCCTTATGTTCGAACATGGTGTTCGTTATGGCCAAACTGCGGCTTGCACAGAAGTCCAATAACGAAACACCAATCGAGTTCAGATCAGGCGGGCCGTGCCTCCCAATCACACCCCTCCAGGTCAAGCTGTCATTGCCCACGTGAGCATTGAAGTCCCCAGCAGGATAATGGAGTCTCCTGATGGAGCACTATCTAGCACTCGTCCCAGGGACTCCAAAAAGGGTGGGTACTCTGAACTGATATTTGGCCCATAAGCACAAACAACAGTCAGGACCCGTTCCCCGACCCGAAGGCGCAGGGAAGCTACCCTCTCGTCCCCTGGGGTAAACCCCAACACACAGGCAGAGAGTCTTGGGGCTAACAAAAAGCCAACCCCAGCCCTCCGCCTCTCACCCAGAGCAACTCCAGCAAAGTAGAGTGTCCACCCCCTCTCAAGGACTTGGGTTCCAGAGCCAATGCTATGTGTCGAGGTGAGTCCGACTATATCTAGCCGGTACCCGCTCAACCTCTGCCACAAGCTCCTGCTCCTTCCCCGCCAGCGAGGTGACGTTCCATGTCCCAAAAACCAGTTTTCTTGTCCAGGGATCGGACCGCCAAGGCTCCCGCCTTGGTCTGCCACCCGTTCCACATTGCACCGGACCCTTCATGTTCCTCCTGCGGGTGGTGGGTCCACAGTTGGATGAGCCCATGTATCCGGTTCGGGCTGGGCCCGGCCGGGCCCCATGGGCGAAAGCCCGGCCACCAGGCGCTCGCTCACGGGCCCCAACCCCAGGCCTGGCTCCAGGGTGGGACCCCGATAACCCTCCGGGCCGGGTACTCCGACTCTTTGACTTTACCTCCATGAAAGATCCTGTGAACCGTTCTGTGTCTCACCCTTCACCTAAGACCAATTTGACATGGGAGACCCTACCAGGGGCACAAAGTGCCCCAGGCATAATTGCTCCTAGGATCATTAGGGTACTCAAACTCCTCCACCACGATAAGGTGATGGTTCAAGGAGGTAAAAAGAAGAACAAAAATCTAAATCAAAACAGTTCAACAATCACTTACACACACACACACACACACACACACACACACACACACACACACACACACACACACACACACACACACACACACACACCCTCAAAGGCTAGCAATACTTCACCCCACACTACACGACCCCAACTAACAAGGACAAAACAAAAGCAACGGCCAGTTGAACAAATATAATTAGCAACATATAGACAATTATTCCTGAAGAATAAATAAGTATGTGAAGCAGATTCAATTTAGGTTTTTCAAAGAAATAAAGTGTAACGATTTTTATTTAACCAGGTGAGTCGAATGAGAACCCTTTCTCGTTAGCAACGACGACGTGGGCGAGAGGCAGCAGCTAGAACAGAAAATGTAAAACCAAAACATGTTCCAAGTAGATCAAAACACCTAAAACACTCACAAACAAAAGGACCATTCACACACACGCACACGCAGAACACACACACACACAAACACACACGTTTCTGTGTCACTGGTGGAAAACATCCTATATCAGAACACCCTGCAGTTTCTAGTTGCCTCCACTCAGGTCAAAGGGTGATGGGGGGGGGGGGCTCGGTATCGGAGCCGGAACTGGTCCACAGGAACTCGGTTCAGTTTCCCAGCAGCTCAGAGAGCAATCGTTACGATGTTCTTGTCTGCAGAGATGTTCCCACAACGATATTCTTCTCTTCTCAGTGATGTCGTTGCTCCCAGTTCCACCTTCTGCAAAGTCTTCACCCTCACACCGTTTCTGGCCAACAACCGGGAGAAACGAGGCCTGGCTCTGGATGGGAAACTGAAGCACGAGGACACCAACCTTGCCTCCAGCACACTGTGAGTCCTGTTGCACCCGTGATGCCTTCACTGGCTGCTGCACGGTGGACCGCTGAGGTCTGACGCCGTGTTTTGTGTCCCGGTGCAGCCTGAGGGACGGAGCCAACAGGGAGATCCTCGGCATCATCGTGTCCTACAAAGTCAAAGTGAAGCTGGTGGTGTCTCGAGGCGGGTCGGTACCTTCTCTGTCACCTCTAACCCACAACAGCAGCCTGTCACATAGAAACAGCTGGTTCTCTTTCTTTAGTAGAACCTACAGGAACAAACGAGTGAACCAGAGGAAGAGCTCTGATAGCTAGAACCTCCATTCAGGAGATCCAACTTCATATTTTGGAAATATAATCAGTCACTCTGAGTTTGACATGCAGGCTAAACATGAAAACCCTATTTCCTGCATTAGTCGATGATGGCAAATAGACAGAGAAACAGTCGGATTAGGAAGGCCTGTGACATCAGCGTGGATCACCCGTCTTGGCTCGTGACGGGGAGGCTTTGATGACTTGGCGTCCAGGAAAGAGGAGAAGCGCATCCCAGCTAGCGGAAGCTAAGTGGCTTGAAATTCGTCGCCGTCGCTTTTATTACCTGACACACGGGAGACGACCCGCGGCAGCGGCCAGCGGCAAAGCCGTCTACGCGACATCACCTCTCCAATCATTTTCAATGAGACATGCGCGACAAAGCGATAATCGCGGGTCTCCCTCCTACTGAGCGAAACGCAAAAACGTGCGTGTGAAATTTTGCGCTCGTGCACGTGTCGTGCACAGGCGACCCAGCGACGCGATCCCAGAAAGTTGAAACATTTTCAACTTTTCATCGCTGTCGCTCGAGCGAGGACCAATCAACGGAGGTTTCATTCACTGACCAGTGAGCGGACAGGATGCTCCGTACACCTCCGAGCAAACATGGAGGAGAAGTTGATTATTATTATGTTTTATAGTAAAATCAGAAGTAAGATTTCACATAACTCTAGCAGCACCTTGTGAAACATCATATCTACCGCTTTATTAACTCTGAACCGCTTAAATAACCTTAATTCCCTCCAACCTGACACAGCCAATCAAAACAACGGAAGTTTCAATTTCGCCATGGAACAGAACGCGTAGACGGCTTTGTCGCGGGTCGTCTCCCGTGTGTCAGGTAATAAAAGCGACAGCGACGAATTTCGCTGATCGCGGTCGTTTGTCGCCTCCCGTGTGTCGAGCCCATAGCTCCCCAAATCATCAGCGTCGCAGAGCAAATGCAGTCAGTGGTAGAGTCGTGTTGCTGTCAGCCAATCAGTGGCGAGATGTCCAAATTTCAGGAAACAAGCGTCTTCTCCCCTCTGCTCTGGCTCACGTCTGCTTCCTGAAACAGGAGCGCCAGAGGTTTTCCCAACAGAGATCGACTCACAAGGCCTTCATTTTTACTAGAGAGCCCCGCAGATGTGTTGACACGAGCGAACTTGACTGAGGGACTCAGATTGGGACTTATTGATGAAGATGCTTAGCTGAGATGATGTTCTGCTGCTGCTCTGAAGCTGATGAATATTTATTGATTTCAGGCTCCTGGGAGATCTGGCTGCCAGGTAACCTTTCACTCTGTCACACATTCAAACACAAACATGGAGCCTCACAAAGGTCACCTGAACAGCTCAGCTGTTCCCGTGGTGGCAGTAGTTCAGTCGCAGATGAACACATGAATTGCTGCTGCAGATTGTTGCTGTTTTTTGACGTGTTTTTCAGTGACGTCTCCGTTGAGCTGCCCTTCACATTAATGCACCCGAAGCCTTTAGAAGAGTCCATCTGCAGAGACGGTGAGTCGCCTTCCTGCTGGAGATCATCTGAGGTTACCTTTTCTTTCAAAATAGAAAAATCCAGATTAAAACGGTTGAACCTCCAGCGCCCGCTCTCCGGTACTGTCAGGTTGTTTTGCCCCAAATGTTTAATGATCCCAGACAAGCCCCACTTAGACCGCTGGGAGGACCATTAATCTGATGAACGTTTAATAAATCATTGGCGCTGATGTTTAAACGATTCATGTTTTTATTGCTGGAACAAGTTTTAGATCCAACATTTGTTTGATTTGATTAATTAGTTTGAGCGTGCATATTAAAGGTGCATTATGGAAGTGTGACAGCCAAAACATGTATAGAAATAATAAATGTCTTCTTCATACATTCTCCTGCAATGCCCTGGTCCTGTAGAATGAGCCCTGGCATTTTTACTGTGATTGCCTTTTTTTCTGTAAAATCACAGAAAAAGAGAAATGCTCGGGTCGAGCAGGCTGCTTCATGCGCGTTCACGCTCAGGCATCGCCCGTAGCATTTGCTATCCGTAGCTTTAGCAGCAGAGAGAGAGGCAGTGCCACTTTGTCGCTGTTCCTAACGCCTAGTGACAAAGCTAGCTACATTTCTGAGGACCCTTAGCTACTTTCTGTAGAACTTTCTTCTAGAAATTTCCTGCTAATTAGCAATAAAATAGCCATTTTCGCTCCGAACCGTTCTTTGAACGTTGTTTCAGCTGTCATGTAGGATATAAAAGTGACCGATGAAAAGGACATCACTGGCGCTTTAGCTCACCTAGTAAGACGTCAGACTCTCGTGTAGAAGACCTGGGTTTGATTCTGGATGTGAACATAGTTCATTTAGAGTTTATTTTTTACATTAATGGTTTATTCTTTGCAGTAAGATGCCCACATTTTTATTTAAGACTCGCCGAACGGCATTGAATTCACAGATAAAAAAGATGTGGGTTCAACTTTCATTTTGGAACAATTTTTCAAGCAAGGGAAGGGAATGATCTGAGCATGCAGGAGGACTGACCCATCATAAACCTTTGTCGGCTGTGCTGAAGAGAAAGGTACAGAACCAAATTATTTAATTAATTAGCTGTGTGTCCTCCTGTCCTCCGCCCCCCCCCCCCCCCTCCACGGGATTGTCTCAGCTGTTATTTTCGTTAAGGAGTATGCACGTACAGCATGCGCGCCTGGTGCACGAGCACACTATTAAAGCTGCCGTTACACTTTTGGCCTGAGGGGGCAATCGCGAGCATAAAAATTCAAAACTCCGTAAAGTTCCTTTAATGAAAGTGCATGATGTCGTAAATACTCTCGATTTAGCGTGAAGCTTTTCCCGACCCGACCCCGGATAAGTGGATGAAAATGGATGTAGGGATGTTGGGGTTTACAGTTTTTGGTGAACATCAGACAGTTTATTTGTGGTGTCAGACATTGTTCTCCGGGCCATTTTAAAATATTTGACGAGGTGTGTTCAGGGTTTCGCTCTAGAGTCCTTTCACTGGACAGAAATCACGGCATCATCTGTATACATTATTGTTTCCTGTGACCCAAAGTTGAATTTGGTGCGATTTAACAGAAAAAAAACATTTCTAGCTATTACAGATTAGTTGATTGTAATTAAATTACAAAAATTAAAATACAATAAAAATGCTATAAAAATGTTGTCAAATATCCTAAAAAAGAAATACAACCAAAAAAAAAAGAAGAAATAAAGGTAAAATTTAAGTCGACATCAAGTGTCTATAAATTATGACATGAAGGTCTAAGTTGAAGATAATCAATTTTTAGAGTGCAAGGAGCTGGTGTCCACATATGTGGATGCAGGGCCCCAGGAGGTTAAGTTCAGGGCTAACTGTCGGATCATTTTGAAAACAACAAGGGTCCCAGAACTAAACCTTGTGGTATCCCAGCATTGTAATTAAAGTAGCAGGATTTATTACCGTCCAACTTTGAGATCTTTTGGATAACCATGATGTAAACCAGTTTATCTTTTCCCTTGGAATAGGGGCACGGGGAGGGAGGGGGGGGGGGGGTCTTTACAGTATGCTCTAATGGGAAACAGGCTTCAACACAAACTGTTTTTTTCCGCTTAGTCCTAGAGCTCAACCAGTGTCAATTTAATATAGCGTAATATTGTTTTTGGATGGTAAAAAGTTTAGGGGTCAAAACTTTACTTTGGAAAAAGTGTGTGTGTTTGGGGGGGGGGGGGGGGGGGGGGGGGGGTATGTCCCCCGCCCCAAATAAATTTTTGTCCATGGCTCCAACTCATGGAGTTTATCCAGCAAACCTTCATCGTTCTCAGTGAAGAAAACAAAAATACCAAGATGAAAGGAAGGAAGAAACAAAAAATGATTATTGATGATGATGATGACGTAATGAGGTTTATGCTTCTTTGATATTTTCAGTTCTCTTTAGTGTCTCTGATGTTTCTGGTCTTCTCCTTGCCTCCTGCAGCTCCAGATGAAGCTCCAATCGACACAAACTTGATAGAGTTTGACACAAAGTAAGCATCCTTCTTCTCTTTCAGCCCCCCCCCCCCCCCCCCCCCCCCCCCCGTCTCTCCTCTTCATCAGCTGTCTCTCTGATTGGCTCAGCCTTGATTCACGGCTCTGCTGATGGTGCTGACAGCGGAGAGGGCTTTTTCTGTGTCTGCTGGAGCATTAATGGTGATGAAGCCATCTCCTGAACCTCAGCCTTAATGCATCTTAATGTGTGCTGCTGAGAGCAGCAGGAAATGGGCTTTAAACTGGAAACTCTTCCTGCAGTCAGCAGCCACTCTGCAGCGCACTGATGACCAGCACGTATGTGTCTGAACACTTAAGAACTAAACCAGAACGCCGCGAGGAACATTTGTCTTCCTCTCAGATTCATGGCTCTGGTTTTCAGTATGAAGGAATCATTTGAGGTTTTCTTAAGAAGCTTTCAATAAACCAGAGACTGAAATGGTTCACTTTCACTGAGTTCATCAGCCGGATGTAGAAAATCAACAAGTTCTGGCTTGTTGTTGGTCCCGATCCGTCTGGGTCTGTAAGAGAAGACAGACAGCAGAACACGAGTCCTCCTGTGGCTCCATGCATTTATTTCACTCTTCAATCTTGTTCTGCTCGAATCCACGTTTGAACTCTTATCCTTTGGGTCCAAATGGACCCAGCAGTTCTGGAGGTTCTATAAAGTTATTTGGGCACCAGGAAACTCACTTCCAGCTGATGACATCATCTGGTTCTGGAGTGATGGTGGGATGAAGGACAGATGGACCCATGGATCTGGTCTGGTGAGGAAACAGCTGAGATGAGATGAAATCTGGATCAGGAACCAGATCCTGGACCCAAGCGTCCAACATCATCTTCCCCACCTGGCTGGCCACGTTTAGTCTCAGTTAGCTGAACCAACCCAAACCAATCTAACCTCCATTATTTATTCTCCTTCTCAGTGATGATGACATCATCTTTGAAGACTTTGCTCGCCAGAGGCTGATTGGAGCCAAAGACGAGAAGGAGGAGGACGAGGAGCCGGTGGATTCGCCCAAACTGGAAGACAGATAAAGGATGAGATGTTGTCTTGCTGCTGTGTAGTGTGGAGATGGCAGAGGTCACCAGTAGGCCAACCCACAGTCTGGACACCCTTCAAACTCTAGGTGGCGCCGTGTTTCTGTGTTCCTTCATGTTCGTCTTCTCTCTGCATCCTGCGGATGAGAGGCGCAGCCTTGTGTTTTCAGACGGAGCAGCTGCAGGAGCTCTGGGAGGATGGAGGAGACGGCGGGAAGCATGCCTCTGATGTCTCTTTGTTCTTCGTGTTCCCATTAGAGAGCGAGCAGGAGTCCAGTTAGCGCCGGTAGTTTGTGTCGAAAGGACTTTATAAACAACGCTGCCACGCTCGGAAGACCTGTGACGGTTCCCCTCTGTCAGGGTCCGATCTCCCACATCTGCTGGGCGATCTGCAGGACCAGCAACAGGAAGAGAAACCAGTGCATGAAATATATAATAATACTGTATTAATGTCACAAATAGTTACAGAAGTTAAAATGGTTTATTGGGTTTGGTCCCAGCAGCAGCCATGTTGGACAGGACCACCAGGAAAGGTGCAAGTCAGCAGAACTCCTTCAGCCCGTTTCACTGGTTCTGGGTGTTTTTTTTCAGTCGGACCCGTTTTCACTGGCAGGGTCTGCAACGAGGTGCGAGAATTATCATCTATTTCATCTTTTCTGTCAAACACCTGGTTTCAGTAAGCCAAAACATTATGACCCATCCCTAACATGCCTAGGTGTTTGTGTTTTTCTCTGGTGGTCATAATGTTATGGCTGACTGTAACAGCCACCAGGTCTCAAGTCCTGTAAACTGAGACTGATGGAGATTAAACGCCCCAGACGTAATCCTCATCTCAGTGTTCGAGCGCGTTGCTGGCCAGTTTATTAGGTACGCCTCACTGGTACTCGTTTTTACTTCCTTCTACCTTCAGAACATCGCTAATTTTTCATGTTACAGATCCAACCGGGTGTTTTGAATATTCTTCTGAGGTTCTGGTCCACACTGACATGACAGCATCAGCTCCATCTGTGACGAGAACTTCCCATTCCACCTCATCCCAAAGGTTCTGGCCTGGACTGAGTTCTGATGACTCTGGGGTTTGCTGGAGTCCAGCGAACTTATGTTCTAGAAACCGGTTACAGGTGATCTGAGCTGCATTAAGCTGCTGAAAGTAGCATCAGAAGATGGGTCCAGGGATGGACATAGTCTGCAACAACACCCACGTAGGCTATGGTGTTAAACCAGCCTCAGGCGGGACCAGGGGCTCCAGTGTTAGACAACGTCTCCCATCTTCCCCCCACTACTGTCACACCAGCAGCAGCAGCAGCAGCCTGGAGCGTTGGTACAAGGCAGGATGGATCATGTTGGTGACTCCAAATTCTGAGCTGACAGATTAAATCCAGACTCATCAGACCAGGAAAGCTTTTCCAGTCTCCTTTGGTCTGTGTAAATTTTAACCTCAGGTTTCTGTCCTTAGCTAGCTGGTGTGATATTTTGCTGCTGGAGGCCACCTGGAGCAGCTTCTGCGGACCTTGGGAGGAACCAGAGTTGATCTGAGCTGTCATTGTCTCTCCATCCACCAGAACCAGTACGACCATTCTTTGTAGACCCTAAAGATGGTTGTAGGTTCAAATCCCTGTGGGGCACAACAGTATGTTACCAAACACCGTGCTACATTCAAAGTTCCTTAAATCTTTTATAGTTTCTGATCTGGTGCTCAGGCTGAACTAGATGAGTAAAAGCTGCTGTCTGATTGGCTGGTTGGAAAAGTGTACCTAATAAAGTGGCCGACGTGTTGGTTTTGTTGGATGCAGTGCTGCCCCCCTGTGGTGGTAATATAGAAATTTTGACTCACAAAGAAGGGAAAAAACTATCGTTCAAATCAATAAAAAAAAAAGTTTTGAGTTTTACGTTTGTTTGAGATTTAAAGTTTTGGCCTTAAATGAGCAAAAAACAAAAAAAAAGTTATTCTCTGTTAATATATTCATGTTTATGCAGCAGACCTGATGATCTTAGACCAGGAGCTGTTTTATTTTATACATTTCTTAATCATCTGAGTGACTGATGTCGCTTCAGCGATGGAGGAACTTCACCTGAAACGTTACGTGGAAACGTTTATAGTGTGATATAAAATGTATTTGTATTTTATCTGTAGTTTATTTTGAGTATAATAAAGTATTTATCTGGACAGATGCTGCTCCCCTACCACACACACACACACACACACACACACACACACACACACACACACACACACACACCTGTTTTCATCATCTTTAATAAAAGAACATTAGAAACAATGCGCGTTCCTACTAGAATTGAACTGATCGTTATTTTGAAAACTGCAAATATCATCCATTAATATTTTCTTTTCCTTTTAAGAGAAAGCATCAAATGACTTCCTGACTCTGGAGTCCTTGAACTGCTGCGGTGAATGAAACGCGGTCTTCCTCTGATGGTTCCATATTATTTTTATTACGTTCACCCAACATAATATTTTTGTGTTTAAATTTCACAAACAAATTATGTACTTAATGTTAAATTGACCCATACAAATCTAGTTGTGTTGAACAATGGTAATTAGGTCACAGTAACCAAATAAATCAAGTTGATCCAACATGTTCACATTTTGTTCCATCAACAAAATTCTATATTGCTGAATCAAAGCGTTTCAGTTAGGTGGAAATCATTTCCATAATTTTATTATGTTCACCCAACATTTTCTTTCTTTGAGTGTGCCCTGATGTATCTGAGGCTCAGGAGCTGGACGTTGTGATCAGGGAGATGCTGTTAAGGCGGCTCCTAGTCCTGAGCAGGGGTGGATTGGCCTATCTGGCGTTCTGGCAGTGTCCCGGTGGGCCGCTTAGCCAAGTGGGCTGCTTGCCCTGCTTGGACCGACACTACTCCACAGTTAGTGATCTGCAGAACGTTAGCTACATGGTAACCCGACGCTAACAGAGTTTTTCCAGGCGATTTTAGCAAGAAAAGCGTTGTAGAGCGATGATGTAGGAGTTGTTTTACCGCGTTAGCATGTAGCTAATGTCCCGCTGATCTCCAGCCATGGAGAATGAGCTGATCTAGAAGGCCAGGGCTCCTGGTCACAGTGGCGGCTGGCCAGTAGAGGGCGATAGGGCGCCACCCTCCCAGTTTCCCCAGTGTTTTTAATTTTTATTTAAAAAAATAAAGAAATAGAATATGTGATTATTGTTAATTTTAAGTTAATTGTGTGTTTTGTAACAAAAATAAATCATATATATATATATATATATGTATATATATATATATATATATATATATATATATATATATATATATATATATATATATATATATATATATATATATATATGTATATTTCAATATTGGTCTCTGCCGGTCTCTGCCTAGCGGTGGAGGCTGTGGGCTGTGTTTCAATCGCCCAAACGGGACGAGACCAGTCGTCCAATTGCTGACAAGAAAATCAAAGGGCAGGAATGGGAATGTATCCAATCAGCGTCGACGTTGTTTCAGAAGTATGATGGGCGATAGAGCTACCGCCAAAGGCTTTCGTTGGTGTTCGGTAGAACTCGGAGATTCTCGACTCCAGCACGTTTTTGGTCGTGACGCAGACGTAATAGACATGGACGCCAGTGCGCCTACAACCAGCAGCAGCATGGATACCGGATCTCAGCAGCCACTGAATTCAGTTCGGTCTCTTCTCCAGTATCCGTTCGAGAGGAGCACTATGGTGGAAAAACTTAATGTCAAAGAGCTTGGACCAGATCAGCCCGATGTAAAGATAAGCCAGCAGGAGGAGGAGAGAGGTAAACTGTACACACAAGGCTTCTGGGAAGGCTTGGCTAGCTGGATGCAATCACGCTAATGCGTTATTTTGCTTTCCAAACGACTGTGACAGATGAGGCATGGATTGAGTCAGGAGTTACGGACATGAAACATTTTTCTGAGAAGGTGAAGAAACACGAGTTATTCCGGGCGCACATGGACAACAACACGGTGAAGCTAGCTATGCTAGGCAGAGCTAACATTGCCATGCAGCTAGAGACGAGGGATGCAGGCTTGCAGTGAAGAAACACAATGAAGAAGTGGATCAGAACCGGCACATTTTGTCCAAGAGAGAGATGTCAACACAGTGTATGAGCACAAGGATGACCTCCTCAGATTTTTCAGAGACTCGGATGACTTTGATCCAGTCACTGAGAGAGAGGCAGGAGGCTTTGTGAGAATGCTGGAGGAAGAAGATTTCGGCTTTCTGCTGGCATTGTGTCACAAGATCATGCCACATGTGTGCATGCTGTTCAACCAGCTGCAGAAGAGGAACATTGACTCTGTCTCCATCACAGGAGTCATCCAGAGCTTCACCAACAGTATGCAAAAGATCAGGTACATACTTGTTTATTTAATATTATTGTGATGAAATTCTCCAGTATGTTAGTTTCACAAACAGTAATGTGGATGTGGACCATTTATGGTCATGTTATTTTATGTGCAATTTAATGCAGTATTTTTCAACCTTGGTCCGCAAGGCAGTGTGCCAATAGTCAGACACACCTGGATTAATCCCTTTGTCCAATAATGTAAGACAGGAAATAAAAGAGCTGTGCTTAATTCAGGAAATAGTGAAGTTGTGCACAAAGCTCAGAAAGCACAAGTTTGTTTAAAAAGAATAGCACAGCCCCACCAAAAATATTTTTCACCAGCCGCCACTGTTGGCCACATATGTATTAAATGATCAAGAGGAGATGATTCCATATAAATATGAAATATCAATCCGGTTGGTGTTTGAATGTTTAATCAGAAGACTTTAGCTTATTTTACTTATTCAGGGAACATGCACACTTCATATGAATTCAGACAGAGTCAAGTATATAGTTTAAAAAATTAATTTATTTCCATTTCCTAAACTAATGATTATGCAAGGCAAGCTGTGATGAAGTGATGGAATGGAAGCTAGATGTTTCAGCAAAACCGTTCTTACTATCTGGGAGAGTTTGTGGAGTCTGGGTTGTAAAATCAAGTCGGCTGCGTGGTTTTATAAGCTAAACTTTATTTGTAAAGCCGTCCGATGCCAGTGTGCAGTCTACGATACCCTTGTGTGTGAGTTGCTCCCGGCGGTTTCGACGGAAAGGCGGCCCGAGTGGTGAGGTCACCGGACGTCGAGACCATAAGAACCCAGAGAGTCGTAGCTCCCTTTGAATTCAGCTTTCAGCGGCCATGAGACGCAGCAGAGTCTACAGGTTAGATGTCTGTCTGAGGTGTTGGGCGGCTCTTAAAGGAGCCGTTGTGTCTGAAATCACTCGCAAGCGTTGCAGAGAGGCTTTGACCATGTGGTCAAGAGATAGGATGGTCTCAAAATGGTTGTTCACCGGTTTGGCTGACCCGGGAGTCGGCTGGAAACTGACGAGATCAGGAAGTAATTCCTGCTTCATCACCTTCCTTGTTTAGGGCATTACCAAAACACCTCAGAAGTCACTCCTTCCCTCGAGGCGGTAACTCTGTGTGTGAAGTGGAAATGTTTTAATCTTATTTTAATCTCATGATGTGTGAGTATACTGATAGAACACTGATCTGGTGTAGTTTCAGATCTGAAATGAATCATTGCAGGAGAAATATTCATTTTAAACACATCATTGATTAATACACACATTATTCAGACACTTTGGGATTTAAACATCTGGATTGTTCAACAGTGTTGGGAACGTTACTTTAAAAAAGTAATTAGCTATAGTTACTGATAACTTTGTCAAAAAAGTTACTCGGTTACTTACCGAGTTACGAGATTATAAAAGTAACTAATTACCAAGAAAAACAACTACATTGTTTCTTTTTTCATTAAAGAATGCAAGAAAAATGGGTTCCCCTTTTAATTAAACGTACTTAATTTACTATAAATGACTACAATAGTGAAATATAAATGACTAATGACTGGAACATAATAAAATGTCAAAATGTTTTTTATAAACCTGAATAATTTAAATAAATAAGCACTTAACAGGAGGAACTACTAATAGGAACATTACACTAATCTAGACTATTAAAAGGTCACTGTGTGATATTTAACAAGACCCCAATCAGCTAAAATTAAAAATTGCAAATAGAAACACCTGTAAAGGTTCCCAAGCCTTTAAATGGTCTCTCAGTCTAGTTGAATTACAGAAATAAATGTAATTTTGTACAGTATTTTAATTTTTCCAGCTTCACATAATTGTGTGTTATTAGCAGCATTTCTGTTGCTGCTAATCTAGTAACGGTTAAATAAATAAATAAAATCCTTTAAAATGACACTAGAAGAGGCACAAGCCTGATGGAGGACTTACATTTACCAACGTGGGCCAGACCCAACCACAGAAGAGCTGAAGCTGGGTGGTGAACACACACAGGTAGTTCTAATAACACCTGAGCTCCATGACGTGTGAGACTGATGCATCAGTGTTACAGCGGGACTAAAGACACGATCAGAAACAGGTTACAGCTGGATGATCTAGGAAGGTAGGAGATCAGGACGTCTGAGCGGTGAACAGGTGAGCGGACCTTCGGGACGTCCCGCTGTCCCGGCAAGAAGGGCACGGCTGCAGATCCACACCTGCAGCCGTAGATATTCATCACGTCTTCCTCGTTCTTCACGGCCGTGATGCGCTTGGATGAAAACATCTGCCTCTTTATCCTGATCAGCTGATGACAGCTTCAACACACCGCGCTGCTTAACGCACACATTTCCTTTTGATAAAAGAAGACGGTAATTAATTAGTTTGCTCGTTACAGAAAGAAATATTATTTTTTTTATTAACGCGGTTATTTTAAACGGCGTTATTCCCATCACTGCTCTGTTGGGTCTACAGCAGGCAGTGACTGAGACACTGAGGGTCTCCGCCCACCCGGCCAATCATCATCGTGTTTGTAAGTGCGTTACCGACACCTCTCTCTCCCTGGCTGCAGCTGAAGTGTGGCGGTCAGAAAGCCTCACACTGCTGCTCAATGTTCGACAAGCACATAGTAACGCACAACCTTCCGTCCCCAGTAACGTAACGGAGTTGCATCAGTGGGAAAAGTAAATAATTAGATTACTCCGTTACCCAAAAAAGAACGCCGTTATAGTTAAACGTCGTTACTCCCAACACTGTTATTCAACACATTTGATTGTATCAACCTATAAAGTTGTAAAGTCAGTTATGATTCAAGGAAGATTAACTTTATTCAGAGTGAAAGTGCAGGAGTCTCTCCTTCTGCCTGAGACCTTGAGCAAAGTCATGCTGACCTGGCAGAGGTGACGCTGTCAACTGTCTCCTCCTCATGCTGACTCTGCTGCACAGCGGCTGCACATGAGCTGTGCATGCAACTTTCACACGGGCCAGAGGGGGCTTGTGAACTCTGGTGTGTGCTCCTCCAGGTGAGCCAAATCAGGCAATCAAGAGCTCACCACTAGTGGCTTCTTCATGCATGCAGCAGTCATTCAACCAGTGTGTGACAAAACAATTCAGCTGTGAGCAGGACTTTGATCTTGACAGGCTATCGGTAAGCTCTTGAGGAGATTCACATGGACTTGTTTCTGAGCCAAGTTTTGTGGCAAACAAATGTGTTGGGAGTTTGTGTTTTTTCTTTAAGTTTATCAGAAAATATGGGTGTCAATCCCAATTTATTGAAATTTAATATTTAGAAATGGTAACCCAAGATTCTTTGTTTGAATCCTGAAATTAGTGAATATATTTAGTTAAAATGTAAATAAAACTCTTTGTAAAAATCCTTAGTTAAAACCTTGATTAAAATGGTTAAATAAACACAGGAAACACTGAAAATGTAACTGTGAAAGTAAAAATTTATAAGGTAAAATCTGAGAAACTTTTCTTGTTTAATTTAAAGACTAGAATGTTTAATCTTCTTTCTTTGTGCAATTACCCACTTCTGGGATTAGCAACTAACATGGTTAAAGTATACTTTTACTTGGAACTTAAGTACTTTTTATTTAAATTACAGATGTTGGTTAAAATGCTTTTTAGTTCGTGTTACCTGTAAAAATGCATTTAGTTTTGTTTTCTGTGTGATCTTTAAAAAGTTCTATTTTTGTATTTAAAGGTTTTCACCTGATACTGATGCTGACTTATGATGATCCTGAAATTGGTCAAAGACATCTGAGTGAAGCCAAAGTCTAATCTGTTCAAGTGTAGACGCCTCACAGAAAGAAGAAACACTTGACAAGCAAAGATGTTATGGCTTCGTTGGTCGGTTGCACGTCCTGGAGGCCAGACAGATGTGATGCGTCCCTGGATGTGTGACACGGTTTGTGGCTGCAAATTAAAAGTTAGTTTCTGTCACGGATTTTATCATTATGTTTACCAATAAACCCATTTCCTGGTCGAAGAGAAAAGGAGAGACGCATTAAGCAGACAAGTCAACCAGTTATAACTGTGGCGCACATGCACGAGGCTAAATGCCCCGAACATCTGATCACAGAGTTTATTTAAACGTGTGTGTGTGTGTGTGTGTGTGTGTGTGTGTGTGTGTGTGTGTGTGTGTGTGTGTGTGTGTGTGTGTGTGTGTGTGTGTGTGTGTGTGTGTGTGTGTGTGTGTGTGTGTGTGTGTGTGTGTGTGTGTGTGTGTGTGTGTGTGTGTGTGTGTGTGTGTGTGTGTGTGTGTGTGTGTGTGTGTGTGTGTGTGTGTGTGTGTGTGTGTGTGTGTGTGTGTGTGTGTGTGTGTGTGTGTGGCAGGCAATGAAATATAAAAGTTCCATAACAGTTTCTGTTCATTTTGATGAAAACTTGACCGTTGGTGTGCTACACAGACCTGGTCTAGAGCTAATCTATCCTCACCTGAAGTCAGTGTGGTCTAGAAACATCTGGAGACTGATTTAGGTTTCTCCCTGATCAGACTGAGCCTGCGCCAACAACCCAGCTTTAAACCAGCTGAAACATCCTTTTATTGCTGCAGCAGCAGGTTGAAGAATATTTATAAACAGCAACGAGGACTCAGAGATCAGCAGCCACCACCCGTGCTTCTGAACCGAGGAATGAAAATGAGAACCTGAATGGAAATGTTTCGTTAAAGAGTTCCATCACAGTTTCTTGTCTTCACACTACAGGGCACGTGCACTTGTTGGTGCATTCATTGTAATATGGTGTGTATTAAATCATGTAATCTCTGAGTAGACGTGAATATTGTGCAGCAACACTCATAGACGTAATTTTGGGGGGGGACAGGGGGGACATGTCCCCCCCCCACTTTTTCCAAAGTCAAGTTTTGACCCCTGCACTTTTTACCATCCAAAAACAATATTACGCTATATTAAATTGACACTGGTTGAGCTCTAGGGCCAAGAGGAAAACAACCGTTTGTGTTGAAGCCTGTTTCCCATTAGCGCATACTATAAAGATACCACCCCCCCCCGTGTCCCCCCCACTTCTAAAGTGAAAATTACATCCATGGCGACACTCCTGCATGATGCTTCACAATTACACTGCTTAATGTCTGGATCTGGGTGAGTTTTAGAGACCATGGAGATTCCCGGACCCATGATGATGCCTCGCTGATCAGCTGATCTAGATTCCCTTCTAAAGTCCTATTAGATCTCTGTGCTGATGTTAGATCGGCCGACCCGCTGGTGTCATGCAACCCGGCGGACCTGCTGCTGTGAACAAGTCTGGGTCCTTATAACCAGCAGAAAATCGCTGACGAGCGGGCTTTGATGATTTGAACAATACTTGGCATTACCTTTCATTTAGCTTAAATGAATGCTGACCTCAAATGAGGAAAAATCTCTGTCAGCATGCAGCAGTTTCGAATGGCATCATTAAAATGACTATTGCCGTCTTCCTCTTTGCCTCCACCTTCACATCTGGCCAGTTCCTTTTGCAGGAGCCATTCATGTTTGTAGTTTTCCTTTTGTGAATGAGCTGGCGTGTGCACGCGCTTCTGCACCTCAGGTGATTGGTTGCACCGTGGGTGTGGTTATGAATATGAGCGTGCACCTATTGTTTGGGAATTTTGTTTTGTTTGTGCTGGCCTGCATTACGGCAGCGGGGTGAACTCGGGGAGACATTTCTGTTGACCGCTGTCTCGCCAATTTACACCTGAAAGATCTGCACTGTCTGTCATGGTCTGTGTCGGCGTCTCATCTCATGTGTCTCCTTTTGTTCTCCATTTTTTCTCTAGGTGCTCCTTTTGTGTCCTCTAGCGCCCTCATGTGTCATGTCTGTGTCTCTATATGGTGTCTTCTGTTTGTAGACCTTTTTATCATCCCCTCAGGCCCAGTGTTCATTTATTTATTCTCTGTGCCCCAAGTTGCAGCTCCAGCCTCTTTGTCCCCAGCTGTGTGTGTGTGTGTGTGTGTGTCCATTCCCCAGTTCATTGTGTGTGTGTGTGTGTGTGTGTGTGTTTGTCCATTCCCCATTCCTGTTTATATTAGTGCATTTGTGTCTGTGTGATGGTGTGTGTGTGTTAGTCTTTCCCGCAGCCTTTAGGTTTAGTTTTGGTGTCTTAGAGTTTCTTAGGGTTATTTGGCCCTCCTCTGTTTCTGTTTGCCCATTTTGATTATTATGTTCACCTGTCTTCCCTCCAGCTCTCACTCCACACACCTGCCGCCATTTTCCCTAATCACTTCTCCCTGTGAATATAAGCTCTTTCTTGTCTGTGTCTGGTGTCGGTTCATTGTTGTATGTTGTCAGCGTTGCTCGTGCTCTGTTGTGAGCTTTTGCCTTCAGGTCTTTGTGCTCTTGGTTGAGCTTTGTCTCCAGGTTTTTGTGCTCTAAGAAGAGCTTTGGGTGTTCCTGTTCCCCAGGACTTATTGGACTTTGTCCCGCTGCCTTTGGATTACTACCTTAATAAAGGATTTTTACTTTATCCTCCACCTCTGCCTCGTTCATCTGATATCTGCATCTTGGGTCTTAAACATCCTCCTACACCAACTCATGACATCTGTGAGGTATTGTTTGGCATCTAATCACCATCAATCTAAGTAAGTGCCTGCTTTATATAATAATACGACCTGGACAATAAATGATCAGCTGTGCAGTTGTTAGCCTGCGCGTCATCGGTTAAAAACCCCTTGTTTTAGCCTGCCGTGGCGTGTTGAATAAGTTTTCAAACATACGCCACAATACCTTTTCTTTTAATCCGCCACAGATCTCATTTTTTTTCTAGACGTCTCAATTTCCATGGTTACCAGTGAAATGCCACAGATCAGCTAGCTAATGCATTTTAACCCTCCCACTGATTGATGGTTTATCCCTTGAGGCCCACGTGGCAGGGGTGAGGTGGTGCTCACTCCTCCAATTTGGTGGGAGTGTAACTGTCCCTGAGACAGTTAAAATAAAGTTGTTTATTTCAAATGTTTCTGTGAAAGAGAGATGCTTAATTCGGTTCATTTAATTACTAGATAAGATGATAAAAGTGTAACATTGATTTAAAAACATGTCTAAAATATGTGATTACAAAATATGGGTTTGTTAAATATGTAACGTGCTGTAAAGTTTGTATGAGGTAGAGTTTGTAATGGTCACATGATCAGAGTTTGGTTTAGAGCGCAACCATAGCAACCATAGCATGGATACATGGCTACAGATGCGTCTATAGCCTCGACGTTAATGTCATTCTGCATGTGGTCCAAGAGGCGCACACGGTATGGTTTCATGTATAATGTTTGTATAATGTTGCATGTGTTCTACACGGGTAATGAGAGGACATTTTTGTGATTCATTATTGCGCATTTTCTTTCTGTCCTGCTCAATGGCCAACTTTCCTCGCGGGGTCACCCATAAAGACAGTGGGAGGGTTAATGAAGTCAATTCCAGTCCAGCAACAAGCAAACTGAATATTAAATTTTCAGGTTTGTTCCTTTTCAGCTGGATGAACCTTCTTGGTCCTCTCCTGCTGGACTCTGAAGAGTCTCAGGAAGCCGTGTCGGATTTCTTTGGTGCGAACACCATAGATGATGGGGTTGACCGTCGCTGGGATCAGAATGTACATGATACCCATGATGGTGTTGGCGTCCTTGGATATACGGAGGTTCAGGTTGTGAGACAGGAAGGTGATGCTGCCCACCAGGTAGAAGCACATTATAACCATCAGGTGAGTGCTACAGGTGTGAAAGGCCTTAAGACGATCTTCACTTGCTGCCGTCATCTGTAGAGCAACGCTCAGTATCTTCATGTAGGAGAAGAAAATGATGGGAATGTCCGCACCCACAAAACAGACGATTACAGCCAGGCCTGCTGCACAGCTCTTCTCTGTGCTGTCACACGCCAGGCTGACCAGCGCCATGTGGTCACAGTAACAATGCTCAATGATGTTGGAGCCACAGAACCACTGAGAACCCGCCAAACCCACCAGAGTCGCCATGATGGAGACACTACGCACAAGCGTGAAGAGCGCCAGTTTCAGCAGCATGGATGAGCCCACAATGTCCGCGTAACGGAGCGGCTTGCAGATGGCCACATAGCGGTCCAGGGCCATGGCCAGCAGCAGCGTGGACTCCACTGAGGAGAGGAAGTGAGTGAAGAACATCTGGATAAGGCAGCCAGCCAAGGAGATGCGGTTCAGTTCGAACAGCAGGCCAAGCAACATTCTGGGGAGGATGGTGGAGACCACAAGGATGTCAACAAAGCAAAGGGCGCAGATGAGGAGGTACATGGGGCTGTGCAGACGCTGCACCCGGCGGATTACAAACACCAGCGTGGAGTTTCCCAACAGCACCGACAGGTAGGAGAAGAAGAACAGAAACCCCAGCAGAAGATGGTACGTCTGGAGCTCAGGGAAACCTCTGAAGATGAAGCTGGTGTGGGAAAAGTTCCAGCTGGCTGGAGCCTCCAACATGGTGCTGTCTGACCTGTAAACAACCAGAGAGTCAGCGCTTCACCCAGCTTACTGAAATCACAGGAAGCTGTTTGCCTCTAGGAAAGCCAGCTTTACACATAAGTCGTTTGTTCTTGTACTCGCAGTCGTCACCCAAAGCTCCTGACTACCGGCGAGAAGAGGAACGGAGACCAGCTGGAGCTTCTATCTGGCTTAGCGTTCTCTTCACCAGCACATGGTTCAGCCCCGATCTCCTGCTTCTTCTCCCCTCAGTCGTTAGCTAGACCCAGATGTTAAACTCGTCCCTGAACTGAGGTTGACCCTGACCTCGGATACAGAGGTGCTGATCCTCAACCCAGCTAATTCACACTCAGCTGTGAACCTTCGTAGCAAGAACCGAAGCGGACAACATCATCCACAAAAAGCAGGGGTGAGATGCTCCTACCTCCAAACTCAATACCCCCCATCCCCCGGCTGCACCGAACTTCTGTCCGACCTTCAGGCACCTCAGCAGCCCACTTGCAGACCGAATCCCCGAGATCTTCCACTATCCTGGCGCATGGGCTCTCGCCGTGGCGTTAGATGGGTTGTGATTCATTTGATAACTTGTTAAATTACATCCAACAAACAGCCAAATGTATAAATCCAGACGTCAGACCTTTCTGAGTCACTTAGTGAAGCTCTTAACCCTCTGATGCATGAATTATAAAATCTTCAACCATGATTGTTTAAACAATTTTTTTCATTCATCTTTAGGTGTGAATGAAACAAATTTCAACAAACATTTTTGTACCATTTTGTTAATTTACAAAAAATTTATTACATGTCCATCTCAGTGGACAATATGCATTCTGAACATGAAATATGGTGGCTTAACTTACTGAAGTCCAAATGGAGGGGCTCACGTGCAATAAAGTTTTCAACAGCTGTGCTTAATAGCAAAAATAAATAACAATTTTGAGTACCTGTCCACTGTAGTGACCATTATGCATCAAAGGGTTAAACATACAAGGCCATGTTTCATCAGAGTTCATTCATTGTCCCACCTGATATTACGTTGAATCACCATTTATAATCATTTGCTTTCACCATCATTAATATAGAAATAAATGGATTTTATAAACTATATTTTTGCCTCTGTGTCAAATTATTATAAAGTGTTGTTTCCGTGGCGATACCCAGAGTACCGAGTTTCATCATCAATAGAATATTAAAGGCTCATTAATATTGATAATTAATATTTTTATGAAATATTACATTTTATTGAATACCTTTATGTTCTGTTAACAATTTATTAAAAATAACGACTTACAAATGTTTCGTCAGAGAAAACCGTGAAGTAGAATTTTTAAGACAGATTTTTTTTTTTCGGAGTAAAGACAAAAATTTTATGTGTATTTTATACTAATACTTGTTTTTATTGTTTTTAATACAAGAAAAGTTCAGTAAAATGTTACTACTTACTTTTAATCATAACGTTTAACCTCTTCGACCCATAAACAGGTTTTGTAACTCACTGGAGTTGGAATCAAGCTGCTTTCTGGAGCCGACAGACCTGGAGATGAAAACAGTCATAAACATCATCATCAAGCTTTATTTATAAAGCACATTTAAACAGTGACAATGCCGACCAAAGTGCTGTACAAGACAATACGTCACCAAACTAGATACAGCAACATAAAACAAATAAAAACTTTAACAAAAAAACAGGAAAGCACAAGGGTTGAACAGTCTCAGCCGGTGTTGTGCCAAAAAGCCACTCGCTGCCAAAAAATGATTAGCCACCGTGGGATCGCGCACGGTTAGGGTAATTGCATTTCTAGACGAAAATCCCCAGGATTTGTGGAAGACACCCAGCAGCCTGTGATGGCACTAATAACATCAAGAGATAATAAATAAAGTAATATTTAGGTAACCCTTTACAGGTGACCAGGACACTGTAATCAATTTTTGGCAAGGGAAATGATCTTTTTTTGCCATTTTTGGGTGTTTATGATGATACAGTAGACAGTATGAGTACAGTAACATCAACAGATAATACATAAAACCCTTATTTGGTCAATTTTAGCCTCCATGAAAATCTGAACGATTCAATCACTTTTTGGCAAGTAAAATGCCATTTTAGTTGTCTACAATTAAATCATCAATAAAGAATTTAAAGATATTTTGAGGCGTTTCTTATAGGTAACCAGGAGGGTGTAGTCACTATTTGGCAAGTGACAATCTTAATTTTATGTGCTGAAGTGCTTTTATCTTGTTACTTTTAAATGGAGCAACGTAATGAATAGCAACCTACACAGTGTCATTGTAAAGCCAAAGCTTGATCATTTTAAATACTTTTTTTCAAGTAAAAATGTGCCCCAAACTAGTTAACTGTGGCTCCATGTCAAGTGGACTAAAGAAAGGAAGGGGGGATAAATCAAATCGCTGGAGAAATTTTTATTTCCTTTTATACGACGTTTACATTCAATGCAGGGTGCCGTTTTGCATTGTTTATCTATTTTTTTGTATCAAGGCTGTAACATAAAGAAAGCCAGTTCTTACCACAATCCGTCTTTCAATCGCAAATATTGCAAAAAGGATTAATATATCGTCATTGTGAACGTTTAAGACAAATAGCAACACTTAAAACAACTTCCGAACTGGAAAAATTAATATCCTCGATAAACATCTGTTTAAGTACTGGATGAGGTTATCTCTGCTTTCTGAATGTCCATATTGCTAGATATGCCGAGTTTTAGGGCGAAATCTCGGGGAATCTCGGGGAATCTCGTCTAGAAATGCAATTACCTAACCGTACGCAATCCCGCGTGGCTAATCATTTTTTGGCAGCCAGTCGCTTTTTGGCACAACACCGGGAAGGCCAGGGAATAAAAATAAGCCTTCAAACATACTTTAAAAGTGGGAAGGGAGGGGGCAAGTCGGACCGTCAGGGGGAGTTGGTTCCAAACTTTAGGCGCACAAACTGAAAAAGCCTGTTTGCCACGGGCCATATAGCGGGCCGGAGGGACAAGCAGAAGGTGCTGGTCAGAGGACCTCAGGGTTCGCGCCGGAACACAGGGACTCAAAAGATGTGCCGAATAGGAGGGGACCATTTCATGACTAGATTTGTAAACCAACAGAAGAATTTTGAACTTCATACGAAACCGAACTGGAAGCCAGTGTAAATTTGCCAAAACAGGGGTGATATGCTGCCGTCGGTCTACGCCCGTAAGAAACCTTGCGGCAGCATTCTGAACCAAATGGAGGCGTAGAGAGCTGGCATAGTCCAGACGTGATATTACAAAAGCATGAACAACCGACTGAAGATCATTTTTGTTCAGGACAGATTTTAGTTTGGCCAGCCAGCGAAGACGAAAGAAACACGACTTGACTACCTGATTTATCTGTACATCCATTTTAAAAAAAGCGTCCAGAGTGACCCCCAAATCTGTAATTGTTGGCTTCACCAAAACCGACAATGACGGGGGCAGAGATGGCTCCACAGCAGAGGGGGGGCAGGGGGCAAAGAGAATAGCCTCCAGTTTGGAGCTGTTAAGATGGAGAAAATTAGCCGAGCCAGCCAAATATAAACAGATTGTCTCTAAACAGCTGATTCTGGAAAGATCTGGAGGCAACTGGATGGATGGACGTGTGATCAACATAAACACTTTTATCTAAACAGGAAATAATGAGAGTAACTTCATCAGGTCCTCTTCTGCTGTGTCTCCATGCCGACTGAATCCTGTTTGTAATATTTACATTTTTTAAATTCTCGCAGTCGGACATTACGTCTGACATGAAATCACCAAAAAACTCCATAAAATAACAAGAATGATGCAGACAGAACCAAAACCTGTGATTACCACAGGCAGGTCAACACCGCAGATCTCAGGACTGAAGGAATAAAAACCAGATCCAGATGTTCAGAGCTCATCTGGAAAGTTATATTATGGGCTGTGAATGAAACTGACCTGTCAGAACGCTGTGTGAGAAAAATCATCCTTCCTTCCTGAGAGACGGATCCAAGCCAGAAACTGTTTATCATTAAAACCTAAAGGAAGTAAAAGTTCCTACCTGGGTTCTTCATCGCCTCCACTTCAGTAACAGCTCAGCGTCTTCTCTGCTTGTCTTATAGCTAACGTCCAGATGTCCCACAGGACAGCTGACCCCAAATGCAGCCGTGCTCTTATTGGCAGATTCTCCAGAGTTTTATCAACTCTGCCTAAAACAATTCTCCTGATCACAAAACAATCAGGTTAGTTCTGTTGTTTTAAAAATAATCCTATTTTTTCATTTTTAAGTTAAAAAAGGTTTTTTTACTCTCGTCGTTGGGTTTTTGGGAGTCGGCGGACTTGGAAGGGAACGTTCCCTGTTGGTGGGTCTGTCTGCATCCCGTAGCTCATCTCTCCAAGGTTTAATCTGTTGCTGTTTGTTGGTACATTTATTTCTTCTTGTTAGTTAATTGGCTCAAAGGTCAAAACAGCAGAAGTGAGTTTCCTCTCAGAGGGACGCTGGCACTCGTTAGCTGCTCTGATTAATTGGTTTTGTCTGTCGGACTCCCAGAGCTGTAGCTGGAAGGAGGTTTGTGTCCTAACTAGGGATGTAAGAAAATATCAATATGGCAAAATATCGTGATATTTTTCCCAGCAATATTATATCGATATTCAAAAGCCGTGTATCGGAAATATCGATATGGCAATATATCGTGATAATTTTTACTGTGATTATTACATTGATATTCAAAAGCTGTGTATCTAGTTCCTGAAAGAATTTACATGCAAACATTTGTGTATTTTCTTTTCGTTTTGCGCAACTCAATCGCCACCCGCTAGTTGGCAGCAGTGTGCAGCGGGTTTTGTTTCAACCACTGTAATGTAAATCCCTCCATCATGGTTCAGGTACCTCATGTTAAACATGTTACGTATCAGTTTGGACTGTTTATTGAACATTCTTACAATAAATTCAGTAAAAAAATTGCTTGTAACATCTGACTGAATGTATCGCAATATATCGTGATATATCGTATCATTTCCCCTGTATCGTGATATGTATCGTATCGCCAGAATTTCAAAAATACACATCCCTAGTCCTAACCAAGCACTGCCCTGCCACGGCCAGCATGGGTGTCACCACCACACGTTGTGTTTTTGTGTTGACTCAGCTGGACCAAGATGGGATGCTGCATGGTTCAGCATCCCATCACCAGCATCCCAGCGCCAAAACACAACATGTGGTGGTGACACCTATGCTGGTTTTTCAGCAGGGCGTACATTTTAGAAGGACCAACCCTCAGTGCCAACGCACGTGGGTTTCTGAAGAGCTGATTGAAGTTCAGTAGATGGTTCCCACCATTGCCCTCTTGGTCCCGTCACACGTCACTCCAGGAAAATTGATTGATTGAGACCCAACAAACTCTGAGGTGATGCACCAACGAGCTGAGGTAGCTAAAGCTAACGGAGGTTGGCGGCCACTTTTAACACGAGGCTGAGGTCTTCCCTGTAGCAAGCGGGAGGCAAAATGCTAGCACTGTAGCTCATCTGCTACACTCCTTTAATCAATACATTTGCAGTGGTCTCTAGTAGGAATGAATGCGTTGTAAGTCGTACTTGGGGAGGAAAAAACACCAGTGCATCACTTCCAGGAACTAGAAGTGAGCCACATCACAGCTGAGCGTCAGGCGGGTTTAAGAGTTTCATTTCCTGATATTTGGACATCTCGCCTCTGACTGGATGGCACCAACGTTTGGCTCCCTGTATGTTTCAGGATCGATTTTAAAATACTTTTCACGGTTTTTAAGGGTCTTTACAGTCTTGGGCCTTCTTATCGTTCAGAACCGTGTGAACCCACGCGGTCTCTGCGCTCCTCTGGCAGCCGTCTCCTTGCCATCCCTAAAGTCAGGACACATATTCACGGCGAGGCGTCATTCCAGTACCACGGTCCTCGCCTCTGGAACGAGCTGCCAGGGGACCTCAGGGCCGCAGAGAACGTTCATGTTTTTAGAAACAGGCTCAAGACCCGTCTTTTTAGCTTAGCTTTTAACTGATTACTGTTTCTTTTTGAATAACTTAATTAATTAGGTTATGTATTTATTTACCTATTTATTTTGTGTATTCTTTCTTTATACGTACTTTTTAAACAGAGGTTTTTACCAGACATTTATGATCAACATTATTTTAATATCTATATAACTTTTTATATTACAATTCTCATTTTAGCTCTTATGATTTTATATTTTAACCTTAATATAACATTTTTCCAGTGTTTCCTCTGCGGGAGCCCTCTGCCCCGGGGGCGGTGGTCGGCTGTGGCGGCCTGGGTGCTTTCCAGGTGTGCCTGGGTGGAGGTGGGGGTCTCCGCCCTCCCTGCCCTGGGCGCCCTGTGTCGGCGCCTCGGCTGCTGCTGTGGATCTGCTGCTGTCGGGGCGGATGGCTCCCCTGATGGCGTTTCCTTATCCTTATCTTAGCTGGTCTGGCTCATCTGATCTCAGTCAATCGTGTTTTTTCTATGGGGGGAGGGGCGTGTGTGTGTGTGTGTGTGTGTGTGTGTGTGTGTGTGTGTGTGTGTGTGTGTGTGTGTGTGTGTGTGTGTGTGTGTGTGTGTGTGTGTGTGTGTGTGTGTGTGTGTGTGTGTGTGTGTGTGTGTGAAGGGGTTTTTATTGTCAGACTGTTTTTAAAATTCTGGAGATGGAAGGGAATGTGGGGTCTTTTTAATTTGTTAAGTACTTTGAGTTGCATGTATTGCAGGATTAAGTTTGATTGATTGATTGATCATGACCCTACCACTGATGTTTTAATCTCCACAAATACAAGCCTGGAGGAGTTTTGCCATGTGGTGAAGTTGCTAATGCTAATGGTTAGCTTCTGCTAGCCGAGACGTTCTCTGCTGCTTCCTAGACGCTAAACCAACGACATCCTTTCCCGTCGTGAGTCAAGATGGGTGAGTCCACGAATGCTAAGTGTGACAAAGATCTGTCAGCCTTTTCTAATCCAAGAGTTTCAACGTCTATTTTCTATCAGTAGCTAACGCAGGAGATAGGTGTAGGAGACTATTTTCAAGTTCAGCCTGCATGAAACACTCAGAGTGACCCGTTTAATATAGAAATACGATTTTAAAAATGTTTTTTCTGTGAACTACACCTTTAATACAGAGTGGAAGTACATTAGGGGTCAATAACAATACTTTAGTACAATTATAGTATAAAATACACCTGGTCCATCTAATCAAAAGACTAAATTAGACCTGGTTTAAAGTTACAGAGTAGACGTGATCCGACCTGGTCTAGAAGTAATCAGTAGACCTTAACGGACCTGATCTGGATCCTGAGCAGGTCTGGCTTGACCACGCTCCTCATCTTCCCCTGCGGGTGTTTCTGTCGTTTCCGTATCCTTCTGCCTCGCTTGTGCCGGTTTTGATTGTGAAGCATCTTGTGGTTTTTATTACGAAAGGCCCTAAACGAGTTAACCTTTCTCCTTTGTACCACAGTGACTCTGATTAACCCCCGCCAGAGTGTGAATGTGTGTGTATGGTGGTGCTCACTCCTCACCCCTGCCACATGGCCCCAAGGAATAAACCATCAACCCTGCTCAATGGTCAACTTTCCTCACTGAGTCACACCCGTTAGCAGTGTTGGGAGTAACGCGGTACAAAAGTAATTAATTACTGTAATGCATTGCTTTTTGCTGTAATGTGGTAATGTAAGGCATTACAGGGAAAGAAAATGTTAATAATTACTTGGTACAATTGTCAGTAACGCGGTAATTACAATGCATTTTTAATCCCAGAATCAAGATGTGGGTTTCCTAAAAATTCAAATTGCGGGAAGCCTGAAACAAGATCCAGTATCTGCATTTATGACGTCATTTATGGACTCAGCTTTGCGGGCATTCTGTGAGCAGAGAGGACGCAGCGGTAACGGCTCAAATACTCCAGCTGCGTCCTGCGCGCGGCCGCTGTTATATTCACAAAATCGCTCCACCAAAACAAAATAATTCGTTTGCGATCGTTTATATCAGCTCATATTCTCTGGTACTTCATGTACTTTTCAGCTGAGTTCATAATCTGTGCCCCGGTGATTTCAACTCATTGCTGGGGCGCAGCGCATATGAAGCTTTTTTTTTGCGTTCGGTAGATCCCTTTGGCTGATTAGTTAGAAAGTAGGAAATCTAGTTTACAGTTTTTCTGGAAGACGGAGAAAACATGCAGCATGCAGGAAGGTTAGAGAGAGAAAGGGCCGGAAATTATTCAAATAAAATCAGGAAAAAAAGAAAAAAGTAGGCAGATTTATCCCCAATACACATTTTTACCAGTGAAAAGCAATAATATATAAGCATTTAATATTTATACATGTGATAGAATCAGATCACCCCAGAAGTCAGTCCCACATCCAGGGCCGTATCAAGGCATTTGGGGACCAAGGCAAACATAGGCTTGGAGCCCCCACCACCCCACTCGCTGCTCAGTTAATCTAAGATGGCAGCGTGCTGAGAGTACAGCTTGTTGTTGCTTTTATTTAATAAACAATCATTTTAAAGCACTGTTATTATATCTGACTGTTTTTAACAGCAACCCTAGCTCAGACACCACATCACCTTCCACATGTCATGAGCTCACTGAGCGTCACATGACCAGATTCATACTGAAGTTGTTTTGGTGAAAGTAACTTAAAGTAATGCAAAAGTAGTGTAATGCCTTACATTTTAAAATCAGTAATATTGTAATGTAATGAATTACTTTTAAGTGAGGGTAACAAGTAATAAATAATGCATTACAGTTTTGAAGTAACTTGCCCAACACTGCCCGTTCGGACAGTGGGAGGGTTAAATAAAGCAGAAATCCAAGGATTTCTGTGGAAAATCTGTGCGTAGCACACAAAGCACAACATGTAATAAACAAACATTTATTTTTTCAAGTTTGATGATTATCGGCAGTAAGATGAGAAAATAAAAACAGTTTTCAGGAAAAGCCGTTCAGACGGGTCGAGACGACGACAGCATCTTCAGGATGTGTTGCCGTATCTCTGTGGTTCGGACGCCGTAGATGATGGGGTTGAAACAGCTGGGAAGGAACAGGTACATGATGCTGACAGAAACCCGACCGGCTCCCGGAAGACGGTTCCCCAGTCGATACGACAGGAACGCAGTCAGGACGAAGGTCAGACCCACCACCATGACGATGATATGAGTGGTGCACGTGTGAAGAGCTTTAGCTCCAGATTTACCCGAACGCAGCGCTGAGTGGAAGATGAGCATGTACGAGATCACGATGAAGAAGTCAAACACGGTGACGAGGAACACGGCTACCAGCCCAACCAGACTGTTGATGGAGGTGCTCCCACAGGCTAGCTCCACCAGCGCCATGTGCTCGCAGAAGCAGTGATTAATCACATGACTGGAGCAGAAGGACAACCTTCCTGCCAGGCTCACCACCACTGAGACCAGGAACACGTTCCTGACCAGAAACAGGACCACAAACTTCAGGAACCTGCGTACCGACATGCGCTCGTGGTAGTAGAGCGGTGTGCAAATGGCAAAGTAGCGGTCCAATGCCATCCAGAGCAACAGGGTGGACTGACAGGTTCCCAATAACTGAACGAAATACATCTGAACCAAACAGCCACTCAGAGAGACCCCCCTTTGGTCAGAGACGATGCTGAGCATCAGGGTGGGGAGGACGAGCATCGGCTGGATCAGGTCGACGCCCGCCATGCCGCCGATGAGGATGTACATGGGCGAGTGGAGGCTCCTCCGTGAAATGATGACGTGCAGCAGCAGGGTGTTGGCAAACAGCGACACAACGAACAGGACGAGGAGGGGGGCGAAGAAGAGGGGCCTCAGGGCTCCAAGTTCAGTGAAGCCACTGAAAATGAAAAATGTGTGTGAGGAGATGTTTTCCTTCAGTGGCTCCATCCTCTCCTCCTCCTGAGCTCCAGAGCCGACCTGACAAGACAGAACAACATGGAAGGTCATCTTCTCACTGGCGGTATGCTGGTGGGGGGGTTCCCACTCACCAGTAATCATCCAGCACATAACCCTAACCCTTCATTTGCTGTCTGGGGAGCAAAAGCTCCTCGGACGAGACGTGAAGTGTCTTCAAGAAACCAAAGAAGTCCAGTGACCTTCGTTTGAACCCCTTTGGACTCTCACTTCCCGATGAAGATGTGCAATCAGCGGCAAACAGCTGAGAGGCTTTATCAACAAAACACACTGAAAGCAGTCTGAGCTGTAACACATATAAATGATCGTCAGAACCTCTGTCCTGCTGTCGTCGCCTCAGCATTATTCATTCACTCATTTAACAGGAACAGTGCACATATTCAAACATTCATGCACGTAAATAAGCCAGATTTTAATCTGGGGTCCCTGAAGGTCACACAAATCATTATAGCACAGAGAAAAGGGCAGCAGCTGCACGGGGACGCACGACAGACACACTCATTAGAGATCAAAGGTCAGTGGTTGCACGACCAGTTTGCTTTCAGCTGGCGTTTGAGTCGACTTTTATTTATTTTTATTTATTTAGGACAGTGCATGTTAATGAACATAAATGTAGAAGCAGCTTATATAAATGTAAACATGCCAGATTATAGCCAAAAGCTAATCTCCATCTGTTGTCCCTAGACATAAAAAGACATAATAATTAATACAAATTCATCATTCATTCATAATAAAAACTCCATCACCAAACTTACACATGCACACCATTCTATTCACAAATCAAACATTAAAACTATACAACTCATACATGATCACACACTTGATTTGTCCATAACCAGTTTTTAACCTTTGCCTTAAACAAATTGAAAGTCGAGCATTCTCTAATGGGTCGAGGAAGACCGATCCACAGACGGCCGCCCTCGACGGAGAGGACGTTCAGCCCAAATGCTCTCCGTCTGTGTGGTATAAACATTTCTACTGGAATTGTAGCTCGCGTGGTCCTGTTTGAGCTTTCTTTATGCCAATGAACTGCTTTAGTGGTGGCGGAGCAAGGGAGTGTCAGACTTTATATATTAAACAGACTCTTCTAAGTTTCATTAAGTTATTGAGGTTCAGTAATTTATGTTTTTAACACATGACAATGGTGGTGGGAAGTCGGTTTTTTGTCAAGTAATTTTAAACTTCTTGTATAAATGTTTTCAATAGTTTTAAGTGTTGTTGGACAAGCAAGTGACCAGGATGTCAGACAATAGTCCATGTGAGAGATGATCAATGAGTAAAAATAAGTTTGTGCAACTTTCATATTTAGATTATTACGTATATCAGTAAAATTTCGATTATTAAATTTAAGTACCTGGGACACTTTATTTATGTGACTCTTGAAGGATAATGTTGGGTCTGGTACTAGATCAAGCTCGACTCCATCCAGGAATATATTTGACTGCTTCAAGTTTAAGGGACGTTTTGAAAAATACATACTTTGAAGGTTTGTAGTGTTGAGCACTCCTTCACGAGGAGCAGGAGACCTCACTGTCCTCCCCAGAAGACTCTGTGGTCCTGAGACAACACCATGTAGCACCCCGTGTTTCAGACGGACATGAAACCACTTTGGTTCTTCTGTCCAAGCCCTTCAGGGTCGTTTTATAGAGATTCTATGATTTGTGTGATTTTCCACCTCTCAGCGACTAACATGTGAAGCAGGAGGCACCGTGTGACAGAATCATTCAGTGTAAAAGCGTTTCTGCACCAGTAAGTGTGACCAAAGGGCATCAGGGCTGTATCAGCTGAACTTCACAGTCACCAAACTCAGAGGTTCTGTGACCCAGGAGCCCGGACTTCAGAGCCGACTCCTGCCTGAGGTCCGTCTCAGCTTCTCCTCTGTTTCCGAGTTCCTGTTTGCTCCTGCAGCTTCACAGTTCCAACTCCAGTAAAATAAAGGAAAGCACCAAAATGAGACAAACCCTTCCTGTGGAGATTTCAGGTGAAACACAAACCTGCCAAAGAGCAGTCTTTCGTGTCGGACTTCACATCAGTGAAGATGCTGAAACACAGAAATCAAAGACACTCGGCTTTTCTCCAAAGCTTCAGCTGTGCCTCGCATGAAGACCCTGGAACAAGCAGAAGAATCAAGAACAAAGTGACAACAGCAGTGGCTGGAGACGGTTCAGCTCTGCAGAGAACTACCTGCTGGGGGTTTGGTGATGAAAGCATCTGCAGGACGAAGATGTCTTCTCCACCCAACTGTCCACTACATCTCACTGACTCAGCACTTTTAAATTCTCTGTCTGATTCTGCTATTGGCTGAAAGTGGGCTCCACGCAGTTGTCCTCCCAAATGTGAAAAAGTTGTTTCAGCGGGAATTACAGGCCCTCAAAACCGGTTCCTGTGGTTTTCTTCACATTGAAAAACTTCACTTCCACCAGGATTCAAGCGATGAAGAGTTTCAGGGTCTTTTCGTCCTCTTCCTCTGTTTAAAACATTACATTTATTCAATCCAGTTTATTATTTTTATATATCACCGGTTGAAAAGTGCAGTTCAGTTCCAGATTCAAGAAATAAATAAACTATAACTGTAACCCTTAAGGACCTGTGGTGTCACAGCCTTTTTCTAGCATCAGCAAAATTACTTCTTGAGTCATATATTCTAGTTTGACAACTTTTTTTATCCATACATGTGTCGAAAATTGTTTTAATTTAATTTAATTTAATTTAATTTATCCATTTTCATCAACTTATCCAGAGTCGGGTCGCGGGGGCAGCAGCCTAAGGCGAGAGGCCCAGACTTCTCTCCCCACCCACTTGGGCCAGCTCCTCCGGGGGAATCCCAAGGTGTTCCCTGCCCAGGTGAGAGACATAGTCCCTCCACCGGGTCCTGGGTCTACCTGGAGGCGTCCAGGAGGCATCCTGACCAGATGCCCTAGCCACCTCAACCGGCTCCTCTCGATGTGGAGGAGCAGCGGGTCTACTCCAAGCCCCTCCCAGATGACCGAGCTTCTCAACCTATCTCTAAGGGAGAGCCCAGCCACTCTTCGGAGAAAACTCATTTCAGCTGCTTGTACCCGCAATCTCGTTCTTTCGGTCGCTACCCCAAAACTCATGACCATAGGTGAGGGTAGGAACGTAGATCGACCGGTAAATCGAGAGCTTTGCCTTCTGACTCAGCTCTCTCTTCACCACGACAGACCAGTACAACGCCCTCATCACTGCAGATGCAGCATCAATCCGCCTATCGATCTCACGCTCCAGTTTTCCCTCACTCGTGAACAAAACCTCGAGATAATTAAACTCCTCCCCTTGGGGCAGGACCTCATCCCTGACCCGGAGAAGGCATTCTACCCTTTTCCGACTCAAGACCCATGGTCTCAGATTTAGAGGAGCTGATTCTCATCCCAGCTGCTTCACACTCGGCTGCGAACCGCTCCAGCGAAAGCTGAAGATCACGTTCTGATGAAGCCAACAGGACCACATCATCTGCAAAAAGCAGAGACCTGATCCTCAGGCCACCAAAACGGATGCCCTCCACACCTTGGCTGCGCCTAGAAATTCTGTCCATGAAGGTTATGAACAGAATCGGTGACAAAGGGCAGCCTTGGCGGAGTCCAACTCACTGGGAACGAGCCCGAATTACTGCCGGCAATGCGGACCGAGCTCTGACACCGGTCATACAGGGACCTAAGAGCCCGTATCAGAGGGCCTGGTACCCCATACTCCCGGAGTACCCCCCACAGGGCCCCCGAGGGATGCGGTCAAACGCCTTCTCCAAATCCACAAAACGCATGTAGACTGGTTGGGCAAATTCCCACGCACCCTCCAGGATCCCCCAAGGGTATAGAGCTGGTCCAGTGTTCCACAGCCAGGACGAAAACCCCGACGGACCCTCCTCTCCAGAATCCCTTTATAGACCTTACCTGAAGGCTCAGGAGTGTGATCCCCCTGTAGTTGGAACACACCCTGCGGTCCCCCTTTTTAAATAAGGGAACCACCACCCCGGTCTGCCAGTCCAGTGGGACTGCCCCCGATGTCTACACGATATTGCAGAGCCGCTTCAGCCAACACAGCCCCACAACATCCAGAGCCTTAAGGAACTCCAGGCGGATCTCATCCACCCCCGGAGCCTTGCCACAGAGGAGCTTTTTAACCACCTCAGTGACCTCAGCACCAGAGATTTGAGAGGCCAACCCAAAGTCCTCAGACTCTGCTTCCTCACTGGAAGTCGTGTCGTGGGATTGAGGAGGTCTTCGAAGAATTCTGCCCATCGATCCACAACGTCTTGAGTAGAGGTCAGCAGCACACCGTCCCCACTGTAGATAGTGTTGGTAGCGCATTGCTTCCTCCCCCTGAGGCACCGGATTGTGGACCAGAATCACCTCAGTCTTGCTTCATGTTCTCACCGAACTCCTCCCATGCCCGCGTTTTTGCCTCGGCGACCACCCGAGCCGCGTTCCACTTGGACTGCCGGTACCCGTCAGCTGCCTCTGGAGTCCCTCAGTCCAAAAAGACCTGATAGGACTCTTTCTTCAGCTTGACAGCATCCCTAACCGCCGGTGTCCACCAGCGGGTTCGGGGGTTGCCACCACGACAGGCACCGACGATCCTGCGACCAGAGCTCCGGTCGGCCGCCTCAACAATGGAGTCATGGAACAGAGTCCATTCAGACTCAATGTCCCCCGCCTCCCCCGGAACATTTTGGAAGTTCTGTCGGAGGTGGGAATTGAAGCTCCTTCTGACAGGAGACTCTGCCAGACGTTCCCAGCAGATCCTCACGATACATTTGGGCCTGCCTGGTCTGACCGGCACCCTCCCCCACCATCTGAGCCAACTCACCACCAGGTAGTGGTCAGTTGACAGCTCCGCCTCTCTCTTCACCCGAGTGTCCAAGACATGCGGCCGCAGGTCAGAAGAAACAACAACAAAGTCGATCATCAAGCTCCGGCCTAAGGTATCCTGGTGCCAAGAGCACATATGGACACCTTTATGTCTGAACATGGTGTTCATTATGGACAATCCATGACTGGCACAGAAGTCCAATAACAAAACACCACTCAAATTCAGATCAGGGGGGGGGGGGGGTGTCCCTCCCAACCACACCTCTCCAGGTCTCACTGTTGTTGCCCGCGTGAGCGTTAAAGTCCTCCAGCAGAACGAGGGAGTCACCGGAAGGAGCGCTCTCCAGCACCCCCTCCAAGGTCTCCAAAAAGGGTGGGTAGTCTGAACTGTAGTTTGGTGCATGAGCACAGACCACAGTCAGAACCTGTCCCCCCACACATAGGCGGAGGGAGGCTGCCCTCTCATTCACCGGGGTAAACCCCAACATACAGGCACCAAGATGGGGGGCAACTAGTATGCCTACCCCTGCTCGGCGCCTCTCAGTGGGAGCAACTCCAGAGTGGTAGAAACTTTAGTTATTGAATTTAATTGAATTTAATTATTTAATTTTTATTCTACATTTTAAGTATATTTATTTGAATCTGTTTTCCAATCTGGTTTGTGTTCTTAACAAGAAGATCAGAAATAGAAGATGGCGCTCGATCTTTCAGAGCTTTGAGCTGAGTTGAGTTGACTTGAGTTAAGTTAAGTTTAGCTTAGTTTAATTTAGCGCGGTACTCATGGCCTGCGGGCCCCTTCTTTGTGGTCCCCAAATAGTGCCCAACCCCCCACCCCCAGACTGTCAAGCGGGAGGGATAAGAACGGTGCTGGTGTGCATGTATTGTGCTGTTAAATTGCACACTTGTTAATAAACCTGTCAACACACCTGTTTTCATCCATGTTATCACTTTTTATCTCACCTGTTAACCCATCCATCCACTTTCTGAACCCGCTCTGTCCATGTAGGATCGCAGGGGGTGGGGTACGGGGGAGGGGGGGGGAGGGGGGAGGGTTGCTGGTGCCTATCTCCAGCAGTCAACGGGCAATCAGGCGGGGTACACCCTGGACAGAGAGCTATCCCATCGCAGGGCAACACAGAGACACACAGGACAAACAATCATGCAAACACACACACAGGGACAAATTAGACAGACCAATCAACCTAACAGTCGTGTTTTGGACTGTGGGAGGAAGCCGGAGAACCCGGAGAGAACCCACGCATGCACAGGGAGAACATGCAAACTCCATGCAGAAAGATCCCAGGCCGGGAAGCGAACCCAGGACCTTCTTGCTGCAAGGCAACATCTCTAACCACTGCACCACTATGCAGCCCACCTGTTAACCCAGCTGTTTTATTTAATTTATTACATCTTTATTAATACACTCTGGACTTGTTGCCTGCCTCCTGCTCCACCTGCTTGTCCACCTGAAACCTTCCTTCCAGCCTACAACTCATTACATTTATTTTCTGCTACAACCAGCTGTTTCCTCTCAGCTGAAGTCAGTAGCAGATAAAATGAAACGTTGAGGTGACACTATTATACCTGATAGAGAACATGCTTAAGACTAATTCCAAGAAGAACAGGAGGATGAAACAGATTACTGAATGCGTTAATGATTTAAAACATATGATTTTATTCACTGTGTTCACGTCCATCTAGTCCAAGTAACACACGTTTTATGAGCAGATGTGTTAGGAACAGAAAACGGTCTGGACAGAAGGTCTCCAGTGGGCCAGCAGCTTCAGCATGTGCTGTCTAATCTCAGAGGTTCTGACTCCGTAAATGATCGGGTTGAAGCAGCAGGGAAACAGCAGGTACATGGTGCTGAAGAAAACCCGAATGGCTGCAGGCAGCCCGTTTCTGATCCGATACGACAGGAAAGCGATCAGCGCCAGCGTCAGACTGAGGGTGATCACCACAGTGTGTGTGACGCAGGTGTGCAGGGCTTTGGCTCCAGAGCTTCTAGACTTCAGCACAGAGCTGAAAATCCTGACGTAGGAGACGGCGATGACAAAGAAGTCAAAGACAGGAATGAGGAACACAGCCATCAGTCCTGCTAGACTGTTGATGGAGGTGCTTCCACAGGCCAGCTCCACCAGGGCCATGTGCTCACAGAAGCAGTGGTTCATCCTGTCGGTGCAGAAGGAGAGCTTTCCTGCTAAACTCACAAACACGGTGATGAGCAAAGCATTTCTGACACACAGCGGGATGACAAACCTGATGAATCTCTGCAGAGCCATCACCTCGTGGTAGTAAAGAGGCGTGCAGATGGCAAAGTAGCGATCCAGAGCCATCCACACCAAGAAGGTGGACTGAAAAGCTCCAAAAAAGTGAATGAAGTGCATCTGAATCAGGCAGCCAATCAGAGAGATCCCCTTCCAGTCAAACAGGAAGTTCAGCAGCATGTTGGGCACAAAGAATACTGGGAGGCAGAGGTCAACGCAGGCCATGCCAGCTATAAGGATGCTCATTGGCTGATGAAGGGCTCTCCGGGAAATTACCACATACACCAACAGGGAGTTGGCCAGCAGCGAGACGACGAACATGAGGAAGAACGGGAGGAAGAGGACGGGTCTCAGAGCTCCGAGTTCTTCAAAACCAACCAGGATAAAGTGTTTGTGTGAAGAGATGTTGGTCATCCTGCTTTCAGCCGGAAACGCTCCCGTCACCAGCCTGCAAGCAGAGAGAATCAGATGCTAACGTTTACAGAAAATCAGCCGATTACAGCCGTCAGCATGGCGGTGGAAGGCTGGTGGTTTGGGCTGGTGCTGACCCAACTGGACCCACTGAGTCCATCAGGATTTCTTCTGTAGACCAAAGTGTTCTAGATTCTAAAGTGAGTCCAATTATCTGAGGTTTGGATCAAACTAGATGATGAAACAGAACCGTGATCCAGAACACAGCAGCAGATCTACAACTGAACCAAGGTGCTGCAGGGGTCCAGTCAAAGTTCAGACCAGAACCTGGCTGTAAGCGATAAGTCCTCCTTCAGAAGTCCTCCAGAACCACATGAGAGTCAGCTTTTGTTTAATAAACTTGGACTTTGCACGAATCATCGCTCTATGACAGATGTTAAAGATTTAAAATCTTTTTATAAGACAACAAAAAGCAAAAGTCCAAGATCCTTTTGGACCTTGTCTAAAAGCAGAATGTAGCTGATGGAAATATTTCTGATGATCAAAGCAGCTGCAAAAGCATTCTCTCAACCTGACAGGTAATTCTGTGAGTGAGTAGGTACTGAACTGGTCCAGGAGTCAGCGTTGCCAACCCAGACGGGATCTGAAGGAGGAACTTAATGCAGATCCAGGCAGCTGGTTTCACCCACAGAGCGTCTTCTCCTTCCTGCAGCAAACAGCACACCCCTGCAGGCGAGAAACCGGTCAGCAGCTCAACAGGATTTCTAACGATCAGCAGCTGGATGCTGCAGGCGTGCAGAAGCTCATTCACAGAAACCAGCAACCAGCGAGGTTCTGCTCAGAGTCACAGAAGAGATTGTGGGATTTGCCTGAATAGCAGTCCCATCACCTGGAGGAGGAACCTGCGGTGTTTGATGATGGCGCCTCAGATGATCATCAGCTGATCCGTCACTGATGCTGCTGCTTTATACTCTCTGGATGAGGCTGGCATCCCTGTGGGGGCCTGTATCCATTTGTTTGTTCATTCGTTCCACACGTTTCTGTGAAAATACTGAAAGTCCTGACAGAAACCTCAACAGCCCTGCTGGTGGTTGGAGGGCAGCATTTCTGTCAGTGTGCCCCAGGGCAGCCAGGGCTCCATTAGCTCGCCACCATCCGTTTGTAAATGTGTGCATCGCTGTTGTGTTGTAAAGCACCTCGGGGTTGTTCAAGGATTTTAGAAGCACTTTTCTGAAAAGTTCATCTCCTGCTGCCAAACGTGGAAGTGACAAAAACAGCAGTTCCTCCCTCGTCCACTAGGGGCTGGCACCAGAGCGGAGCACGTTCCCATTGACTCCCAAGTTCAAAGCGCCAACTTCACAGCAGAAATAATTACATTTAGAGCCTTTTCCAAACATTTATTTTAGTTTTAAAGTGACACTAAGCAGTTTTTTTTACACTCGGCCTAATTCCTTTTAAAGCGGGGTTCAGTGGTTGTGTTGGTAAAAATCATCGACATATATACTGGACAATTCATTTCCATAGGCTCCAATAACACGTTTTTGTGCCAAGATGGGAGGTGGCCACCACCGCCATTTTGACCGTGTCACAGGTTCCGTCAAGCCCAGACAATTCCATAAAAGGGAAGAGAGGAGGAGCTGAGGGTGGGGCTGTAAGGTTGGGATCAACTTACGACACTACAACTAGCTACAAGCTAACCTGAAGCTAACCCAAAGCTAACGCGGAGGTGGGAGCTAAGCTAATGGAGGTAGCAACCTAGCTACAACCGGAGTTAACTGTGCACAACACCAGAGCTTCTGAGTCAGAGATAGGCCGGGCTGACCGCTGGGTAAAACCGGGTGGAACACAGAGGTCTCCCGAGACCTCCACAAGCTGGCAGCCGCACAGCAGACAAGCGCCGCTGCGATCTGAGATGCACAGAGCTGCCGCTGGGGAGAACCGGGTGGAAAGGTTTCCATCCCAGAGCTCCACAAGCCGGCAGCCCGCGCAGCAGACAGAAGCCACGATCAGACAGAGATGCACCGAGCTGTGGGGAGGGGAGAACGGGTGGAAAACATCGGTCTCCCGAGAGCTCCACAAGCCGATAGTGGGAACCCAGCTCCACCAACATGTTATATTTCAACCCATTTTCTAAAGTGCAGCATTATGTTAAATGCACTGGGTTTTACCCTATTACATTTAAATGTCATGGTTAAACAGTACATGTTAAAATCTAAGCTCAGCTCGGCAGTGACCTAAAATACATAAATATAATTTTACTTACTGAAAAAAACGAAGTGGAGACTCCTTGGACGCTCTATTAGTGCAATTAATGCCACAGCAAGTCATTTGGTCCAACAATTGCACAAATAATATAAAAAAAAGAACGCACAAATGCTACAACTAATGGTCTAAGTTGAGAGACTGAAAAATGACCGAACAGTTTCCAGGCCAGACCGAGGCTCTACTGAGGCCTTTCCACGGAGCTAGCTCTGTGGTCACGTGGGTCTGATGCTCATTAATTATACCGATTTTTAGGCTTTTAATACACTTAAACAGAAGAGTGAGAAAAAAATTCACCCCCCTCAGAGTTGTCATGAGTGTAAACTAGATCATTTAAACCAAAAACATGTTTTGGTACCAGGCTGTAAACATGTTTATTTCTGCTGTGAAATTGGTATTTTTAACATGGGAGTCAATGAGGATTTGCTCGCTTCTGACACCAGCCCCTAGTGGATGAGGGTGAAACTGCAATTTATTTCACTTCCGCATTGGACTCAATTTCTGTCCCGCATTGTGGGGGCTTGGTTCACCTAGACACTGCCAAGCTTCTAGAAGCCAATACCCGGTCAGGGACTGGATTCTCTCCTAACCCTGAGGTTCCCACTAACAGTCAGTGGAGTTCTCCTCATTGAAGATTAGGCCTTCAAACTGCATAAGTGGGGCTTCTGACTTGTTTGTGTGGATCATGCATCTCAGAGTATGTCGCCTCTACAGTCTCTGGATGAGGTCATGGATGGGGTTTCAATTGTTGTCCTGGGAGACCTCGGTGCCAGGGTTGGGTAATGATGGGTTATGTGATGGGGTCTGATCCAGACTGTGAAGCAGCAGAGCAGATCTTCACCCCTTCAGATGTTGGGTTCACTTTTGTGATCTAACCTGAAACCAACGCCCTGTCTCTACTTTTGATGCACTTCTTTAGACGTAGCTTTCCGAGCTAACAGTTCAGGTTTATTTGACCCCTGCAGCTCTAAAAGCTCTAACTAAGGATGAATAATTTAAAATCTTAATTAGGGATCCTGTAACCAATGGCGCCTCCAAGGGGTGGCCAGGGGTGGCCACGTCCACCCCTATCAAAAATTTCTGGAGGTGCCCCTGCCTGTAACGTGTTGAACGCTCACTCGTCATGACATCATCATGAATTTCCCTGTTCTGAAGAGCCACATGGAATATTTCCTCATCCTGACTTGATGCAAAAATAAAAGGATCAATCTTTATTTCTGTTTTCTTTTAGATAATTTGTTTTAATTCATAAATAAACAAGAAACTCCAGAGGTGAAGTCAGGGTTAAATGAAGCTGCTGAACTTTCAGGCTGCATCGTGACCTTTACTGTTCACAGTCAGGAACTCCCTAGAATGCGTTGATGTTTCCACCTGGGGTCAGAGGTCACCTGTGTGATTTCATCATGTTTACTGTTGCATCTGACGGTAATGAGTCCCGGTGGGAGTCCTCGCTGCACCAGGACCCGGAGGACCCGGTCTGTGCGGACACTCGGACTCTAACAGGACAATTAGCAGGATGCTCTGTTGTTGCTATGGTTACTGCAGCCTCAGGAGCAAACTAGGAGGGGGAGGGTGTTACATCAGCAGCATGGGCTTCATTAGTTTTATTAAATACATTTGTTTTGTGGTTATTACACAGACGGAGCTCACAGATGAACACCAAAGGTTCTTGTACTTCTCAGTATCTGAGGGTGAAATGTTCCTGAAGATCAAAGGTCATCTAAGGTCAACAGAAACACAAGTCCAGACTGTGTGAAATTCAATGATTTCCACCGATCAGGAAACTGAGACTTGGTGGAAGAACCCGACCAGAACCAGAATCTCTTCTTAGGTTCCATTGAGTCGTAACATGACATAACATAAAAACACATTCATGGTTCGAGGATGTTTGCTTTTTCAGAAATATGGCCGGCTCTGTCGTTTTTACTGTTCGCCACTAGAAACCGACCTGGTCTCTGTTCCAGACTCGTGGAGAAGCTCAGTGGGCCTCCTGGACTCAATCATGTAGCCAGAAACACGCCTCCTTCTCCTGCTGCAGGTCAGAGAGGTCAGAGGTCATCCTCAGCATGAAGAAAGGTTTGGTAGGTTTGAGCAAAGCTGAAGTTTTTGAACCGTTTTTTTAAATTTTTTGCCATTTTTGTCCTTCTGAGTTAATAAAAAATAAAAATGAATTTTATAATTTTATCAAAAGTCGACTTCTGTAAAACACCAGAGCTTTGTTTCCTAACGGGGCCAAAATCAGACAAAGACAGAAACGTCGTTTTGGTTTTATTTAACTTTGATCTTTACTAGCTCAGTCATCCGATCCTTGACCTCTGACCCCATTTGCTTTATTTCATCTATAAACTCAGATCGTTAAACACGTCTCACTGAACCGGTTCACTAGTCAGCTTCATGTTTGTTTTCTACATTCAGAATCAGGTTGTGACAAGCGTTCTTAATTTTTGACATTTTCAGGCCGTACAGCACAGGATTAAAGAGAGGCTGGACCGTTAGGAAGTACAACGAGAGAAAAATACGCAGGACGTTGGGCAGGAAGCTCATGTTGAATCTGCTCTGAGAAACCTCAAAGCTGCCGGCTATAGAAAAGTTCAGGATGGAGGCCAGGTGAGGCGTGCAGGTGCTGACTGCTTTCTGTCGAGTCTGACTGGATCCAGAAAAACACACAACAAAAATCTTAGTGTAGGTGTAAAGAATTATAAGTAAAGCAGCAAGGATCGTGCTGAAAGTAGCACAGAGGCCATAAATGTTGATCAGAGCGGTGTCTGAACAGGCCAGTTTGACCACAGAGTGCATGTCACAGTAGACCTTGTTGATGCTGTTCCCACAAAGCTTCAAAGGGGAAATCAGAGACAACGAGACAAACATCGCACAACTGGGATACAACCAGCTCACAGCAATGAGCCAGAAGATCTTTGTTGTTGTCATCCTGCTGTTGTACTGCAGAGGGTGGCAGATAGCCAGGTACCTGTCGTACGACATGACGGCCAGGCTTAAAAACTCCACAGCCCCGTACGAGTGAACAATAAAAACCTGCAGGAGACAGAGAGGAGCAGAAATGGTGTGAAGGTCAGAGAGAGTCTGAATCAGCAGGGAGGGAAACAAGCCTGTACTTCCATACAGCTCATTCACAAACAGGCTGCACAGAAACATGTACATGGGTTCATGTAGAGTCCTGTTCACACAGATGACCACGATGAGCAGAACGTTACAACCAAGGATCAGAACGTACAGACACACAACAACGAGGAAGCACAAATATCTGAACAGTCCAGAGTCAAGATAAGCAGCGAGAGAGAAGAAAGAAGCTTGTGAGGCGTTTAGCATCGTCTCTCTTTACTTCCACAGCTGCTCAGCTAGAAAAGCATCTTTAGTTTTTGGTTTGGATCCATAAAAGCAGGTTGAACTGGCAGTGAGGCGACACATCCTACATGTTAGGTACAGCGTGGCGATCCTGACCACGGCTGCTGTGGATTCACTCATCCAGTCAGGACCAGGACGAACACGTGGAACAAATCCACCAACATCAGCTGCCTCCAGCTGTGAGCTTCATTATAAGACACCTGCAGATGGACATCATCATCACCACCCCACCCCTCGAAGACTGGGTTGGTTGTCTTCTAGAAGTTGGAAACCGCACAGGAACTCAGACACAACAGTGATAAGAGTTGTTTACATAAACTAAAACTGATACCTGGCCACTGCTCTAGGGAGATGACCATTCAGTCTCCACGTCCTTCTTCTCCTCCAGGACACATGGACCTCCACCAAAACTCACGAGACTTTTATATGCAGTTAGTAAATCTGGAGTTTTCCTCTTTTCAGGAATCATGTTTTAGATCTCCATAAACGTCTGACCCTCTTCTGTGATAAAGTGTAGATAACACGTCAGCGTCTTTGTTTTGTGCTAAGCTAACACCCTGTCCCATAGAGTCCTATCCAATTTGATTGGATCGACATTCGCTTACCTACCGAAGTCAACCACAGAGCGTGCACGCTCTGAGTAGCATTTAGAGCTGTGTGCACAGCTGTGAAGACACAGGGCATCATGGAGCAGGTCCAACCACCTTCACAGCCACAACAAATACAATTCCATGACGTCTGGCTTCCATTCAAAATCAGAAGATTAAAGACCAAAGTCTCATTAGTTTTCACACACTCTGGTGTGTGTGCAGAAATTTGTTTTCTGCATTTGACCCATTACCTGGGGGGGGGGGGGGCATACACGGCCATGCTCAGGTACTAGATTGTGGTTTAACCCCCCATTCCAACCCCTTAAAGCTGAGTGTCATTGGGTCTTTGGTACGATCCGACGGGATTTGACCCCGTGAGTCTAAGGGTGGACTCATACCACTGGGACACTGAGTTGGTAAAGGAAGTAGAGAAAAGTCCACCTGCCAAACTTGCCAAAAAACGCCTCAAACACTGGCAAAGAATTTAAATTACGCCTGGTCTTCAAAGGTGGACAGATCTCTGTTGTGTCCAACAGATAAAGGCGGTGACATTTCTTCCTGTATTTCTGCGGATAAAGTCATAAAGGTTAGCTCTAGCATGTCTTTCAGCCCTTCCCGACTTCAACACGACTGTCCTTCTACAGTTTGACTCCTGTTTCTTTGCCTGAGTTTACCAAAGTCGAGTATTTCTCTTATTCGATGGCCCCATCTAGTGGCTGACAAGCATATCACACTAAAAGTCTGTCGCTCTATTTGTTTGAGATGGCGACTTCACGTTTCCTGTTTATGAATGTGCTTCTGTAGCCGACAAACAGGTTAAACACGTTTTACGAGAATTATTCTCATGTCATGTTGTGTTTTCATATATTTATGTTTTAGAGACTTACTTGTCCGTAAAAAGTTCATCAACTCTGCATCAGCCGAGGTATTCCTTAAATTTGAAGGATCAACGCGGTAGTCTAATGCTATTGGTCAGTTCTGGTCTGTTGTGTGCGGAGTTCTCTCTGTTCCGCCCATCGACGAGTTCTGCCGAACGTGTGTGTGAATGGGTGAATGACTGATTGTGTTGTAAATAGCCTTGGGGGTTCCAGGACTCTAGAAGGTGCTATATCAAATACAGGCCATTTACCTTGAATTAATTTATCAAAAAGTCTGGTCATTATGGTAATCATAATTGTTTAATATTCAAATCATAGGACCCTGAATCAAAATCGAATAATGAGGTACCAAAGTGTGTGTTTGCGTGGAATGTCGTTGGTGGAAGTGTTTAAGGTGCAAATAAAATTGGGGGGCAGGTTGCCACAGGAATGCAGAAATGGGGTCCATACCCACACCCCCTGAATTGTCCACCCCTCAAGGTCCTTTGTGCATGATTGTGTGATGATGTGAGAGAGCAGGAGGAGAAAAATGTGTGGGGATGGGGAGGAATGGCTGGTTGGACTTGAGCCCTCCAGGGAGCCAGCTCCCTCAGTGGCCCCAATAGGCACCTCTGTTGCCAAAATGCCACCCAGGGCATGGATATCCCAGCCCATCTTGCCAGGGCCCAAAGCAGCAGCATCACAGAGCCTCACGGAGTCCGAGGGCACCAACCCAGCCCCACCCCAGCAGAATATTTACTCCCATCCCTGCATTTGCACAACTTCCAGAATATATAAGACGTAGGACATCCAGGTAAGGTTGGGTCCGCCCCCTCCTGGACATCCCCCTCCCCGTGATGGAACAGCAGAGGAGCCAAGGTCTACCCGAGGCCCCTGAGCCCAGGCCAGGCACTGCCACATGTTCCCGCCTTCTTCCCGGCAGCATACATGTCAGGACCCGACCCCCAAGGCCCCGCCCAGTTTCCCACATGGGGCCGGCCACCCCCGCACCCCGAGGCCCCAGGCCCCCTCCCAGACCTGCTGAGGGGCAATGCAGCTGCCAGGCAGTGGCCCATGGCCACCGCCAAGACCCCCAGGGGCCCCACTTACAACTGCCAGTAGTCCACCCCCCGAGGCAACCCAAGCACCTCCAGAGGGGGGCAGCAGCCCCCCAGTCCCAGACAACCCCAGTGAACCCACCTCCAGGGAACGTCCGGACACTCCAAACTCAGACCCTCCACCCCAACACCCATATCATCCCGCAGGACAATATCAATGATCCCCCATCATCACTGTGTAATGGTACCGATCAAAGGAGCCCAGAGAGATTGATCTGAAGTGGAAACAGAGGCTATATCAAGTGCAATATGATCTAAAAAATGATTCCTATACTGGTTGACACAAAGAATATCTCTATTTTTCCAATTCATGAGGATCGTTTTCTTAGCGACTTATATGGCAGTCAGAACCACGTGAGCCAAAGATGTTTCAATTGGGACATCGTCCAGGTTTCCCAGTAAACAGAGAGGGGGAAGTTGGGATATGAAATTTCAGACACTTTGACAGATCTTCACATACTCTACCCCAGAATTCCTGGACAGGTGGACAGGACCACAGTGCGTGGATGTAATTATCAGGAATGTTGTTTGTGCAGTGTGTACAGGTGTCAGACAACACAAACCCCATCTTGAACATCTGATGACCTGTATAGTGTACTCTGTGTAGGATTTTGTACTGAATTAATTGTAAATTGGGGTGTCTGATCATTTTAAAAGTTTTTAAACAAGTTTGGGACCAGAAGTTCTGGTCAAAGCTGACCGATAGATCCACCTCCCATTTTTCAATAGGGATTGCTATTCTGTCGTCTATTTTGGACAGTGTCTTACATACTTTAGACAGTAGTTGGGGGGGGGGGGGGGGGGGGGGTTGAGATTATAGAAGTCAAATACCCTTGGTGGTGTTTGTAATTCTATTTTATTGAGTTTAAATTTTTGTTTAACTACAGATTTAATTTGGTGATATTCTAAAAAGTTATTCTTATCTATTCCAAACTGGGAGACTATCACATCTATCTGTTCTATCTATCTATCTGTCTATCTATCTGTTAAATGGGATGAAGTCCAGTCCTTCATTCTTATGCTTGAGCTAATAAATGGTAAGTCTGAAACCTCTATCGTACTGAAAAGTGTCTGTTCTATGTCTAACCAGGACTCATCTAGTGGGTTATCTTGCAACCATCTTGGTATATATTGCAGCCTGTTGGCTGAGAAATAATGATACAAGTTGGGTAAATCCAGTCCTCCTCTGTCTTTGGTCTTCTGAAGCGTTTTTAAGCTAATTTGTGGAGGTTTATCCTGCCAAAGGAATTTAGTTATTGAGGAGTCCAGAGAGCTAAACCTGTCAGCTGGTGGCTTGTTTGGGATAATTGAAAATAAGTAATTTATTCTAGGTAAGACCATCATTTTAATTGTAGCAACTCTCCCCATGAGTGATATCGGTAAGAATTTCCATCTTGCAAGATCGTCTTCCACTTTCTTTAAAAGTGGGATGTAGTTTCGTTTGGTTAGATCTGCTAACTTGGGAGAGATATTAATTCCCAGGTATGTGATATTACCTGACTCCAATTGTGTATCAATTAAATTGACAAATGAGAAATTAATTGGTAGAACTGTGGATTTTAACCAGTTTATAGAGTAATCTGAAACTTGAAAAAGAGTTTATCAGTTCTATTGCTTGGGAGAGAGAGGATTGAGAATTTTGGAGAAAGAGTAAAACATCATCTGCATAAAGACTGATCTTATGTTCTATTTTCTTACACTTTATGCCTTTAATACCTGTTGTTTGCCTAATTACTGCTGCTAGTGGTTTGATAAAGATAGCAAATAGTGAGGGGGAGAGTGGGCATCCCCGCCTGGTCCCCCTCTGAAGTCAGAAGCTAGCTGATATTTGGTCGTTCGTCCTGACACGTGCAGTTGGTGAACTGTATAATGTTTCTAACCAGTTTATGAAGAAGTTCCCAAAACCAAATTTATGTAAAGTTGCAAATAAGAACTTCCAGTTAGCTCTATCAAAAGCCTTTTCTGCATCTAGAGATAATATACTAGTTTCTATGTTTCTACTGTAAGAGAAATCTATCAAATTAAGTAATCTACGTGAGTTAGTGGATGACTGTCTACCCTTAATGAAACCAGTTTGGTCAGGGTGTATTATGAAGGGGGTTACCTTCTCTAATCTTTTTGCCAGGGCTTTACAAATTATTTTGAGATCAACATTAATAAGAGAAATTGGGCGATAGCTGGTAGGAAATGCAGGGTCTTTGCCTGGTTTTAACAAGAGACTAATATTGGCTGAATTCATGTTCGGCTGTAATCTGCCACTCTCTTCGATTTCCCTCACCATTCTGACGAATGTTATAGCCAGAATGATCCAGAACTCTTTGTAGAGCTCTGCTGGAAACCCGTCTGGACCTGGAGCTGTCCTATTAGGCATGGATTTCAGAGACTTTTTGACGCAGACAAATTTGTCCTCCGCCCTTCCGTCCAGTCACCACCTCTAAACTCACATTTCCCATAATTTCCTGACACGAATAAATTTTTTGCTGCATATCTTTTTATTCCTTCAATCACAGGTGTATTAAGACATTCTTCAATGCTCCGTGTTTGCCGCTAGATTTGTTCGATTTACTGAACTTCTGAATTTTGCTTTTTGGTTACAGAAGGCCCTCTAAAGACACTTCTTCCACAAAAAACTTAAGATGGGAAAACTATCCCTTTAGCAACTAAGGAACATCTACAGAGCTGGGATCGAGGGCATCTACTTCACCATGACTATGTGGTATGACAGCTGTCTTGGGATCGGTATGACTTTTATAATAAATACAATAACACTGTTCCTTAAGTCAAAGTTTAAACTGATAAAAATCTGCCTCAGTGTGTTTTATTGCTACTATAAATCAATACAGATTCATTTAAGATGTTGTTGATGAAAAAGCACACTAGTCAGATTCATGTTTTGTTTTTACATTCAGAATCAGGTTGTGACAAGCGTTCTTAATTTTTGACATTTTCAGGCCGTACAGCACAGAATTAAAGAGAGGCTGGACCGTTAGGAAGTACAACGAGAGAAAAATACGCAGGACGTTGGGCAGGAAGCTCATGTTGAACCTGCTCTGAGAAACCTCAAAGCTGCAACCAAAAGAAACGTTCAAAATGGAGGCCAGGTGAGGCGTGCAGGTGCTGACGGCTCTCTGTCGAGTCTGACTGGATCCAGAAAAACACACAACAAAAATCTTAGTGTAGGTGTAAAGATTTATAAGTAAAGCAGCAGCGATCGTGCTGAAAGTAGCACAGAGGCCATAAATGTTGATCAGAGCGGTGTCTGAACAGGCCAGTTTGACCACAGAGTGCATGTCACAGTAGACCTTGTTGATGCTGTTCCCACAAAGCTTCAAAGGGGAAATCAGAGACAACGAGACAAACATCGCACAACTGGGATACAACCAGCTCACAGCAATGAGCCAGAAGATCTTTGTTGTTGTCATCTTGCTGTTGTACTGCAGAGGGTGGCAGATAGCCAGGTACCTGTCGTACGACATGACGGCCAGGCTTAAAAACTCTACAGCCCCGTACGAGTGAACAATAAAAACCTGCAGGAGACAGAGAGGAGCAGAAATGGTGTGAAGGTCAGAGAGAGTCTGAATCAGCAGGGAGGGAAACAAGCCTGCACTTCCATACAGCTCATTCACAAACAGGCTGCACAGAAACATGTACATGGGTTCATGTAGAGTCCTGTTCACACAGATCACCACGATGAGCAGAACGTTACAACCAAGGATCAGAACGTACAGACACACGACAACGAGGAAGCACAAATATCTGAACAGTCCAGAGTCAAGATAAGCAGCGAGAGAGAAGAAAGAAGCTTGTGAGGCGTTTAGCATCGTCTCTCTTTACTTCCACAGCTGCTCAGCTAGAAAAGCATCTTTAGTTTTTGGTTTGGATCCATAAAAGCAGGTTAAAGTGGCAGTGAGGCGACACATCCTACATGTTAGGTACAGCGTGGCGATCCTGACCACGGCTGCTGTGGATTCACTCATCCAGTCAGGACCAGGACGAACACGTGGAACAAATCCACCAACATCAGCTGCCTCCAGCTGTGAGCTTCATTATAAGACACCTGCAGGTGGACATCATCATCACCACCCCACCCCTCGAAGACTGGGTTGGTTGTCTTCTAGAAGTTGTGATTGGATACCGCCTCAGCAGCAGGGGGTCGTCATTAACTCACATTCAGCAGTGACAGGAACTCAGACACAACAGTGATAATTAAAGATGCTGGAGCTTCACAATCAGAACGAGCTTGTTTTTGTGTTTTTACAAACTCGTACACATCAAACACAACAAGACTGTGTAATGATGATGACAATGATGTTACCACAGGCACCATTTTAGCTGGCGACGTGTCCCCACCACCATTAAAGGGAAACTATGCAGTTTTGACTTGCTGTTAGCGCCCCCTAGAGTCCATTCTAACAGTGAAACTTAAGGTGGTTTTCCATGAGCACTACTCACTCAGAGTTACTCAGACTGGTGCAGCTCGGCCCGACCACACGTCCCAAGAGCACCGTTTCGGTGTCATCCCCTCACTTTCTGCTCATGTTTTAGTCCCTTCTCCGTTGAAGTACCTGGCAAGGGTGAGTCAGGCCGGCCCTCTGATTGGCCAGGAGGCAGAGTCAGCGGTTGCTCCATAGTTTTCTGCTTGCTGTTTCACTGCATGCAGCCATTTCCTGGTTCAGAGTTTGACAAGAAGCCATAAAACTGAGCAGAATGTCCAAAAACGCCACAATTTCTCTGATAAAGTGTGTTTCTGTGTAACTTAGCAGATCACTTGGCACTGTTTACTGATCCCCTCGTGCTATTTTTGTCACAAGTAAAACTCCCACACCTCTAAAGCAATGCTAAATGGTTTTTAAACTTGAGCTTTAACATTGACCTTAGTGACTGTTGGGTTAGAAACTTGACCAGTTTCATATTTGACACCACCCTGCTGCCCTCTGCCGGCCAGATACTGCACTGAACAGTTTTATTGAGCGGGTAGGCGTTCTAGACACTCTTACCCCCAAATTCCACTACCTCCGCTCCGCTCCGCTCCGCTCCGCTCCGGTCCGCCCCCGCCTTCCGCAGCCGCTCGCTTCCGAACTCAATTTTTCTTGGTACCCGCTCTACAATGGCTCCGCTCCGGTGCGGTGACCTGAGGTGGGCAAACAAGCATGCGCGGGATTTTCGAGATGTTGCGATACAGTCCGAGCAATAAACGCGGAAGTTAGATCCAAACACCCGTTGTGTGGGAGAAGCATCGAAATGAACTGTTTAATCTGCCCATCATTTGTGTTGAGAGATCAGCAGTGTTTGGATCAACAAAGTGTGACTACTTTGATAGTGGAAACTGAATTTATGGCTTACTTTTGTGCATTTAAACTTCAGCCGCCATTGTTAGTTGTTAAAAGTTGTTAAACCTGTGCATATGAAACAAAAAACGCCTTTTGTTTATCGATTTATTGTGAAAAACGGAAAATGTGCTTGCTCCTTTTCCTGTTGGGCGGTTGTGATTTCTGTCCATTTACTGCGGAGGTGCTCCGGCGTCCGGCAAAAATAGGATCGTTTCTATTTTTGCCGGACGCCGGAACAGAGGGCGGAGCACGGCGCCGCACTGCTGGAGCACGGCCGCAGTAGTGGAATTGCTCTGATTGACTACAACGGGACCGATTTTGCTCCGGCATTCGTATCAGAGCGGAGCGGAGGTAGTGGAATTTGGGGGTCACACCCGCATTTCGGCTGTTAGCAGTTTTCTCTGCGGTTAGTAGGGGTGGAGCCAAACCCAAATACGGCATTCGGAAAGGCACAAATAACGTGTTTTTATGTATACTTATTTTGAACAGATGCTTTAAAAAATATTGTATTTGGAAACAAGAAAAACTTTATTTGAAAAAGCTGCGTTTCCTCATGAGACCCCAGTGGATGCCTGGATGAGTGATTATTGGATTTTTTTTTAACCTTAACTGGATTCCGGAGGCTGTTTCTAACTTTCAGGAAGCGGAGGTGGATGGGAGGATCACTCCTTTATCCTGCATCATGTTCGCTCTGTTAGCGGCCTGTTGGGGCAACGGTGGCACAGGAGTTCAGTGCTCGCCCCCTAATCGGAAGGTTGCAGGTTCGAGCCCTGCTCTGTCTGTCACTGTCGTTGTGTCCTTGGGCAAGACACTTAACCCACGTTGTCTGCTGGTGGTGGTCGGAGGGGCCGGTGGCGCCAGTGCTCGGCAGCCTTGCCTCTGTCAGTGCGCCCTAGGGCAGCTGTGGCTACATTGTAGCTCATCCCCACCAGTGTGTGAATGTGTGTGTGAATGGGTGAATGACTGATTGTGTTGTAAAGTGCCTTGGGGGGTTCCATGACTCTAGAAGGCGCTGTATCAAACACAGGCCATTTACCATTTACCAGTTAATGATATTCAGAGTCCAGCCATGTTTGTTGTTCCTGTACCCAGGGGCGCCTCCAGAAAATTTTGATAGGGGTGGCCAGATGGGGCCAACAATGGCGGTTTTAAACGGGGGCCCACAGGGTTCTGGGCCCCTGTAGAACCGGCCCTGGCCCCTGTTATGGCCCCTGTGCTGAAGAGATCGGATTTTTTTTTTCGCGCGCTGCCTCGGAGACAGGAACTAATGCGCTGCAGCGTTTCACACGGAGCCTTTAGAGCGCAGCACACTCTGTGGACAGAACTGTTTACCCGGTGGATTTTTGAATAAAAGGTTAAAAATAGTTTAAATGGGACCCGAAGAAGTTCTTGAGGACGCCAAACGGAAAAGACGCTAAGAGACGAAGGTAAGCAATACAGTTTATTTTCCTGACATCAGTGTTTTGTCGTAGTCGCGCGTTTCTGTCATTTACTTTTAAGTTCCTAACTGAGTCTATCCACAGTTAATACTGATTTGTTTTTCCTGTGTAACATTAACTGTAAAATAAAAATGAAGTTGCTGCATTTTAAGCCTTAGACACGTTGAGATTAGATCACAGTATTCATTTATCTATGACTTTCTCGCAGCACTGACTGGAAGCATCAGCGGGACGTTTTGTCCTTTTTTTTTTACCGCTGTTAGTAAAGAACAGCGTAGACAGAGAGAGGATTAAAGTCACGAGGGAACTGAGAAGCAGGATGAAAGAGAGAAGGAGGAGTTGGTTGGAGAGGAACCAGAGAGGTCAGAGGCTGTCCACTCTGAGAGTGAGGAGGAGGAAGATGTAGGCTGTGAGGGAGAGAGTGAGGAGCAAAAAGAGGGACATCTTCTGTCATGTGCACCGTGTGCACTACCGTCAGGTTTGTGGGTGTTGAACAACCCCTCTGTGATTGCAGCTCATATTGTGTGTAAAATGCATTTGAGGCATGCTGACTCTGGACCAACATTTCTGTTGTTTATATTTAATAAATAAATAAAATAAGACTCTGAATTAACTAATTATGACTTTTATCCTCATGCTAACATTTATTTTCTTTCAGATATCAGCAAGTGCAAGGATGACCCACCTACTCAGCCTAGTTTGAGGACATTTCCAGGGACATTAATAGGAGACAGAAGATGCAGCTTTCAGCCAAGCTGGTATGAAAGTAATCCTTGGGTTGAATATTCTGTTACTATGGACTCTACTTATTGTCATGCATGCAGACATTTTAGCCCACCAAATAGTGCAGGAAGTGTGTTTGACTCACCATGTGGATTTAGGAACTGGAAAAAAGCAACTGAGAGAGGAGGGGTTTTCAGTACATGCAAAGTCTGAAAGGCATAAGGACTCAATGATAGCGTGGAGGGACTACCAGAGGGCTGTGAAAGCTAATACAACATTGGCTAATATACTCGACAAGGAACACAGTAAAAAGGTTATAGAAAATCGTGAGTTTATCAAAACAATTGGTGAAGTGATTATGCTTACGTGTGTGTGTGTGTGTGTGTGTGTGTGTTGACTACAAAAAGCAAATTGTATTGTGCACATATTTTATTTGTTTGAATGTTTATTTTTCATATGTACAGTTTATATAATCTTCAAATAAAGTCACAAACTATAATAATAAACTAGAATTATTTTTTACTCAAGTCACATGTTGCGGTGAAGCATTCAGAATTGTTATCTGAGTACCATAAAAACATGCCAGTTTTACTTTCACAAGTAAACCATTACTGCATTCACTGTAATAGTTTACTTGTTCATTGTCTTTAATTATGATTTTTTTTTCTTGCGCCCCCATGAAAAAATACTGGCCCCACTGTGGCCCCCCTGGAAAATTTGGTCTAGAACCGCCCCTGGGGGCCAAAGAAATTTTTGGGGTGGGACACCAAATTGGTCCTTGTGGTTACTCTGGGAGAATTTAGCCTGTGTCGATGTGCTGCATTGCACCTCTATTCGTTTTTATTAAAATAACAGTATGTGTCCAAAACATTTAACTTAAATTTTACAAATGCAAACATTTTAGAAAAATACAATTCAGTTATTTAAAATGTTATCCCAAATTTTATTTAAAAAAAAATTCTTTTAGGTTTATTCACCTGTGTTGCTGTGTTCTTAAAAGAAAACTATGGAGATAAAAACTTTTTTTGAATGGTTAGCAGCAGAAACATATGTATATATTTTTATTCTTATTATTTCATTACTCATTAATTATAATATTTTTATTTTGTCTTACAATTATGTATTGAATAAACAAGATTAATACATGGTTTGACTAAACATTAATATGATTTGTCAACACTGGCTTTTCCTTGGGGGCCCATCAATTTTCTAAGGGTGGCCATGGCCACCCCTGGCCACCCCTTGGGGGCGCCCTTGCCTGTACCATGTCCTGCTTTTGCTATGTAAAACAGTCATAGTCATTACTGAAGTAACGGCTGTGAGGTTAACGTGTGTTTCTGGACGTCATTCCTGTGGAAAGAACAGAAGGTCCATCCTGGGCTGCAGCCAGCGATAGACCGGACCCTCCAGGGCAAGAACATCCAGAAACACACTTTAACCTTTGACACTGGGACAACATCAATAAGCATGTCAGGGTGGAGGAAAGCGGGAGCTTGAGTAGAAACTCACTCACAAGCAGCACTTTAACCAGGAGGGCCCGGCACGTTTTACTTTTATCTCTGTTCCAACACACCTGATTACAATCAGCAGGTGACTAGCAGACTTTCAATAAGGACGTTTAAACTTTCAGCAGGTTAAAGAGCGGTTGAATTATCATTTTAATTCATTTTTGCACACAAAATAACATCAGTGTTAACTTAGGAGATTTGTGTGAACATGTCAAAAGCATCACCTCTCAGAAAGCTGTTACCTCCACTTGTTACGAAACAACTTTTTCCACAGGCTGCGTATTTTAGACAGGTGCAGGCCGTACATCAGAGGGTTCAAAAGAGGCTGACATGTTAGAAAGTACAAAGATAAAAATATTCTTACAACGTTAGGAACTCTTGTCATGTTAAACCTGCTCTGAATCACCTCAAAACAAGAACCAAAGGTGTAGTTGAGCAGAGAGGCCAGGTGAGGCGTGCAGGTGCTGACGGCTTTCTGTCGGGTCTGTTTGGATCCAGAAAAACACACTTTAAGGATCCTCATGTAGGTGTAGATGATCAGAACCACCGGGAGCAGGACGCTCACAGATGTCCCAGTTAGTCCATAAACATTATTAACCGTAGTGTCGGAGCAGGCCAGTGTAACTATAGAGTAGTTGTTGCAGTAGACTTTGTTTATGATGTTTCCACACAGCTGCAAGGAGAAACTCAGAGATGTTGTTATCATAACTCCTGAAATAGAAAATGCCAACGATGCTGCTATGAGAACTGCAACTTTCTTCATCGTCATCAGCGTGTTATACTGCAGAGGACGACAGATGGCCAGGTATCTGTCGTAAGACATGACGGCCAGGTTGGTAAACTCTATACTTGCGTAACTATGAAGGCAGAAGATCTGCAGGAAACAGAGAGGAGCGGAAATGGTGTGAACATCAGAGAGAAGCTGAATCAGCAGGAAGGGAAACAAGCCTGTACTTCCATACAGCTCATTCACAAACAGGCTGCAGAGAAACATGTACATGGGTTCATGTAGAGTCCTGTTCACACAGATGACCACGATGAGCAGAACGTTACAACCAACGATTAAAACATACAGGATCAGAACTATCATGAAGAAGAAGCAGGTGAATGAACTGGTGTCCAAGTAGGCGTTTAGAGTAAAATATACAACCTGAGTGGAATTCACCTTCATCCTTGTTTTAGTTTGGAATGAAAACAGAAACATAATTAGTGGATAGAATAATCACAATGAAGTTTTACATTTTGAGCAAACGCTGCTACAGCTGAAGCTTCCCTTCCACAGGGTTTCAGAAGGAACCATCAGAGCTGCAGCACGGATTTAAGATCAGATGATAAACGTCTGAGAACCTAAACATGGAAGCAGCTCCCGCTCACAAATCTCAACATGTGTGTTTCTTCTGCTTCTTTATAGAGAGAAGCTCACAGACACACACCGCCGTATCCTTGGTTCAACGTGACTTTGCTTCACACGTGTGACCACACCCCCGATGCTGAGTTGTCCTCCTGATGATCCTCAGAGACTTTTTTATCTCTATAGCTTCAGTAACCCACATCCACACAACTCTTCACAGGAGACAAGTGAGACAATAACAACAAATCAGCTGTAATAATGAAACAACAAACCTGAACAGAAGGATTCTGAGTGAAAGTAACGAGTTGTAAAAGTAAACATCTGGATGTGCAACGGCGGGATTCATCAACAATCTTCTGCAGAGGAATGTGCGTACGAGCGGCCAACGCAGTTTTCACAAATCAGGATTTTAGCTGTTCATTAGGATGGAACACAGGACAGTTTCTACAAACATTTAATAAATACATGGTCCATCAGTCTGTGATTTTGTAGCCATCTCCTTCTCCTCCTTCTCATTCTCATTCTTCTCCTTCTTCCTCTCCTTCTTCTTCTCCGTCTTCTTCTCGATCTCGTTCTCCTTCTTCTTCTCCTTCTCGTTCTCCTTCTCCTTCTTCTTCTCCGTCTTCTTCTCGATCTTCTCCTTCTCCTTCTCGTTCTTCTCCTTCTCCTATATGTCCCTGGTATACAGAAGGACTGATCCCAGACAAATGACTTATTTCACATTTACTTCACATATTAAGCGAAATAAGCCTTTTTAAGGTGATGTCTGAGGACTCTGACACCTGATTGGTCCAAAACCTTTAAAAAATCAGTCACAGGAACTGAAAGTCAGTTCAGCCAAAGGTCCCAGCCTTTATGCTAAATAACGGCTTTATATTTTATTAATAGTTTATTAAAAGCAACCAATTACAAACTGTTACGGTCCGAAAGTCGAAGGGGAAGCAGGTGGCTGTCTCTCCTCTGACTGAGGAAAACCCCTCACACTAATGGTGCTCTGTTGCACGTAATGAGCGGAGGACGCAGGTAAATGTGGAACTGCAGCAGTTCGGTGAATCCCACATCCGGATGGTCAAACGTTTGGTTTCGGTCCGAGCCATGAGACTGACCGAGGTTTTTAATGAACTGGAGGAGACTGCTTCATTAATTTCTTTATTTTTTTGTTATCTCTACAATGTATTTAAAGCTACGTTGGAATGTTGTTAATAGGCATCAATAAAATGTAAGCTAATGTAAAGAATGGGTCGTTTACATCTAACTTATGAACCATAAAATGTGAGATTCCATAGAAATATGAAATATCAATCTGACGGATCTTTGACTATTTTAACCAGAAGATCGGAACTTTTTATTGCAGGGATTAAGCGACACTTCGTATTAACTCCGAGGAAAGAGAGAGAGTCAGGTTTAAAATAGTTAAGAAATTTATTTCTACACAATTTAAACAAGACTAACGTAAACACTCTGTACTGATGGACTAAGGTGGAGTGAGACGTGAGATGAATGATGATGGTGCATGTGTGGAATGTTATTCAGAACCAGCGGATCCGGAGAAGCAGTTAGTTCTGAGTGGGAGTGAATGTTTTGCTCTAAACTTTAGTAGGAGATTTATAACACACATGAGACGCCATCTGTCGATCTACGTACCCCAGGGGAAGCCTCCATTAGATCCAGAATGCTGAGGTCCTCTTGGACCGTCTTTGGTACCGAAGCCGGTAGAAAAGCAGCGGTGCTGACCAAACTAGTCTTGGAATGCTTCCAGGTCACGACAGGTTATCACTGGCGTCTCCGAGACCCTGAAGGGGTCGTGAGGTTCAGCTTTTATTCTGAAGGAACCATTGCGGTCAGGTGTAACTTGCAACAGATTTTATCCAGCTTGTCGAGGTTCTTTATGGCTGAAGAGGAAGTCCGGATGGCCGGTCCGAGACTTCTCTACAACGCTTTGAACCAAAGAAAAGGTGGCGTGGGATAGTTTTTATAATTGTCATATTTTGGTTTACTGGCGAATCAGAATTTGACATGAAAAAGAGGGTTTATACAAACACCACAGAAAACCACACCCAGCCCCAGAAACAAAGGTTCTGATTGGATCAGACAAAAGGAAATGTGTCGTGTGACTTTAGCATTACGTGTCATTAGTGTCTAGTGCAAATATCCAGGATTATAATAACTTGTAAAATACTACTGATCACAGGATTATAATATCAAGTAATAACATTGTCATTTCCCAGATTGATTGAACATTGGGCTCACATTATTATTATTATTATTTTCTTCAAGGCACTTGAGGAGTACAGACGCTTCTCTCTTTCGCTCCCTTATCTTTTTTTCCCAAGGCTCTTTGTCCTGTCTGCCTACAGAGCGTTTCTCTGCATTTCTTCTGAAAAACTCTATTTTTACTAACCATGGATTTGATAAATTGGTCATTCAATGCAATCGATAAGATTTTTTCAACAATGAGAATGGAGCAGGAGGCTCCCAAATGTCCACAGGGGACACACCCGGTGGGATATATGCTGGATTCCTGGAAGAAGTGGAAGATCATATGCCTCAGCCAGCTGTCCATTGAGGATATCGAAGACGTGTGGATATTCGGCCTGATGATCACTGGATTTCTCCTGACTGGAGTGGGAGGATATCTGGTTTTCTGGATATTTGGGAAGACGGGAGCGACTGGAGGGCGACCCGCACCCATGGAAAACACCGTCCGTGTGGAGACTTCTCAGACTGAGACTTTACTCGAGGTGAATCGTAAGCTGGACAATGTTCTAGCTGCGATGCCGGTATTAGTGCGCAAAATGGATGTCATCTTGGAGAGAGTCACCGGACGGTATGGACTAGTGTTGTCACAAAAATCAATACCTAGATATAAATCGATGCTAAAAGTGGTATCTAAATTAGATATTCCATCCCTGTGGTATCGATATTATGGACTATTATACACAGCCTTCTTCAAGAACACCGACACGCACAACGGCCAGATGCCGTAAAGCAGCCTCCGCCTCCCAGACAAACAGAAGAAGACGCCGCATGGCTATATTGCAATTTCCCATGCAAGTTGTCCCCGATCCAAGTTTTGTCTGCCAAATAAATAAACAAAAACATAAACAGCAAATTTGGGAGGCGCTTCACAGCCCAACTTAATTAGCAAACCAAGTCCGACACATTGTTGTATATTCACGCTTATATGCTTAAAGGAAACTCCCGTTTATTGCAACCCAGACTTAATTTCTAGCATGCAGTATGTTTGTTTACTCACGCTGACAGCTTTGGTGCTACTTGGATTCCCCGGGGTATTTAGATCCATCGGCGAATCGCCATCAGCGTATATCCATATAACGGGTGCGGACGGGCACCCATGGTGCAGCCTCGAAATAAGACATTATCTGCACCAAAACATCTCAATATCGAAAGGTTTTGTTAGGAATCATTAACATGATTCCCCTGTTCGTTTGGAGCGGGTCTGGGATTTCTAGGCATGAACAGACTAGCCGCGGCTAATCTAACCGGCGCTTTTAATGACGTCACTGCCGTGCGCCAATCTGTTTTTATTAAGATTACCGGTAGATGTACCTTTGTCCTACTGTGGAGAAATTAGTTTTCTCCCTTTATTGACCAACAGACTTGTTCAAAAGTACAGAACAAAACATATGGCATTACATCTTATGACAAAAATGCACCTTAGAGTTTAAGCAGCAAAACATCACTCTGCAAATAGTGTATATATAGTGAGACAATTCATGATTTAAAGTGTTAACTTTTGCCAGTTTTTAGAAAATGCTGATACTTGAAATGTTTAAGCACTTTACACACTTAATTCTTAACATTTAATTTTTGCAATATAAATTGAAGAATGTTATTTTTTGAATAAATTTGTTCAATAAAACGGTGTTTTTAAATAGTATCGAAATCGAGTATCGAGTTTTTTTCCCCAGTATCGAATCGAGTTTGAAATTTTAGTGTCGTGACAACCCTAGTATGGACAGGTTTAAAAACCCAAAATTGGCTTCACTGAAGGACTGGAATGATCAGTTTTAAGCTTGGTTTATGCTTGACGCATTCACTTCCCGCTTGGTGATGCGGCTCGCGGATGGAACGCGCTTCACAACTCGCAGCTTTTATGGTTCGTGCGGCTTGTCTCTGCGGTGAGCCAATATTCTCCCAAACTGTAGGGGGCAGCATGGAGCTCTACGGCATGCACCCAACTCTACACCATAGTAGAAGTAGAAATTACGGTTTACAACATGGCATTTCAGCATTTTTAACAGCGTTCTCGTCTTTTCCGACAGTGCGAGCAATTTCTCTCCAAGAATTATTTACAACATGTTGATCACGGTGATCTCTGAGAGCTGAATCATACATATGTCTGTATTTACGAACCTCTGCCAAACTAGTTCTTGCCAGTCCGCCATGTTTTTCCGCGTCCGTCCGTCCGTCCGCGTGGTTAGAAATTTTCCGAGGTGAGTGTTGCGGAAATTCTGGGCCGTGCGGAGGCGCGGTGGAGGGGCGTGGTTGTTAAAATGACGCAAAATGACGCAACTTTTCCGCGCGGAGCCGTGCGGAACTCGCGGATGCGTCAAGCATAAACCAGCCTTTACCCTCTGGGGTCCATGGACGTGTATACACATCTTTTGAACAGGTCTGATTTGGGACGCTGTAGCAGCAAGACTCCGCCTCCCTGAGTTTCGGTTTCAACTCAGCTTTAAAAAGGAGAATATAAACTACACCCCAGTTTTTAAATTGTGTTAATAGGCGAAAGCGGAGTTATGCTAAACTAAAAAACGACCTATTTTTAGACAATCTGATAACTTGTCAAAACAGCAGTTTAGTAATCCGTGAGGGAATGTGCTCGTGAACATAAAACAACCACAAAAACATGAGATCCTTTTGCTGTTGGTGGACGTCTCACATATGCAACTGATAAAAAGTATCATTATGTAGCTGAGAGAGAGGAAGGCCGCACGAGTAACAAGATGTGTGCAAAAAGGAGCCGCTTCGCGGGGAAAGGAGTGGCGCGGACAGAGTAACAACAAACAATTAGACAGATATTGTCGGTAAACTTCATATTTTGGAGCGATCCGGACAGATATATCGTCTCTGCAGTTTAGTAGGCTTTTATTAGGCTTACATAAAGGATGATGAGAAGGATAAATGTCCACCAGGCAGTTCAGATAGTACGTCTGTTTTTTGAACTGGAAGCAGAGGAAGTGGACGGAGACTCGCAGCCGGAGTCTGAGGCAAACAGCGAGGATGTTGATGACGATGTGGCAGATCCATCCTTCCTCATAGAAGAGTTGGGTCATGATGAGGTAGAGGATGAAGGCAGAGATCCAGCTCCTCGGAGATCCAACAAGAGGAGTGGGCGGCGCCGCGCAGCTGTCAGAGCCACACCAAAATGCATGTACATTATTGCCAAATTAATAAAATAAGTATAAATTCAGATAGTCCAGGTTGTCCTGAAAAAGATGATACCCCCTAAGGCAATATTTATTGTTTTTATTAGAAAATACAAAAGAAATACCAAAATGAGTCAAAAACGGTGATTTACGCCCTGGACCCCAGAGGGCTAATAATTTATTAAAAAATGTGTTATTTGCTATATTTATTCATATTTTTTATAAATGTATAGTCTAGATTACCATTCTAAATTCTAAAAAACATTCGTCATAAATGTTTGTTGGTTTCAAAGTAAAATAAACAACTTTTTTCCAATTCGGATTTTATGTTTTAGAGTGATTTAAGGTCTAATATGCAACCCCTTTATATCCAAATATAAGAAATAAGAATAGATTCATAAAGTCCAGGTTGTGCTGAAAAGATTGATACCATATAAGGGAGTGGTTATGGCTTTTATTTTGGAAATACAAAGGAAAACTCTAAATTAGTCAAAAATGGCAAATTACACCCTGGACCCCAGAGGGTTAAAGACTGAAGGCAGAGAGGAAAATTATCTCAGCCTGACCCAAACAAATTCTTGTTATCTGAATACAACCCCCCACGAAGGAAATCAGACAGATGCTGTGAAAACCCGACCTACCCCCCACCCCCGCCTTCGGATTGGTGGACTTAAGCCTGGCGAGGTCATCAATCCGTAGGAGTCAATGTGCTCTTCACTTCTCCCAAGATCTCACTCCCATCTGTGACTGTACAGCAGATGAGCGCCGTAGATGGCTGCTCTCGCTGGGGGAAACAGCGCCCCCCCCCCCCCCCCCCCCCCCCCGCCTTCCTATTGGAGTCTCATGTTATGTTGTGTTGTCTGAAGTCTGTTGCATATTTGTTGAGGTGTTTTTTTGCATAGCAAAGCTGCCCTCCCTGTGGAGGGTAACTCTGAAGTGCCTTTTTTTCCCTCCACCTGAACCAATCCTCATGTAACCCTCTTATCTCTATTAAGGTAGCGCGACTCAGGGTTGCGAATGACCACAGTCACCAATTCTTGTCATGTGTCTTGCCCATGTATGCCTGATCTATGAAATGTGTGTACTGAAACTCTAATTTCCCTCTGGGATTAATAAAGGTTCGATTGATTGATTGATTGATTGATTGATTGATTGATTGATTGATTGATTGATTGATTGATTGATTGATTGATCGATTGATTGGGTAATAACAAAGTTGTTGATTATGTGTTTATCAAAATAGTTCTTCGTCTTCATCTTCGCTGTAACAGAGGTGAAGCAGTTCAGATGAGCAGAGTGCGTGAGAGACCTTGGCCACTATCTCATGTAGATTAGGCTGTCAGAGACTTTATGTCTCTGCTCGAGCAGACGCAGCAGATCATGACCTTTAGGTCAAAAACAGGACATTCATGACGCTACACTAACTTGTTTTGAACATTGTAGCTTTAAGAAGAATGCTAAAGAAAGAGGTTTAAACTTTCAGCAGTTTAAAGGTGGTTTTATTATTATTTTAATAACTTATCAGATACAAAATAACATCAGTGCTGTGTGAACATGTCAAAAGCATCATCAGTCAGTCAGATCAAAGCTGATGCTGTTACCTCCACTTGGTACAAAACAACTTTTTCCACAGGCTGCGTATTTTAGACAGGTGCAGGCCGTACATCAGAGGGTTCAAAAGAGGCTGACATGTTAGAAAGTACAAAGATAAAAATATTCTTACAACGTTAGGAACTCCTGACATGTCAAACCTGCTCTGAATCACATCAAAACAAAAACCAAAGGTGTAGTTGAGCAGGGAAGCCAGGTGAGGCGTGCAGGTGCTGACGGCTTTCTGTCGGGTCTGTTTGGATCCAGAAAAACACACTTTAAGGATCCTCATGTAGGTGTAGATGATCAGAACCACCGGGACAAAGAGACCCAAGGCAGAAATAATTAGTCCATAAATATTATTAACTGTAGTGTCAGAACAGGCTAGTTTCACCACAGAGTAGTTGTTGCAGTAAACTCTGTTCATGATGTTTCCACACAGCTGCAAGGAGAAACTCATGGATGTGGTCGTAACAACCAAAAGGAATGACGTTACCCAGGCTGCTGCTATACAGACTCCAGCTTTCGTCTTCGTTATCTGTGTGTAATAATGCAAAGGATAACAGATGGCCATGTAGCGGTCATAAGACATGATGGTTAAGTTACTGAACTCCACAGCTCCGTAAGTACAAACACAGAAGATCTGCAGGAAACAGAGAGGAGCAGAAATGGTGTGAACATCAGAGAGAAGCTGAATCAGCAGGAAGGGAAACAAGCCTGTACTTCCATACAGCTCATTCACAAACAGGCTGCACAGAAACATGTACATGGGTTCATGTAGAGTCCTGTTCACACAGATGACCACGATGAGCAGAACGTTACAACCAACGATCAGAACGTACACAAAGAAAAGCAACACAAAGATGAAGTATTTCAACAGCTTGGCGTCGATGTAATCGCTCAGAATAAAATATGAAACCTGTGTTGAATTCATCATCTCTTAACTTGTTACCTCCTTTCTCGGGTCTGAGCTCCTAGAGTAAACTAATAATCATCTGAGTTCAGCTGAAGCTCCAACCCAACCTTCAGTAGTCAGTAAACGCCTGTTTGAGACCAAAGTCGTGTGAAAACTAGAGATCAGGAACGCAGAAGAGCAATAACTCAACATTTAATCTGCCTTCTGCTGCCTTTAACCCTTCCAGGTTCCTCCCACCTCAGAGATGTGATGTCATCATCACAGAGTCACTTGATGATTTATTGATTGTGCCTGTGTGTGTGTGTGTGTGTGTGTGTGTGTGCGTGCGTGCGTGCGTGTGTGTGTGTGTGTGTGTGTGTGTGTGTGTGTGTGCTGATGTTTATAGACATCAGTTCATCTTCTGTTGCTACGTTGTGGTACAGCAGTAGCCCAGGAGGTCGGGTTGTCCAGTAATTGGAAGGTAGCAGGATCGATCCCGGCTTCCAATAGAAAGTGCTGTTGTGTCCATGAGCAAGGCATTTAATCCACCTTGCCTGCTGGTGGTCAGAGAAGATCTCTTCTCATAACACCAGAACTTTCTATCTTCAGGAGGTGTGCTTCTGGTGTTATGGGAAGAGATCATGTGAGTGCAGTTACCTTTAACTTAGTTACTGTGACCTGGGTGAGCTGACTAAGTGCACATGATTCTTGTCATAGTTAAACATTACTGATTATCATAAATAATTATTAACCAAAGAATAATAATTCATTTCAGTAATTAAACACAGTTATAATGACCCTTGATGATTAGCAGTAGAGTTTATTTAAACGATTCTTTTAAATCTTGAAATGTCCTCTTCTTGCTGTGGATGGAATAGCAGTCAGATAAGCAGACAGCTGCATATATTAAAGGAGTGGTAGCAGACTTTGTCTCCTGTGAAGGACTCTATTGCAGATTGGAGTAGTAGCCTGGGCAAGGTGACCCAGGCTGTGTATCTGACCTGTGAGTCTTAAAACCAGGCCATTACGTGTCGTTACACCTGGTTGTTGTTGCTCATCCTCAATCTCAAACCCCAGCTTCTCTACAGCCAGTAAAGTGACCGTCCACACAGGTGAAGCCAGTTTTTGATACCATACCAATCCATACCACACCACACCATACCACACAGCACCACACCACACCATACCATACCATACCACACCATACCGCACCGCACCATACCATACCAATCCATACCACACCACACTGTACAGCAGCGCACCGCACCGCACCATGCCATACCATACCATACCATACCATACCATGCCATGCCATACCATACCGCACCGCACCGCACCATACCATACCATACCATATCGTACCATACCATACCATACCATGCCATACCATACCATACCATACTATACCGCACTGCACTGCACCATACCATACCATACCATATCGTACCATACCATACCATACCATGCCATACCATACCATACCATACCGCACTGCACCGCACCATACCATACCATACCGCACCGCACCATACCATACCATACTATACCGCACCGCACTGCACCGCACCATACCATACCAATCCATACCACACCACACCACACAGCACTGCACCGCACCATACCATACCATACTATACCGCACCGCACTGCACCGCACCGCACCATACCATACCATACCATACCATACCAATCCATACCACACCACACCACACAGCACTGCACTGCACCATACCATACCATACCATGCCATACCATACCATACCGCACCGCACCATACCATGCCATACCATACTATACCGCACCGCACTGCACCATACCATACCATACCATACCATGCCATACCATACCATACCATGCCATACCATACCATACCGCACCGCACCATACCATACTATACCACACCGCACTGCACCATACCATACCATACCGTACCATACCATACCAATCCATACCACACCTCACCGTACAGCACCACACCGCACCATACCATACCGCACCGCACCATACCATACATCTAGCTTTTATACTGACTTTGTGACTTTGAGGCTTTTACTGATTACTGGTGGTTGTGTTGGAGCTTCAGCTGAACTCTGATGATTAATAGTTTACACTAGGAGCTCAAGCCAGAGAGAGGAGGTAAGATCTTCTGCAGCTGAAGGAGATCATGACGAATTCAACACAGGTTTCATATTTTATTCTGAGGTTTTCTTTGAAAATACTTGTACTTTGTGATACTTTTCATTTTGTACGTTTTACTCCTTGGTTGTAACGTTCTGCTCATCGTGGTCATCTGTGTGAACAGGACTCTACATGAACCCATGTACATGTTTCTGTGCAGCCTGTTTGTGAATGAGCTGTATGGAAGTGCAGGCTTGTTTCCCTTCCTGCTGATTCAGACTCTCTCTGACCTTCACACCATTTCTGCTCCTCTCTGTCTCCTGCAGGTTTTTATTGTTCACTCGTACGGGGCTGTAGAGTTTTTAAGCCTGGCCGTCATGTCGTACGACAGGTACCTGGCTATCTGCCACCCTCTGCAGTACAACAGCAGGATGACAACAACAAAGATCTTCTGGCTCGTTGCTGTGAGCTGGTTGTATCCCAGTTGTGCGATGTTTGTCTCGTTGTCTCTGATTTCCCCTTTGAAGCTTTGTGGGAACAGCATCAACAAGGTCTACTGTGACATGCACTTTGTGGTCAAACTGGCCTGTTCAGACACCGCTCTGATCAACATTTATGGCCTCTGTGCTACTTTCAGCACGATCCTTGCTGCTTTACTTATAAATCTTTACACCTACATTAAGATTTTTGTTGTGTGTTTTTCTGGATCCAGTCAGACTCGACAGAGAGCCGTCAGCACCTGCACGCCTCACCTGGCCTCCATTTTGAACTTTTCTTTTGGTTGCAGCTTTGAGGTTTCTCAGAGCAGATTCAACATGAGCTTCCTGCCCAACGTCCTGCGTATTTTTCTCTCGTTGTACTTCCTAACGGTCCAGCCTCTCTTTAATTCTGTGCTGTACGGCCTGAAAATGTCAAAAATTAAGAACGCTTGTCACAACCTGATTCTGAATGTAAAAACCAAACATGAATCTGACTAGTGTGCTTTCTCATCAACAACATCTTAAATGAATCTGTATTGATTTATAGTAGCAATAAAACACACTGAGGCAGATTTTTATCAGTTCAAACTTTGACTTAAGGAACACTGTTATTGTATTTATTATAAAAGTCATACCGATCCCAAGACAGCTGTCATACCACATAGTCATGGTGAAGTAGATGCCCTCGATCCCAGCTCTGTAGATGTTCCTTAGTTGCTAAAGGGATAGTTTTCCCATCTTAAGTTTTTTGTGGAAGAAGTGTCTTTAGAGGGCCTTTTTTTACCGAAAAAGCAAAATTCAGAAGTTCAGTAAACCGAACAAATCTAGCGGCAAACACGGAGCATTGAAGAATGTCTTAATACACCTGTGATTGAAGGAATAAAAAGATATGCAGCAAAAATGTTATTCGTGTCAGGAAATTATGGGAAATGTCAGTTTAGAGGTGGTGACTGGACGGAAGGGCGGAGGACAAATTTGTCTGCGTCAAAAAGTCTCTGAAATCCATGCCTAACAGGAAAGCTCCAGGTCCAGACGGGTTTCCAGCAGAGCTCTACAAATAATTCTGGATCATTCTGGCTCCAACATTCCTCAGAATGGTGAGGGAAATCGAAGAGAGCGGCAGATTATAGCCGAACATGAATTCAGCCATTATTAGTCTCTTGTTAAAACCAGGCAAAGACCCTGCATTTCCTACCAGCTATCGCCCAATTTCCCTTATTAATGTTTATCTCAAAATAATTTGTAAAGCCCTGGCAAAAAGATTAGAGAAGGTAACCCCCTTCATAATACACCCTGACCAAACTGGTTTCATTAAGGGTAGACAGTCATCCACAAACTCACGTAGATTACTTAATTTGATAGATTTCTCTTACAGTAGAAACATAGAAACTAGTATATTATCTCTAGATGCAGAAAAGGCTTTTGATAGAGTTAACTGGAAGTTCTTATTTGCAACTTTACATAAATTTGGTTTTGGGAACTTCTTCATAAACTGGCTACAAACATTATACAGTTCACCAGCAGCACGTGTCAGGACGAACAACCAAATATCAGCTATCTGTGTGAACAGGACTCTGCATGAACCCATGTACATGTTCCTGTGCAGCCTGTTTGTGAATGAGCTGTATGGAAGTACAGGTTTGTTTCCCTTCCTGCTGATTCAGCTTCTCTCTGATGTTCACACCATTTCTGCTCCTCTTTATTTCCTGCAGGTTTGTGGTCTTCATACTTACTTAACTGTAGAGTTTAATAACTTAGCCATCATGTCTTATGACAGATATCTGTCCATCTGTCATCCTCTGCAGTATAACACACTGATGACGGTGAAAAAAGTTGCCGTTCTGGTAGCAGCAGCGTGGTTAGGTGCCTTTCTTGTCGTTTTATCTGTCATATCCATGAGTTTTTCCTTGCAGCTGTTTGGAAATGTCTGTGCGTGCATGTGCATGTGTTCGTGTGCACAAGTACATGCATGTGTGCATGAACCCATGCATGCATGTGTGTGTGCGTGCATGTGTATGTGTGCGTACTTGCATGCGTTCGTGTGTGTGTGTGCATGCGTGCATGTGTGTGTGTGTGTGTGCGTGCGTGCGTGCATGTGTGTGTGTGTGTGTGTGTGTGTGTGTGTGTGTGGATTCATGCCTGTACGTGTGTGTGTGTGTCTGTGTGGGCTTGTATTTGTACCCTTGTGAAGACCGGATTTGGGATATTTACTAACCTTCTTACGACCGATGGTCTTTGTTAGGACCCAAACCCGGTCCTAATACAGGGTACTCCCTAGGCGTGATGTTTACAGATAAAATGTGAATTGAGTTTTTGTTACACATAACTTTAGGAATACACTGGTTAGGCTAAGGGTTTGGGTTAGGCATAGTGGACTCACTAAAATGAATGAAATACAAAGTCCTGACATGGGTACAAATACAAGAATGTGTGTGTGTGTGTGCGCGCATGCGTGCGTGTGTGTGAGTGTGCATGCATGTGTGTGTGTGTGTGTGTGTGTGTGTGTGTGTGTGTGTGTGTGTGTGTGTGTGTGTGTGTGTGTGCGTGCGTGTGTGTGTGCATGGGTGCATGCAAAATATTGCTGATGTATATTAAGTTAAAACATTCAAATACATAATTTCAACAGAGTAAAAATTCAATCTCATAAACTCGATGTCTAAATAATCTCATATTCTGATGACACTGTATCATTAATTTTCTATAACTGAAAAAGCTGGTTGGAAAAAACCCTTTCCATGTTTCACATTTCCTTTGCCAGGGTTTGCAGTTTATCCAAACTTCCTGACAAAAGCAGAATTCAGCTGAAGTGAATCCACAAACATGCTGAGGATCTGATGGAGCTCCACATGACAGAAAATCAAGTAGTTCATCAAAAAGGTTTATTTAGAAACACAGTAGGACTAAAACAAGCGGTTTCACGGTTTTCCTAAAACAAAGAGCTGAATCACGCGTCGTATTTTTGACATGTTGAGTCCGTAAAGCAGAGGGTTGAACAGAGGCTGACATGTGAGGAAATATAACGATAAAAGGACTCGCAGCATGTTGGGAACTGCACTCACGTCAAACCTGCTCTGAAACATATCAAAGAAAAAGCCAAAGGAGAAGTTGAGCAGAGAGGCCAGGTGAGGCGTGCAGGTGCTGACGGCCTTCTGCCGGATCTGTTTGGACCCAGAAAAACACACTCGGAGGATTTTCACATACGTGTAGACGATCAGAAGGATAATTCCCAGGATGACTGTCAGCATGTAGACGATTCCTATGAAGATGCTGTTTGTGGAGTAGGAGCAGGACAGCTTAATGATGGAAAAGCTGTCACAGTAAACTTTGTTAATCATGTTTCCACACAGCTGCAGAAATGCGATCTGAACGATTCCAACAGCAAATTCAATCAGAGGGAAGAGCCACGTTAGCACAATAAGCTTCATGATCTTTGAAGGAGTCATGAGTGAGCGGTACTGCAGAGGAAAGCAGATGGCCAGGTATCGGTCATAGGACATGACAGCCAGGTTACAGAACTCAATATGAGCATAGGTGTACACACAGTAGATCTGCAGGAAACAGAGAGGAGCAGAAATGGTGTGAACATCAGAGAGAAGCTGAATCAGCAGGGAGGGAAGCAAGCCTGTACTTCCATACAGCTCATTCACAAACAGGCTGCACAGAAACATGTACATGGGTTCATGTAGAGTCCTGTTCACACAGATCACCACGATGAGCAGAACATTACAACCAATGATTAACACGTACAGGAACAATATGACAGAAAAGTAGAAATAATTCAAACCATTAGAATCAAAGTAGGCAGTCAGACTGAAATCTAAAACTCGAGTAGAGTTAACTCTCATCCTCAGGTAGTGTCACAGCACAGCCATCAACATCTAGTTAGTCTGCAGCTGGACGCACAGCTTCAAATAAAGCTTCTCGATCATCAGGAGACGTGTGAAGGTCCACCTCACTGCCTGCTTCCCACAGCCTTAATCACCTCTGATCACAGACATGGCTCTCCGTCACATGGCATCAACAGGAAGTCACAAAATTACCCAGAATTCACATGTCAGCAAAACAACTGTGATTCTATGTCATCACAAACTCCAAAACTTCCCCCGTTCTTAACCTCGTCCTTCGTCTGTGGTCTTCCACAAGGAGCAGTAATTCCGCTTGCAAAAACAAACAAGCAAAAAGCGCTTGGACAATTGATAAAGCGAGCGCAGCTCTGAGGGCATCCATGCTGTCGGCTAGCGTAAACACAGGTCGCACACGTGATGTCAGCATTTTTTTGTCGCGGAAAGTGACGTTGCGGACCTTAAAATTCCGGTTTTGTCTGTCCACACGCAGACACCCAAAACGGAGAAAACGCAGATCTTCACTTTGGCCGGAGTTTTTAAAAAGATTAGTTTTCGTGTGAATAAACTCCGTTGTCGTGTGGAAGACAGGCCAAAATGTAGATATTTTTCTACGTTTTGGCAGATCCCCGGCTACGTGTGGACAGGCCCTAAGTCATGCAACCCCTACTTTAGAGTTACCCTCCACAGAGAGGGCAGCTTTGCTATGGAAAAAAAAAACACCTCAGACATTACACAACATAAGTGTCCACTAGGTGGGGTGGAGGGTTTGGGACTCTCCACACGTCAGTGCCTGCAGGCGCGATAAGCAGCGCTCTTCACCTCAGTCTGGAAAGGGGTGGGAGGTTGTTGGGTTTACAGAGCACAGTGACTCCTGGAACGATTCAGCGGCCTTCACAGCTCACAGTCCAGCCCTGGCCAGGATAGGGAGACAGAGTTGCCATGGCGACAGCAGCATTCTACATTTTTTCTGAGAGGAGGGGGGGGGGGGGGGTATTCGTTTCAACCTCACAGGCTCAAGGGCACCAGATTCAGATAAGAAATTGTTTTGGGGCCAAACAGAGATAATTTCTTCTCTGTCTCAGAGTTCCGCTGGTCCTCAACCTCTCAAAATCCAATAATGGTGTAGATTAATCCATCCCAATCCGTGCTGATTCGTCCACTCGCTCCTTGATCGCATCCATCTTTTGTGCCAACGCATGAATCTCAGCCAAAGTTCCAAGCTTACGACTCATCTCGACAATTATGTGAGTCTGTGAATTCTCAGCGAGGTGCAATCCATCTCTGAGCTCCGGGAGTGAGCCAGTATTCCTCGACAGCTCGTTAATTTTCCGGTAAGTCAGGTAACCTCCAAGGCCAAAGAGCAGGAAACCTGACACTGACACCACAAATATCCAGACGTCTTCAAAATCCTTTTCAGACAGCTGAGATAGGCAAATCAGGTTCCACTGTTTCCAGGAGTCCATGATGTGACCAACTGAATCAGTCCCAGAGGGGCACCCGGGAGGGCCCTTTCTCCCGTTCTCATCGTTGAGAAAATTTTGTCAATCGCGTTGAGTGACCAACTGACCAGGTCCATTTTTAATAATTTCCAGTTTCCAGAAAAAATGTAGAAGCTCCGTACACCCAAAGACAGACAAAGAGCCTTGGGAAAAGATAGGGAAGAGAGGAGGAAAAAAGCATCTGTACTCTACAAGAGTTGGAAGAAGAATGGATCCAAACAGATCCGACAGAAAGCCGTCAGCACCTGCACGCCTCACCTGGCCTCTCTGCTCCACCTGTGCATCGGCTGTGTCTTTGAAACAGTCCAGAGGTGGTTCAACATGGACGCTGTTCCGTCAGTGTTGGGGATTTTGTTATCGCTGTACTTTATAACTTGTCGGCCAAATTTTAACCCTTTACTGTACGGCCTAAACATGTTTAAAATATGCATTGTGTGTAAAAAAAAAATCATTTTTCCCCGAAATCTAACTCACTTCGTCTATATTAAGCAAATTCTACTCAAAGAAACAGAAATACACAAGGTAGTTATTAATTTTCAAACTAACCAGGTTATTTAATGGGATTTTATGTGTTTTTCATTACATTACTACCAATGTTTCTTTTAGGTTATCGACGTTCTGAGGTGTTCCAGTCTGGGTTTAGAGCTACTATGAAAGGCTGCACTGGTCTGTTTAAATGACAATGATAAATGGCCCTTACTTGTATAGCGCCTTTCAGAGTCAGAGGACTCCAAATAGCTTTACACTGCAGTATATCATTCTTCCATTCACACACATTCACACACCAGAGGTGATGAGCTGTAGCCATGGCTGCCATGGGGCTCACTAACAGCGGCCCCTCTGACCACCACCAGCACGCAAGAAGCTTCTCGCCCAAAGACAAGACGGCTGCAACAGACTGAGCTGGGCGTGAACATTCAACCCTCTAGTTACAGGGCAGGCGCTTAGCTCTTCTCTTTACTGCTAGCATACAGACGTCCATCACAGAGCGTGCTTGAGCATTAGGACGTAGCTGCCTCGTAGATGCAGCGTTGCGATCTTTCTCATGGACAAGTCTTTAAGATATACAATATGAAAGCACATCACATAAGAACAACGGTAAAACGATGTGTTAGCTCTGTTGGCTAGAGGAGCGTGTTCGTGAACTAGAGGTGTTGATTTCGGCCGTAAATACTGGTTAAACAAAGTCTTGGTGTGATACGCTCATCAGCCACTAGATGGTGCCATCAGATTAAAAAATAATCCAGATAATTCATTTAACAAGACCAATTAAAAACTATCGGTAACAACGAAGAAAACAACTCTGAAAATTCCTTTTTTTCTCTCTGTTCTTAGATGGGCAAACATCTGGCCACCAGGTGCTCACACATGCGCCCCAACCTCATACCTGGCTCCAGGTCAGGGCCCCGGTGTCCTTCTGGGACATATATATCCCTGCTATAGGAGACCCAAGCAGGGACAACGTGGCTCCTGGGTTCACCATAGTGCTCAAAACCCTCCCTCATAATACGGTGGTGGTTCAAGGAGAAGGACCACTTATGTAACTATGGTTACCACTAAAGCTAAAAAAAACATCTATACTGTTACTTTAGAAAATGAGGCAAAGCTGTCATGTGTTGGCAGGAGGCTGTGATTGAAAGAGAAATGTTGTTTTGATTCTTGTACAGCTCTGACCTGGCGATGCAGTTTCTCTCAAAGAGATATAATAACGTACTTAAAAAAACGTATTTCTGATGTTTTTGTCTTGCTGAATGAGAAAAATAAAACTGCAGCCATAAGAATGAACATTCACCAACGTATAGAAACCCTTTTAGAAATTGTATAGAAGAAATACAGTCTCACCAGAACATGACTTGAATATTTTAACTTCACTGGCAAAAATTTCCTCGATAAAAATGCAGCCGCAGAATTTCATCTTCAAAAATTTTGTCGAGGTGTGTGTGTGTGCGCGTACATAAGTGCATGTGTGTGTGCATGTGTGTGCATGTGTGCGCGTGTGTGTGTGTGTGTGTGTGTGTGTGTGTGTGTGTGTGTGTGCGCATGTGTGTGTGTGTGTGAGTGCACAGGTTCATGCATGTGTGTATTTACCCGTGCATGCATGTGTGTGTGCGTGCATGCATGTGTATGTGTGCGTACTTGCATGCGTTTGTGTGTGTGTGTGTGTGTGTGTGCGCATGTGCGTGCGTGCATGTGTATGTGTGCTTACTTGCATGCGTTCGTGTGTGTGTGTGTGCATGTGTACGTGTGTGTGTGTGTGTGTGTGTGTGTGTGTGTGTGTGTGTGTGTGTGTGTGCGCATGTGCATGTGTGCGTGTGTGTGTGCACAGCTACATGCATGTGTGCATGCACCCGTGCATGCATGTGTGTGTGTGTGTGCGTGCATGTGTATGTGTGCTTACTTGCATGCGTACATGTGTGTGTGTGTGCGCATACGTGTGTGCGTGTGCGTGTGTGTGTGTGTGTGTGTGTGTGTGTGTGTGTGTGTGTGTGTGTGTGTGTGCGTGCGTGTGTGTGTGTGTGTGCGTGTGTGTGTGTGTGTGTGTGTGTGTGTGTGTGTGTGTGTATTCATGCCTGCACGTGTGTGTGTGTGGGCTTGTATTTGTACCCTTGTGAAGACCAGATTTGGGATATTTACTAACCTTCTTACGACCGATGGTCTTTGTTAGGACCCAAACCCGGTCCAAATACGGGGTACTCCCTAGGGGTGAGGTTTACAGATAAAATGTGAATTGAGTTTTTGTTACACATAACTTTAGGAATACACTGGTTAGGGTAAGGGTTTGGGTTAGGCATAGTGGACTCACTGAAATGAATGTAATACAAAGTCCTAACATGGGTACAAATACAAGAATGTGTGTGTGTGCGTACGCGCATGCGTGAGTGTGTGTGTGCGTGCATGTGTGTGTGTGTGTGTGTGTGTGTGTGTGTGTGTGTGCGTGGGTGCATGCAAAATATTGCTGATGTATATTAAGTTAAAACATTCAAATACATAATTTCAACAGAGTAAAAATTCAATCTCATAAACTCGATGTCTAAATAATCTCATATTCTGATGAGACTGTATCATTAATTTTCTATAACTGAAAAAGCTGGTTGGAAAAAAAAACCCTTTCCATGTTTCACATTTCCTTTGCCAGAGTTTGCAGTTTATCCAAACTTCCTGACAAAATCAGAATTCAGCTCAAGTGAATCCACAAACATGCTGAGGATCTGATGGAGCTCCACATGACAGAAAATCAAGTAGTTCATCAAAAAGGTTTATTTAGAAACACAGTAGGACTAAAACAAGCTGTTTCACGGTTTTCCTAAAACAAAGAGCTGAATCACGCGTCGTATTTTTGACATGTTGAGTCCGTAAAGCAGAGGGTTGAACAGAGGCTGACATGTGAGGAAATATAAGGACAAAAGGACTCGCAGCATGATGGGAACTGCACTCGTGTCTAACCTGCTCTGAAATACATCAAAGAAACAGCCAAAGGAGAAGTTGAGCAGAGAGGCCAGGTGAGGTGTGCAGGTGCTGACGGCCTTCTGCCGGATCTGTTTGGACCCAGAAAAACACACTCGGAGGATTTTCACATACGTGTAGACGATCAGAAGGATAATCCCCAGGATGACTGTCAGCATGTAGACGATTCCTTTGAAGAAGTTGTCTGTGGAGATGGAGCAGGACAGCTTAGCGATGGAAAAGCCATCACAGTAAACTTTGTTAATGATGTTTCCACACAGCTGCAGAAATGCAATCACAACGATTCCAACAGCACTTTCAATCAGAGGGAAGAGCCACGTTAGCGCAATAAGCTTCATGATCTTTGAAGGAGTCATGAGTAAGTGGTACTGCAGAGGAAAGCAGATGGCCAGGTATCGGTCATAGGACATGACAGCCAGGTTACAGAACTCAATTTGAACATAGGTGTAAACACAGTAGATCTGCAGGAAACAGAGAGGAGCAGAAATGGTGTGAACATCAGAGAGAGCCTGAATCAGCAGGAAGGGAAACAAGCCTGTACTTCCATACAGCTGATTCACAAACAGGCTGCACAGAAACATGTACATGGGTTCATGTAGAGTCCTGTCCACACAGATCACCACGATGAGCAGAACGTTACAACCAATGATTAAAACATACAGGAACAATATGACAGAAAAGTAGAAATAAGTCAAATCATTAGAATCAAAGTAGGCAGTCAGACTGAAATCTAAAACCCAAGTAGAGTTAACTCTCATCCTCAGGCAGTGTCACAGCACAGCCACCAACATCTAGTTAGTCTGCAGCTGGACGCACAGCTTCAAATAAAGCTTCTTGATCATCAGGAGACGTGTGAAGGTCCACCTCACTGCCTGCTTCCCACAGACTTAATCACCTCTGATCACAAACATGGCTCTCCGTCACATGGCATCAAAAGGAAGTCACAAAATTACCCAGAATTCACATGTCAGCAAAACTAGTGTGACTCTGTGTCGTCACAAATTCCTGCCTAAAACCCTTCTGGCCCTAAAGCATCCAGAAGGAGCATCAGGATTTAGTATCTTCATCAGAAACCTGCTAAATCATGTCCTAAACATGTCTACTGCCCCCTGGTGGAGGATCTTTGGGTGGTACGGGTTTTCTATTACTGTATGACTCTAAATATTATAGAATTACATCATTATGCATAAAATCTTATAATGATAAAGTTGTTATATACGGACAAGAAATGGTGTTTTAATTAACTAGAAATAAAGATGATGATGATGATGATGATGATGATGATGACGATTATTATTATTATTATTATATCACCTGTAAGTGGCTTTGGACAAAAGTGTCTGCTAAATACATAAACATGATGATGTATGATGATGTATATGATGATTTGCTCTCTCTTACAGAATCCTGGCTGCAGCAAGAGGACCATGTTAGCTTAAATGAGTCGACTCCTTCAAATTATTTAAATCATCATATTGCTCGAAGTACAGGGCGAGGAGGAGGAGTAGCAACCATTTTTCATTCGGACTTATTAATCAGTCCCTTACAGATTAATAGCTACAGTTCGTTTGAACATCTTATTCATAGTTTTCCTAATCCAGATTGCAAAACTGTAAAACCACTCTTGTTTGTAGTTTTATATCGTCCACCAGGCCCTTACTCTGAGTTTTTGGATCAGATCTCTGATTTTTTATCTGATTTGGTGCTAAATACTGATAAGGTCATTGTAGTGGGGGATTTCAACATTCATGTGGACATTGAAAATGATTGCCTTTAGTAATATCTTAGACTCAATTGGTTTTACTCAAAGAATACATAGCTCCACCCACTCCTGCCATCATACATTGGACCTTGTGCTGACTTATGGCATAGAGTGTGAGGAAATAACAATCTTTCCACATAATCCAGTCCTCTCGGACCACTTTCTGATAACCTTTGAGTTTTTTATAACTGAGTTCTCGAGACATGAAAGTAAATTTCACTATAGTCAGTCTCTATTTGACAACGCTGTTGCATCTTTTAAATCTACTGTTCCATCTTTACTGTCCTCAGCATCTCAGAGGAACATAGCAGAGGGCAATATTTTCAGTTCTAGCCTCTCACAAATTGATACCTTAGTTCATCATGTTAATTCCTCTTTACGTGTGGCATTAGATGATGTTGCCCCTTTAAAAAAGAAGGTACATTAGGTACAGAAAGTTGGCTCCCTGGTTTAATTCTCATTTACGAGCCTTAAAACAAAACTCTAGGAAATTGGAGAGAACATGGCACTCGACGCACCATGAGGAGGCCTACCTATCCTGGAAAAAACAGTCTTGTGCTTTATAAAAAAAAAGCTTCGACAAACTAGAACTGCTTATTTCTCAGCTTTAATTGAGGAGAATAAGCATAATCCTAAATTTCTTTTCAGTACAGTTGCTAAACTTACACAGAATCATAGCTCTGAGCCATCTATTCCCTTAGCCCTCAGCAGCAATGACTTCATGGGATTTTTTTACAAGTAAAATTAATTCTATTAGAAACAAAATCTTTAGCATCCTCCCTAATGCGATTTCTTCTTCCTCAGTAAGTGAGGCAGCTTCAGAGGTGACTGTAGAACCTCATCTGTGCTTGAACCGTTTTGATCCAGTTGAGCTTTCAGAGTTATCAAAAATATTAGCTTCATCTAAACCTTCAACTTGCATTGTGGATCTAATCCCAACCAAATTATTTAAAGATGCATTTCCTTTGGTTACTGCCCCCATTCTAGATATAATCAATCTATCCTTAGTAAATGGGTATGTACCACAGGATTTTAAGGTTGCTGTAATCAACCTTCACTTAAGAAGCCTTCTCTGGATCCAGATGACCCAATGATTTATAGACCAATATCTAACCTTCCATTTTTATCCAAAGTCCTGGAGAAAATAGTGGCCATCCAAGTATGTCAGCATTTAAACAATAAAGATCTGTTTGAGGAATTTCAGTCTGGATTTAGAGTATCACAGCACTGAAACTGCATTAGTGAGAGTTACAAATGATATTCTTATGGCCTCAGATAAGAATCTTGTGTCTGTTCTAGTCTTGTTAGATCTCAGTGCTGCCTTTGACACAGTTGATCACAATGTTCTTTTAGAAAGACTTGAACATGTTGTAGGATCAAAGGAACAGCGTTAGGCTGGTTTAAATCCTACCTGTCTGACAGATTTCATTTTGTAAATGTACATGACAAATCGTCTTCATACTCCAGGGTTACTTGTGGAGTACCACAGGGTTCAGTGCTTGGACCAATTCTTTTTACTAATATATATGCTCCCAATTAGGTAAAATCATTAGACAGCGTGGGATAAAACTTCCACTGTTGTGCTGACGATACTCAGTTATATTTATCCATTAACCCTGATAAACCTACTCGGTTGGGTAGATTACAGGCTTGTCTTGAGGACATTAAAAATTGGATGACTCTAAACTTTTTGCTTTTAAATCAAGACAAGACGGAAGTTCTCATCTTTGGACCAAAAATCCAGAAAAGGAAATTACTTAGCCAATCGCCTGACCTGAATTGATAGGTAATTAATTTTATCCCGTATTACCTTAAAGGCTGATACAAAGAGAGAGAGAGAGAGAGAGAGAGAGAGAGAGAGAGAGAGAGAGAGAGAGAGAGAGAGAGAGAGAGAGAGAGAGAGAGAGAGAGAGAGAGAGAGAGAGAGAGAGAGAGAGAGAGAGATTATTTGTAATGTCCATGAATCATCATGCCAGAGCTGGGCGCATAACCCCCCCCCCCCCCCCCCCCCCCCCCCGCCATGGAGCTAACCAGGCCCCCTCTGCTCCTGGGGAAAGCCTTCAGCTCACCAGCTCTGCATGCCCGCATTCTCCACCAAGATGTTAGGTAATATTTAATCTCCATAACCCTGGAACCTGAATTAAACACTCATGACAAGGGCGACATTTTACCCTGAGTCCCCAAAATAATGGAGAGTTAACGCAGAGGAACCTCCTCCGAGGCTTCCCCACGTTACTCCCAATCTGCTCAGTTTGCCAGGGGTTTTATTAACAAAGGATGGAGAAGGCGGGCCTTCTCAGGTTACAGAGTTACAAAGGCTTTAGCTGGAATCAACATCCTTGACTGCAATGAGCTTCTCTGCTCAACCTTTCATGAACAGCCACAGTTGGAGATTCATGAAGTGTTAATAACACAAAATGGGCATCTTTTAGGCCTCAAAAAGGTACAATTATAAAAATACCCAACATGAATGGCATTACATTAATCTCCGAGTACAAAGTAAGGAACCTTGGTGTTATCTTTGACCAGGACATGTCATTCAAATCCCAGGTTTCACAAGTTTGTAGGATTTCCTTTTTCCACCTTCGGAATATTGCCAAGATTAGAAGCATCCTTTCCAGGAGTGATGCTGAAAACTAGTTCATGCATTTATTACATCAAGACTGGATTACTGTAATTCATTACTCTCAGGAAGTCCACAGAATGTAGTTAAAAGTCTTCAGCTTGTCCAAAATGCGGCAGCTAGAGTTCTGATGAGAATTAAAAAGAGAGCTTATATCTCTCCTGTCTTAGCTTTCCTACATTGGCTACTTGTTAAATTCAGAATAGATTTTAAGATCCTTCTTCTCACATATAAAGCTCTTAATAATCAAGCTCCATCATATATCAGTGATCTGATTGTTCCATATGTTCCTAACCGAGCACTTCGCTCTCAGACTGCAGGTCTGGTGGTTCACAGAATATCTAAAATTAGGATGGGAGGCAGATCTTTTAGTCATCAGGCTCCTCTCCTGTGGAACCAGCTCCCACCTTTAGTCCGTGAGGCAGACACTTTGTCTACTTTTAAGAATAGGCTTAAAACATTTTTATTTGATAGGGCCTATGGTTAAAATCTGATGTTAGCCTAAATCTGGACAAGTGGGGGATTACAGGGAGGTGAGTGTACAGTCGGTAAAGACGGCTCTCCCTTGCCCTGCCTCCAACATGCCTCCATCTAAATAGGATAGATTATCCAGAGTTATCTCTGTAGTTATGCTGCTATAGGCTTAGACTGCTGGAGGATACACTGACCACTTTTCACACTCTACTGCTTTCTTCTACAGTCTGTGTGTGTGTGTGTGTGTGTGTGTGTGTGTGTGTGTGTGTGTGTGTGTGTGTGTGTGTGTGTGTGTGTGTGTGTGTGTGTGTGTGTGTGTGTGTGTGTGTGTGTGTGTGTGTGTGTGTGTGTGTGTGTGGATTAATACCTGCACGTGTGTGTGTGTGTGTGGGGGGGGGGGGGGGGGGGGGGGCTTGTATTTGTACCCTTGTGAAGACCGGATTTGGGACAGTTACTAACCTTCTTACGACCGATGGTCTTTGTTAGGACCCAAGCCCGGTCCTAATACGGGGTACTCCCTAGGGGTGAGGTTTACAGATAAAATGTGAATTGAGGTTTTGTTACACATAACTGTAGGAATACACTGGTTAGGGTAAGGGTTTGGGTTAGGCATAGTGGACTCATTAAAATGAATGGAAAACAAAGTCCTAACATGGGTACAAATACAAGAATGTGTGTGTGCGCATGAGTGCGTGTGTGTGAGTGTGCGTACATGTGTGTGTGTGTGTGTGTGTGTGTGTGTGTGTGTTTGTGTGTGTGCGTGCGTGTGCGTGCGTGCAAGTGTGTGTGTGTTTGTGCGTGTGTGTGTGTGTGCGTGTGCGTGCGTGAAAGTGTGTGTGTGTGTGTGTGTGTGCGTGGGTGCATGCAAAATATTGCTGTTAAGTTAAAACATTCAAATACATAATTTCAACAGAGTAAAAATTCAATCTCATAAACTCGATATCTAAATAATGTCATATTCTGATGAGACTGTATCATTAATTTTCTATAACTGAAAAAGCTGATTGGAAAAAAACCCTTTCCATGTTTCACATTTCCTTTGCCAGGGTTTGCAGTTTATCCAGACTTCCTGACAAAATCAGAATTCAGCTGAAGTGAATCCACAAACATGCTGAGGATCTGATGGAGCTCCACATGACAGAAAATCAAGTAGTTTATCAAAAAGGTTTATTTAGAAACACAGTAGGACTAAAACAAGCGGTTTCACAGTTTTCCTAAAACAAAGAGCTGAATCACGCGTCGTATTTTTGACATGTTGAGTCCGTAAAGCAGAGGGTTGAACAGAGGCTGACATGTGAGGAAATATAACGACAGAAGGACTCGCAGCATGATGGGAACTGCACTCGTGTCTAACCTGTTCTGAAATATATCAAAGAAACAGCCAAAGGAGAAGTTGAGCAGAGAGGCCAGGTGAGGCGTGCAGGTGCTGACGGCCTTCTGCCGGATCTGTTTGGACCCAGAAAAACACACTCGGAGGATTTTCACATACGTGTAGACGATCAGAAGGATAATCCCAAGGATGACTGTCAGCATGTAGACGATTCCTATGAAGATGCTGTTTGTGGAGTAGGAGCAGGACAATTTAATGATGGAAAAGCCGTCACAGTAAACTTTGTTAATGATGTTTCCACACAGCTGCAGAAATGGGATCTGAGCAATTCCAACAGCATATTTAATCAGAGGGAAGAACCACGTTAGCGCAATAAGCTTCATGATCTTTGAAGGAGTCATGAGTGAGCGGTACTGCAGAGGAAAGCAGATGGCCAGGTATCGGTCATAGGACATGACAGCCAGGTTACAGAACTCAATATGAGCATATGTGTAAACACAGAAGATCTGCAGGAAACAGAGAGGAGCAGAAATGGTGTGAACATCAGAGAGAACCTGAATCAGCAGGAAGGGAAACAAGCCTGTACTTCCATACAGCTCATTCACAAACAGGCTGCACAGAAACATGTACATGGGTTCATGTAGAGTCCTGTTCACACAGATGACCACGATGAGCAGAACGTTACAACCAACGATTAACACGTACAGGAACAATATGACAGAAAAGTAGAAATAATTCAAACCATTAGAATCAAAGTAGGCAGTCAGACTGAAATCTAAAACCTGAGTAGAGTTAACTCTCATCCTCAGGCAGTGTCACAGCACAGCCATCAACATCTAGTTAGTCTGCAGCTGGACGCACAGCTTCAAATAAAGCTTCTCGATCATCAGTAGACGTGTGAAGGTCCACCTCACTGCCTGCTTCCCACAGCCTTAATCACCTCTGATCACAGACATGGCTCTCCGTCACATGGCATCAACAGGAAGTCTCAAAATTACCCAGAATTCACATGTCAGCTAAACTTGTGTGATTCTATGTCGTCACTAATTCCTGCCTAAAGCCCTTCTGGCCTTAAAGCATCCAGAAGGAGCATCAGGATTTAGTATCTTCATCAGAAACCTGCTAAATGATGTCCTAAACATGTCTACTGCCCCCTGGTGCCGGATCTTTGGGTGGTGCGGGTCTTCTATTACTGTATGACTCTAAATATTATAGAATTACATCATTATGCATAAAATATTATAATGATAAAGTTGTTATATACGGACAAGAAATGGTGTTTTAATTAACTAGAAATAAAGATGATGATGATGATGAAGATGATGATGATGATGATGATGATGATGATGATGATGATGATGATGATGATGATGATTATGATGATGATATCACCTGTAAGTCGCTTTGGACAAAAGTGTCTGCTAAATACATAAACATGATGATGTATATGATGATTTGCTCTCTCTCACAGAATCCTGGCTGCAGCAAGAGGACCATGTTAGCTTAAACGAGTCGACTCCTTCAAATTATTTAAATCATCATATTGCTCGAAGTACAGGGCGAGGAGGAGGAGTAGCAACCATTTTTCATTCGGACTTATTAATCAGTCCCTTACAGATTAATAGCTACAGTTCGTTTGAACATCTTATTTTTAGTTTTCCTAATCCAGATTGCAAAACTGTAAAACCACTCTTGTTTGTAGTTTTATATCGTCCACCAGGCCCTTACTCAGAGTTTTTGGATCAGATCTCTGATTTTTTATCTGATTTGGTGCTAAATACTGATAAGGTCATTGTAGTGGGGGATTTTAATATTCATGTGGACATTGAAAATGATTGCCTTTAGTAATATCTTAGACTCAACTGGTTTTACTCAAAGAATATATAGCTCCACCCACTCCTGCCATCATACATTGGACCTTGTGCTGACTTATGGCATAGAGTGTGAGGAAATAACAATCTTTCCACATAATCCAGTCCTCTCGGACCACTTTCTGATAACCTTTGAGTTTTTTATAACTGAGGTCTCGAGACATGAAAGTAAATTTCACTATAGTCAGTCTCTATCTGACAACGCTGTTGCATCTTTTAAATCAACTGTTCCATCTTTACTGTCCTCAGCATCTCAGAGGCATGTAGCAGAGGGCAATATTTTAGTTCTAGCCCCTCACAAATTGATGCCTTAGTTCATCATGTTAATTCCTCTTTACGTGTGGCATTAGATGATGTTGCCCCTTTAAAAAAGAAGGTAATTAGCGACAGGAAGTTGGCTCCCTGGTTTAATTCTCATTTACGAGCCTTAAAAGAAAACTCTAGGAAATTGGAGAGAACATGGTGCTCTACGTACAATGAGGAGGCCTACCTATCCTGGTAAAATAGTCTTGTTCTTTTTTTTAAAAAAAAGCTTCGACAAACTAGAACTGCTTATTTCTCAGCATTAATTGAGGAGAATAAGCATAATCCTAAATTTCTTTTCAGTACAGTTGCTAAACTTACACAGAATCATAGCTCTGAGCCATCTATTCCCTTAGCCCTCAGCAGCAATGACTTCATGGGGTTTTTTACAAGTAAAATTAATTCTATTAGAAACAAAATCTTTAGCATCCTCCCTAATGCGATTTCTTCTTCCTCAGTAAGTGAGGCAGCTTCAGAGGTGACTGTAGAACCTCATCTGTGCTTGAACCGTTTTGATCCAGTTGAGCTTTCAGAGTTATCAAAAATATTAGCTTCATCTAAACCTTCAACTTGCATTTTGGATCCAATCCCAACCAAATTATTTAAAGATGCATTTCCTTTGGTTACTGCCCCCATTCTAGATATAATCAATCTATCCTTAGTAAATGGGTATGTACCACAGGATTTTAAGGTTGCTGTAATCAAACCTTCACTTAAGAAGCCTTCTCTGGATCCAGATGACCCAATGATTTATAGACCAATATCTAACCTTCCATTTTTATCCAAAGTTCTGGAGAAAATAGTGGCCATCCAAGTATGTCAGCATTTAAACACTAATGCTCTGTTTGAGGAATTTCAGTCTGGATTTAGAGTATCACAGCACTGAAACTGCATTAGTGAGAGTTACAAATGATATTCTCATGGCCTCAGACAAGAATCTTGTGTGTTCTAGTCTTGTTAGATCTCAGTGCTGCCTTTGACACAGTTGATCACAATGTTCTTTTAGAAAGACTTGAACATGTTGTAGGGATCAAAGGAACAGCGCTAGGCTGGTTTAAATCCTACCTGTCTGACAGATTTCATTTTGTAAATGTACATGACAAATCATCTTCATACTCCAGGGTTACTTGTGGAGTACCACAGGGTTCAGTGCTTGGACCAATTCTTTTTACTATATATATGCTCCCAATTGGTAAAATCATTAGACAGCATGGGATAAACTTCCACTGTTGTGCTGACGATACTCAGTTATATTTATACATTAACCCTGATGAACCTACTCGATTGGGTAGATTACAGGCTTGTCTTGAGGACATTAAAAATTGGATGACTCTAAACTTTTTGCTTTTAAATCAAGACAAGACGGAAGTTCTCATCTTTGGACCAGAAATCCAGAAAAGGAAATTGCTTAGCCAATCGCCTGACCTGAATTGATAGGTAATTAATTTTATCCCATATTACCTTAAAGGAGAGAGAGAGAGAGAGAGAGAGAGAGAGAGAGAGAGAGAGAGAGAGAGAGAGAGAGAGAGAGAGAGAGAGAGAGAGAGAGAGAGAAAGAGAGAGAGAGAGAGATTATTTGTAATGTCCATGAATCGTCATGCGAGAGCTGGGCGCAACCCCATCCCCCCCCCCCATGGAGCTAACCAGGCCCCCTCTGCTCCTGGGGAAAGCCTTCAGCTCACCAGCTCTGCATGCCCGCATTCTCCACCAAGATGTTAGGTAATATTTCATCTCCATAACCCTGGAACCTGAAATAAACACTCATGACAACAAGGGCGACATTTTACCCTGAGTCCCCAAAATAATGGAGAGTTAACGCAGAGGAACCTCCTCCGAGGCTTCCCCACGTTACTCCCAATCTGCTCAGTTTGCCAGGGGGTTTATTAACAAAGGATGCAGAAGGCGGGCCTTCTCAGGTTACAGAGTTACAAAGGTTTTAGCTGGAATCAACATCCTTGACTGCAATGATGCAACGAGCTTCTCTGCTCAACCTTTCATGAACAGCCACAGTTGGAGATTCATGAAGTGTTAATAACACAAAATGGGCATCTTTTAGGCCTCAAAAAGGTACAATTATAAAAATACCCAACATGAATGGCATTACATTAATCTCCGATAACAAAGTAAGGAACCTTGGTGTTATCTTTGACCAGGACATGTCATTCAAATCCCAGGTTTCACAAGTTTGTAGGATTTCCTTTTTCCACCTTCGGAATATTGCCACGATTAGAAGCATCCTTTCCAGGAGTGATGCTTAAAAACTTGTTCATGCATTTATTACATCAAGACTGGATTACTGTAATTCATTACTCTCAGGAAGTCCACAGAATGTAGTTAAAAGTCTTCAGCTTGTCCAAAATGCGGCAGCTAGAGTTCTGATGAGAATTAAAAAGAGAGATTATATCTCTCCTGTCTTAGCTTTCCTACATTGGCTACTTGTTCAATTCAGAATAGATTTTAAGATCCTTCTTCTCACATATAAAGCTCTTAATAATCAAGCTCCATCATATATCAGTGATCTGATTGTTCCATATGTTCCTAACCGAGCACTTCGCTCTCAGACTGCAGGTCTGGTGGTTCCCAGAATATCTAAAATTAGGATGGGAGGCAGATCTTTTAGTCATCAGGCTCCTCTCCTGTGGAACCAGCTCCCAGCTTTAGTCCATGAGGCAGACAATTTGTCTACTTTTAAGAATAGGCTTAAAACATTTTTATTTGTTAGGGCCTATGGTTAAAATCTGATGTTAGCCTAAATCTGGACAAGTGGGGGATTACAGGGAGGTGTAGTGTACAGTCAGTAAAGACGGCTCTCCCTTGCCCTGCCTCCAACATGCCTCCATCTAAATAGGATAGATTATCCAGAGTTATCTCTGTAGTTATGCTGCTATAGGCTTAGACTGCTGGAGGATACACTGACCACTTTTCACACTCTACTGCTTTCTTCTACAGTCTGTGTGTGTGTGTGTGTGTGTGTGTGTGTGTGTGTGTGTGTGTGTGTGTGTGTGTGTGTGTGTGTGTGTGTGTGTGTGTGTGTGTGTGTGTGTGTGTGTGTGTGTGTGTGTGTGTGTGTGTGTGTATTCATGCCTGCACGTGTGTGTGTGTGTGTGGGCTTGTATTTGTACCCTTCTTACGACCGATGGTCTTTGTTAGAACCCAAGCCCGGTCCTAATACGGGGTACTCCCTAGGGGTGAGGTTTATAGATAAAATGTGAATTGAGTTTTTGTTACACATAACTTTAGGAATACACTGGTTAGGGTAGGGTTTGGGTTAGGCATAGTGGACTCACTGAAATGAATGGAAAACAAAGTCCTAACATGGGTACAAATACAAGAATGTGTGTGTGTTTGTGTGCGTGCATGCGTGCGTGTGTGTGAGTGTGCGTGCATGTGTGTGTGTGTTTGTGCGTGTGTGTGTGCGTGTGCGTGCGTGCAAGTGTGTGTGTGTGTGCGTGGGTGCATGCAAAATATTGCTGTTAAGTTAAAACATTCAAATACATAATTTCAACAGAGTAAAAATTCAATCTCATAAACTCGATATCTAAATAATCTCATATTCTGATGAGACTGTATCATTAATTTTCTATAACTGAAAAAGCTGGTTGGAAAAAAACTCTTTCCATGTTTCACAT